GCCACTCGATCTGTCACCGCGGCAGGCCGGTTTCTGCTGGCGTCTCTTTGTGCGCCCGAATAGTTTGTCACTTATGTTCTTTTCATGTTTAGTCTTTCACATGCATTCTTGTCTCCACTTTTGTTTTTAGTGTGCTTTTGATGCGTTTTTAATTGGCGGAGAGAATGTGTGGTGCAAACTGCCAGCAGCCGACAACAAATGATGAGCGGCGACAATTGAGCCCAAGCGCATCGTTGCAACTCGCGCCCATTTCGCGCCGGCTGGCTGCCTATCTTCTGGTTGACCGCAGCCGCCTTTGTGGTTGCTGCGTTGCGCGCGCCGCTGTGACGATGCGCTTCTGTCTGGCTGGCATTGTGTCTGTCTGACTGCCTGCCTGTATGTCCACTGCCAATGCAATGTTTAATTTCGTGAAATTGCGCTTGACTTGGCGCGCCATACGCGGCAGCTGTCAGCTGTTGAGCCGCTGATTGTTCGCGCGCCTTCACCTTCACCTCCGCCCATGCGCCAAGCGGTTGTCTAACTGGCAGAACAAGTGTTTTTATCTGTAGTTTGCTCGAGATGATTTTTTGCTGTTGTTGTCTCTTTTGTTTTACGTTTTTTGTATATTTTTAGTGTTATTATTGTTTTGCGGCCGCCGTTGTTTTGGGGCTTCCTAGACGCTTTCGAGCAAGTCGCGCGCCCAGCGCGGTAAGTGGTGTGTGTATACCGGGTGTGTGAAGGTATGACGGCAGGCTGCCTGTTAAGCGTCACATTTACCCCACCTCCACCACCGCATGCTTGATGGTCCGTGGCACTTGTATGATTTTTAGTATGATGTGTGTGGCTAGTGTGGTTGTTGTTGCCATTTTGCTCTTGCCTTTAGTTACTATGGTTTCTGGAGTTGTTGCTGTTATTGCTGCATTTACAGCTACTGCGATTGACGGCCGGGCAGGCAGTTACTCAGTCAGCAGCTGATATGCGCGAGTCTCATTACACGGCGCTGTCGCCTGCCTGCGCTCGCCTGCCACCACGTGCTGCAGTAATATATCGCCTTTGTTGTGGCAGCCGCCGTCGCTGCTGTTGTTTGCTGTTCGCCTGGTATGCAACATGAATTATCATAATCATTTTACTGCGGTAGTAACCAGTCATCTGGTGGTCTGGTGGTGGGGCGCATGCCTTCTGTATGTGCATCCACTTGTTGTAGCTGCTCTGCTTCTCTCACATTGCATACATTTAGTTATTGTTTTTGTTTTCGGCGCGGTTTGAAACGCTTACTTGTGTGTGACTTTTGATTTTGTGCCCTTCTCCTGGAAACCATTTCAAGCTCACTTTTGATAATGAAACAAGTAAAAATTTCTCCAAAACAGCTGCTGGAGAAATACATGGTTTTTGACTGGAATCCAAATAAAAATAAAGAATAAATAAATAAAAATATATATCTACATAGTAAATAAACAAACCGCGCACGAGTCATAACTAATGATACCCCTGTCACAGGGTTAAGAAATCTCAGCCACTTAGTTGAGGCAATTTAATTATTACCGCTTGAGCAAGAATTGTGTAATGAAGTTGCCCGACAAATATATCTTACCTAGAAGCTGTATCTTATTGTAATTTAGCATTAAATCATTAAAAAGCGTGACGATTATCGGCTTAAATCAATTACTAATTGACAGATTTATCAAACGAATATAATCGGAATCTATTAAATGAATCAAAAGAAAACAAAATGTAAATAAATCAAACAGCATAAGCAGGCAAATGCACCGTTAAGAGCGGTTAAGCGATATTTCTTTATATTTTGTTTGCAGCCACCGTCAATACGACTTCAAAGGGTGCTATGAAATGGCCAGTGCAAAATTAAGTTGGAAAAATAAATTTAGCAAATAGTAAAATTTACCAAAAACCTGATATAAACAAAATGTTTGACCGAATGAGTTTCAAATAATCGATAATAAGGTCAATAAAAATTTGCAAAAACACATAATATATAAAATAGTTAGGAATAAAAGTAACCAAATATACTAAGAGAAATGAGTGAAAATATATAATATTTACATTGAAAATTATTATCATCAAATAAAGTTTTATAAAACAATTTTAAAATATAGAATTGATAATCGATAAAATCGATAACTTACTAAATTGTTGAAAAAATATTAAAACAATAAAAATAAGGATATGTGATCCAAAATGTAAGTTCATTAATTTTGGCACTTATTTTCAGCTCTAAAGACCAATTAATGCTAAAATATCAATTTACATTTAATATATGAATTATGAAAAATCGATCAACAATAAATTATTATATTCAGCAACCGCACTATTTTGGGATACCCTTTATTGAATGCTATTTTTAATTAAATGTACTAAATGCAGTGTGCTGCAAGAAACGTGCAACTAGTAAGAATGCATTTTTAAATTGTTGTTCTTGATTCAACTCGTATTTGCATTTATACCCCGAACAGGGTATATTAAGTTTGCCACGAAGTTTGTAACACCCAGAAGAAAACGTTGGAGACCCTATAAAATATATATGTAAATTATCGGCATGAGGGGCTGAGTTGATTTAGCCATGTCCGTCTGTCTGTTCGTCCGTCTGTATATATGTGAACCTAGTCCCTCAGTTTTTGAGATATCTATCTTTTGCTTAACCTGAGGGTAAAATTTGTAGATTATAAAAAAAGAAAATTTTTGGGAAAAAAATTTTTTTTTTAACATCTAGAGGCGGCTCACTCACTTTTAAAGTAAATTTCGAGTTGAAATATTTGCACATCGATCAAAATCTTGATTTTTATAAAAGATCTTCTTTCCTTGTTAGTTTACCTTAATTCGCCTTGAAGGTTGTTCATATCAGACAACATGGCTAGGAAGAATTAGCAAAACCCTTTCCGTTGTTTGCAATTCGTTTGCCGCTTACATTTTCAGATTTAGTTATATATATAGTTTCTATAATAAATGCACCTGTGAAGGGTATTACAGCTTCAGTGCAGTCGAAGTTAAGGTTTTTTCTACTTATAATTTTATTTAATATTAATTTTTTTTTCTATTCACTCATTTGACATTTGTTACTGCACCGCATTTGCATATTTAGTGGTGCCACCAGCATAGCACCGCACCAACGGTGACCCACCAGCGACGACCGTGCGAATTTCCGGCATTACTCAGTTCGAGCTTTGCTGCTGGGCGAAGCGACAAGTTACGGTTAGCAACGAAATCGCGTGCAAGAAACTATTTATTACTTACATTTACTTGAATTTGAATTCGCGCACACTCCTATGCGCTGCTATGCGGTCGTATGCATGTGTCACATAAGCAATTTACATTGTAAATATGTAAAGATGTGTATGTGTGTGTGTTGATACGTGATTTCGGTGCATGATTTGACACCAATTTGTTGTTCGAACAACTGATTTGAATTGCTCGAACGCTGCGGCATGCCTGTGACGTGCGGTCATTTGTGGCATTCGAATGCGGCTGCCGGTATGTGTGTATGTATATATATTCAGTAATGTAATTGCAAGTGAGTTTTCATATGAAATGCAGTCGGTGTCTGCTTATCGGCACTCGCTGCTGCCTGATTTTAATTAATTATGCGCCATCAATTAATGCACAATTACCGTTGGTATTCTACATTTTACCGTTGCATTTAATTTACTTAAGTTTACTAAAATTGCCTTTACCGCTCGTAATCCATCTCATAATCTTATAAATATCTTAATATGAGTGTATAAAGCCGCCACGTTTAACCACATAATTAATTTTCATTGTCTGCTTGTAATGAGTAAATTGCAAATTAGCGCAATGTCAGCGTTTCGCTCAATCTTGTACATTTCGAATCAGTTTTTAATTGCTATAATTTGGGCAATTTTTCACAGAGAAGAACAAGCCAATTTTCTAGCTTATTGTTTTAGCAATTAATCACTCACTGGCGTTTGGCTATATTAAGAATATTATTTGTTTATTTGGTCTAGCGCAGTGTTGCCAGACTGACAGAATGAACTGCATACAGTGCTTTTTTAGGTTGGCTAACACTAGTGCACACAATTTTTGGGGCTAATTTGGATTTATTTTGCTTAAAATGAACACAGAAGAGGTTGGTAGAGAAAGTCGTTTGTAGCAGCTCGCTTATTATCATATCTTTCATATATTCAAGTTACTGATTCCAATCCAAAATCCAAAAAAATATAGTACTACTATAGATGAATACAGATAATGAATGGGACTAGTCAAAATTTTGATTTTTGACTAAATGGCGGCTTCCCAAAAATGATATTCGATATATAATATATTAATATATAATATATTAATAAATCGATTTTTTTAATTCTTAAATGGATGCATATGAAAACAAATCCATTTTGCTTTAATTTCAGAATTTATAATAAATGTAATCGATGTCTGAAAAAGAATAAAGTCTATTTTAATTTTCTGAAGCAATGGTTAGATCTCACTGTCAAGATCGAAAATAGTTCTATAATCAACGGTTTAACTTCTATGAATCAAAAATTGAAAATTTATCTTTTTCAAATATTTACAATTTTTTTTCGATTTTAATAGAGTCATCGATAGTTTTCTTACTATCAATTGCTCTCACCAATCATATGCTTTCGATTAGTCACTTAAGATTTATTAAAATATTTTACCATTAACACACTAAAGATTATTTTGAAATGTTAATACATTCACCTCCAACTTGTTCGGGAAGTTCCGATAATCTCATAAATTTCACTACAGCAGCTATCACTTGAGCTGAAACTCCTCTTTTTTTTATTCTTCAGCTTCAAAAGTGATATGATTGGGGTATTATGATAGAAGTTTTTTTCTGTGCTTTTTTAGAAACGATTCATTCAGTAATAGTAAACAGGGAATAGCTGCTTTGACTAAACTTTTTTGGTTTTAATTATTAATATTAAATTTTATTATGCTTAAGTGGTACTGCTTTCATATCAATAGTATATAAATTGAATTAAAAATAATAAATAAAGTATTATTATAGCTGTTTATTATTTCTATTACAGAATATTTTTCGTAACTGAACTTTAGATCCAACGAGTGGCTTGCACACATCTGGCAACTCTGCCCACCATTCACGTATTCCTTTTCTCATTTAAATCAACATAAAGCAGCTAAAACTATCAGAGACTACTCAGATCTCGGAAGGTCATTCGTACAATTCCTACTATTATGTAAGACCAATTTACAAAACATAAAAACAAACTCAATATTATATATTTTTATTAATTTTTACATACATACAAAGTGCCGTTTGTTTATAATCGAACGTGCAAATATCTAAGCTAATGCGGGAAAATTACGTGTGCTCAACAAAATAAGATACTTATAACATCTGTACAAACAATAAATTGTTATTTGAAAGGTAGGGCAACTCTAAGTATGTGTATGTATGTACTATGTACATTGGCATAGTATAAGCAGAAAGTGAAAAACAGCGCGGGATGAATGTACGTGTTTTTCAGATTTTCAAATTAAGTTTTGAGCAAGTCAATAATTTGTTTGGCACATCCCATAGATACGCTAATCTGTGTAAACTTTTGAAAACACACACACACCCTCGCATTCACATTCACAAGTGCTGTGTTTATTCGAGTACGATATATATTTGTATATGTGTCTATATGTATGTACCTGTCTAACATTCTGCCACATTCAACTGTCACACGTCAGTTGCGCTTGACAGCCTACAGTGGCACAGATGTGTATGTGTGTGTGCATGCTAAGTGAGTACATTTGTGCACACTCCCGCCTCATTAGGATTTGTGACAACTTTTAAGCAGCAAATCGTCGTGTATTTTGTCGTGAGAAAAATTAAATTCAGTTGTGTCAATTTTCGTAAGCACATGCACATAACCGCACGCAAATCCATTTATTTACATAAATGTATATACATTAGGGTGGTTAAAAAACCGATTTTTTTTATTAGCTTTAGCTTTTTAGTACCTTAAAAATTGGTTGATAGACACCTCTACAAAATGTGAACAAGTATAAGGTCTTAATTGTAACGGAACTGTTCTACGCCTTACAGCTTTCTAATTTTATTTTTTTATCAACTAATTGAATTAATATTTCGTTTTATGGATTTTGTAGTAAATTGAATGCTCTTCAAAAATGTGGAATACAATTTTTCCGTAAACCCAACCGTTTAACAGATATTTTCGGTTGAAATTTTACTATTTTAAGGCAAATTTGTTGTTTTCTTTTTAATTTTATAACTTCATGAAAGAAGAAATAATTTTAAATTGCACAGCACATAGTCGTATAGGAAATTTACTGTGCCTCTAGGCAGCGCCTAAATTTTTTAAATATTTCATTTTTGAAAAAAAAAAATCTTAAAATATTTATTGTAGTTTATGAGACTTGGATTTGTTGCGATTGAATTCAAACTTGCGAAGTAAATATATTCAAAAATTATATTTTTAACAAAATTTTTGTAATTGGAATTTGTCTATGAATGCAATTAGGACTAATTTTTTGACCCGCCCATTTTATTTATTTTTTTAAAATATAATTAATATTCCCGCCTATATATGGTATGTGTTAGGTATATAGGGACAAAATCTTCATAGCATTCACAAGAAACAAATCAACAATAAGCCAGAATTTGCTTTATAAAAAAGTCGATTTAACCAATTGACTATAAATAGGGAGTTACTTACCCACACAAGTCGGATATGTGTATCCAAAACTTTTCTGTTGTTGCCTATTCAAGAACTGCCACCTCAGCAGAATTCACCAAATGCTGCTACAACAACAACGACAGGTTTTTGGAGCATTTCCTTCTCTCCTATAATCAGATACTTGTGCCTTGCACAGAACTTAAGTTTAACTAACAGAATCAAGAGATCATTTATACATGATGATTAGTGGGAGTGTACGAATTATGAGTGAAGAATGTTAGATTGTCGATACCATGAAAACCGATAACAATTAAAAATAAAACTTTCTACCGTTTTACTTGCTTTAAAAAGATATATTTTTAGTTAATTCGACATGCATTCTTGCTGCTTGTATATTTTTTTATATTCCATAAGCTTATTCTTAAATTTTAGGAAGTCTGTCTGCATTTTTTTGGGGGTCTTTATTACATATTTTACATAAATCTAAAGGTCTGATCTAAAAAGTTCTTTAAAAACTCAAATGGAGATTTTTTTTCCAGTTTCCACCTCTCTTTGGTCAAGACTAAGGATACTGAAGACGGTTTAATCATATTGCACAGCAATCAAAGTTCAAGTTTTAGTATAGGGAACAAAAACGATACTATACTATATCTTTGATTATATATAAATATTGGTACCGATTTTGGCTGGACAAAACTTGTGTGTAAAGCCAAGGTTCGCATTCCCCTGTAGACACTTAAAAATACAAATTAAATATGGAATATCTGCGAATATAGTCGTTTTTAAATTTATAATTATTATTCGTGGTCCACGTGTGGTAAGGTCCACCTTAACCTACATACACGCATAAGCATTTATGTCCATTAATTTGCCTGCGACAATTTTCTACAAGCAACAAAAATTTTACATATATTCAAATGACTACTTATTTATACATTTGCATACATATTTATCTGCTTATTCTTACATGCAATTGTGTTTTGTTATTGTAAATTTTACTATACCATAAATGTTTTACATTTCTCAGTTTTAATTTTAATTTAAATACTTGATTTGTGTTTATGATTTTGACAGCGCAAATTGGTGACCTTCATTTCAAATGTTGCAACATATACACTTTATTTTTGTTTATTTAAAAAATACAATTTTTATGGTCGAATTATTGAGATTAAAAATAAAATATTGCAATTCATACAATGTTGATGTTTTTGAAATATATATGTGCATAAATAAACATAAATATTTTGAACAAATTTTGACAGTTTGTATGGTCATTAACGATCTTTTTATATATATTAAATATTACTATAAAAAATAATTTAATTAATATTTTTTTCATATTTGCATTCTATTTATGATGTAATGAGTAAAGATAATTTTTCGAAAAAATTAGTGCAAGTTCATCAAATTTTGATATATTAAAACCAATGAAATTATCTAATTAAATAAGTAAGTGTTTAACCAATGTAGGTAATAGATTTATTGTGCTAGCACTTAATAATTGATATTACTAAAGAATTTAGAAAAATAATGTTTAAGAATTGTAAATAAAAACCAATACTTCCAATGTAATACAATTTCTAGCATACACGACGGGGGCGTATGAGTAACTTTTGTCGTGCAATTTATTCTAGTATTAAAGTTCCAAATATTCTTAACTAATTTTTATGAGAAACATTTTATACGAGCTTTTACCATGAAAAAAATAGAACAACGAATTTGCTTGAAGTTTTGTTTTTCCAATGGAATCTTAACAACGGAATTGTTGAAATTATGGCCGAAATGATTTGGGAAATCTACTTTATCGCGAAGTAAAATATTTGAGTGTTACAAAGCATTCAGAAAAGGCTGTGAAATCACTGAAAACTTGCCTCCGATTAAAACATCGAAAAAGCTAATATCGCTTCTGGATCGGCCAAACACATTTTGGTTAATGTTTTGGGTATGAAGCCTGTTAATGCTTGACTCATACCAAAAGACCTGAATGTTTTGCAAAAACGAATGGCGCTCCAGAAATTAACCGACACCAGAAAACCAAAATTCTTTGACGGCACTGAAGGTCACCTTAGTCGAGGCTTATAACAAGTGTATGGAACATTCGACTAAGAGTTGTCATTCATTTATTAGCTCAGGAACCTATTTTGAAGATGATAATAAAGCTTTTTGGCAGTTTGGTTGTCAGATGGTGTAATAATATCCTATAGCTCACTCAAGTAACTATCTCGATTTACTTGATGTTCCACTCTTCGAGTAATCTAAATCAATTTCAAGTGTATTGAAATATATTCTAAAACACCTTCTCGGAGTCTCGACGCAAGCTATTTAGGCACTTTTTTTCAAACTTTTTTTTTACAAAAAATTTAAATCTCCTTTTGGTTACTAAACCCACTAGAATTTTTTATCATCACTCTCTTTATGAGGCCATAACGCTTGTTTCACCTTTGATTTATTTCTTAAGAGAGTTAAGAAAATGTTGCCTACATTTAAGCGCGACGGCACGACAGCTCAAGAGAGAAGCATCAGTGCTTATAATATTAAAAGCTGATATAAAAAATCGATTCTCTATAGCGTTTATACCCGCTTTAAGGTTAATGCGATATTTACTCCAAATATAAATACAATTTAACAGCACATAAAAAACTTCATAAAATCAATAGCATGTGCATAAGCAGCCTTTATTAACAGATCGCTTGCCTACCACAATAAGTGGTATGCAACAGTTACGAACGATAAGAAGCAGCTCCAAATCACATAAGCAGCTCGGCTAATATGAGAGAGTGGTATAGTGAAGAGAATACACAAAATTATTATCTGCCGCTACTGTGATTCGGCTAAAAATAACGAAATCCCTCAAAACTTGGTCGTGCCACACTTAAGCGCTGGGACCGATAATGGCGCCCGCGTGTGCCCAATGAAGCGTTAAACGATTCCAACACATTGCTCTGCAACAACAGCTATTGCTACAACAAATACTTGCACAAACATTGTTATGAAATTTTTCAAACGAAATTATTTTTAGTTATAAACTTGTGCCAACACTGTGTAAGGATATGGAGAGGGATGTGACGGACAAGTGGAAAGTAGAATGCTTGCAGAAGCACAATATTAATATTTTCGCTTAAATATGCAAGCTTAGTATAAAAGATACAATAGTATGTGTGCATGTATAGATCTGTCAAGCAAAGGGATGGCCAAAGGATAGTGACACGTTCTAACACATATACCGTTTAAAATGCATAACGGCATGACATTTACGAGAGCACGGGTATATCTGTGAAGTTTACATGCCATAAGCGCAACGTGTCACGTGGTGCGAACAGCTCTGCGCCCTATCCAAGCCAGCTGAGCTTAAGGTTGTCGGCGCTCGAGGTCAGCGCTGACAGTTTTCACTTGAATTGATAACGATTCAATGCTTTTATAATAATTCTTACTTATATCTACATACCTATGTGTATAGTTCAAGGGTCCACTGCGCTGCCTTAACTGTAAATTTTGAAATGCAAGTAATTTAATAATAAATTTAAGTTTCGCTCATAACTCCTAGAAATGAAATTGAAATTGAAGTGGTTGTTTGAGAAAGCTTTTATGTTGTAACATTTTATATACTCAGCGTCTGCTTTTGATTCCATCAATATGTATTCAGTCTCTTTTCCTGCTTGCAAGAGACAAGTGTATTTGACAGAACAAGACTGCTGCTGCTGACATATCCAAAACTTCATATTTCAAAAACTTGACAATGAATTTCTGTTGCTGCAACTTCGCGAGCTTCAGCTTTCAGCCGTCACAAACAGTTACTTTTTGTTGAAGTTCTCTTGTACAAATTTTATCACGAGTTTATACAGCCGTTAGCACTTGAAAAATTTCAATTTTCTATAACATTGTTTACTCAAGATTTGCAAATTTATGAAGTATATACAGCAGTGTGCTGAAAAATAAAATACCACAAAAAGTAATCTGGATTTGTAAGAAATGTTGAAAAACACTATTGAACCGAAGAATATTTATAATATGACTAAGACAAAATTTACTCTAGGATTCAAATAAAGTGTAAATTTTATCATAGTAGAGAAGTTATCGATTTGAATTCAGTACAATTAATATGTTATAACTCAAGAATAAACAAATGAACTGTCAAACTTCCATAATAATAGAAGACTAAACCGTATTATCCTTTCATATATCATATATGATGTTACCAACCAATGCTTTTTCTGTCAAACGCACTGAAAAAAAGTAAACGATCGAAATTGTCATAAAACCACTTTATTTGATCTATGCCAGTTGGGTGTTCGATTCGTTACACTCTAAGGTCTGGCGAATCAAAGACAGCTTACCAAATACAACTTTTTATCTTTGCTTAAGTTTTTGAATTACTTACAAACATTACCAATATCGAACTATTCTTAAAGCCATATAAATTAGTCATTAGAAAAATAAGTTTTCTAAAATAAAATTGAAATTGTTGAGAAATTACGAGTGAATATGTCCTTTTTCATGTACCATATCATATTTATTTTTAATAATAACTCTTGTCAGCTCGATAAACCATGCCCTAAATTTTATGTTAATTATAGTTATATTTCCTACAGGAGCAATACTAAAGTATTAAGTATAATGTCAAAAATAAATAAAATGGTTCCTTTTAAACTAAAACTATAAAATTTGGTGAGGTTTTTTTCGATTTTACTATAAAAATTTTTTTTTTAATTTTAAGTCAGTAAAATGTATACTTTGCAAGGTGACGTCAGCATACAATTACTTGTTATTTTTACAATGCTGGGTATCAGCCTGAAAGTATGCTACATGTTTCTACTTAACTGTAAATGCATAAACATTGCAGTTTTCGCTTCTTTAGCAACTCCGGAAGCGGAAATGACAGAGAACTTGCCGCATACAATTGCTGTTGGTTTTTCGTGTCGCTTTAGCTGGCAAAATAATACAAAGTGATAGAATGCCAAACAATGGAAAATAGTATAAAAAATATAAAAATGCTTGTAGTTGAATATATTTAAAGCTTTTATAGAAATATACACATAGTCAGTCATACAATTTACATTAAGTTACCATAGTCACACAAATCCCAGAGCAGGCTTTCTATTTTACGATTGTCTAATGTTAAAAAAATGTAAATGGAAGGAGCTTTTAAAGACTGCTCAATCAGCTTATAACAAGATATGTACTTTAAAGGAATCGAATAGATGGGTTCACTGACATTTCGAATAAGTATTTTCAGCAACGAAAATTAAATAAGCGATTTCTATTAAAACAAACAGTCAAGTACATTGTTCTATTAAAGTGGATATTACTTTTGGTAATTTTCCAGTTTTAATTTTAACATGCTTGCACCAGATGTTGCACAAAAATTGTGATTTCATTAAATATATTCCCGCTAATAATTCAGCGCGCTAAAAAATCTACTAATAGTCAATGAAGAACATAAAATAATGGTAAATAAAAAAAATACTATACAAAAAAATATATATTTGTATATATTTATATATCATAGTATGCAAAATGACTGAGATCTTTACTCATTTAGTCAATGAGCCATAAGCTGGCATATACATATATATATACATATAAAAACAGATATATTGATATGTATGAAAACACCTAAAATGTTTATTTTACTTAGTTGAAATCTGTGTTTTCATTTCCCGAGCAATATATGTGAATAAATACAATTTGGTTACAAGTTTATCTATCTATTTAAAAACCAATAATAATCTCCGCAAAAATTCGCATAAGTCCAAAACAAAAAAGACTTCACTCGAGCGTCAGAAACACGCTTCGCTGCAGTGATAGATCGATGCTGCCAAAAACGTACTCGCACTTACACATGTACATTTGTTTCATAACAAAAAGAGAGCGGTGAAAATCACCACAAGACATGAACATGGAAAATATTGTATGAAATCGCAGCGAAAATTGATTGATATGTACAAATAAAGACATGACTCACAAAAATAGCACGCATAAACATATACATATATATACATACAGTTGCCAGCAATTAATTTTATTAGAAATACAAGAAAATCTTTGTGCAATGTTAAATGGCAAAGAAAATCAAGGTGCATATCAACATAAATAAATATTTATGTATTATTCTAGTATATAAAATGCAAGCCTTAAAGTCAAAATGTTTAGATATCTGTTGAAAATGTTTATATTATATAAATATTTTTCAAACAAATAAAAACAGTAAACATTTTTATTTATAAACCAGTGGATTGACATGCTACTTCAATAGCTTGAAAATTTTTTAATATTAAATCGATTTTTTTCTTGGTTGAAATGTTCATAGATTTTCTATGCCATGAACATATTTAGAACTGATCGAAACCTAAAAGCCCTTCATTTTGAAGAGCAATATTGAGGTTAGGGCAGGTCTCAAATGAACGAGAGACTTGGAATGTTTTTTGGGACAAAAGAAAACTCTTAATCTAGCTATATAAAAATTTCATCAAGGCACAAAAACTGTCGGAACTTCTGAAAACCCGTTTAGTAATCTGATGTCTATGCAGTAAACAGGATATGTACTTCCTCGTGAATGAATAACCGCAGAGACATGCAAATTTTACAAAAAAAATTTCGACCTTCGAAAATCTATAAAAACTCTTCCATTTTAAATTGATGAGCGGTATAATTCTAGCACGTAGAGTAGCTATATCTCTAAATTCGATCTAAAGGCTTTGAAAGTATTTTTTGGAAATATCGAAACTAATGATCCTGCTGAAATGCTCACTTATCTGTAGCGAAAGATGATAATACGGTTCATAAATGTCAACAATTATATTTTTGAATACCCAAGTGTGCTTCGTTTTTAGGTAACGGTGCCTAGTAAAGCTGTCGACAGTGAAGTGATGCGGAAACATCTGGACACTTTTTATTCGTTTGCCCAGCCTTTTCTAGACTCAGGTTGAAACGAAATGATGTAACAGCTTTCGTGAGGAATTTTTTCAATTAGCCTTTCCCACGACAGGCTTTTAAGGCAGTCTAAGTAACCGGAACGGACCCGGATTTTCATCCGGCCAAGTACTGTTAACTCTATACCATTCCTCGAAATTACTTCAGGAATGTTTTCTGCCGCCACAACAATAACAACTGCAATCGATATTAACCGTTCAAACAAATTTTTGATACGCTCAATGCGCTTTGTCGATACGCCTCTCTTGTATTTCTACTTCTTGATTTATACCTTTGAGTATGAGTTTTGGCTTCACAAAGCAGCGAGCGCAAAACCTGACCTAACCTAACCTTATATTTGTAGTTTGTTAACTCTTCTGTTTTCTTATGCCTCAAATCTTTGCTATCGACTCCTTAAAATATAACCTTAATTTATAAGCGCAAAAAGTTTAAATTGGAAACTAAAAGTCCCCCGAAGGTTAACGCATTAACTTAATGCTTTAAGACCTCTGTGTGTCTACTTTATTCACACACTTTCTTTATTAAACTTTTTTGTATAATTTGTCTCCTGTGACTTGCAGTCAGTCACTCGTTGTTAGTATGCTTCATTTAGATAGATATATTTGTATTTGAGTGTGTGTGTGTGTCTGAGTGTAGACAACGCTGAAGGTCACATCAGTCTATTGCAAATTATAAATTTAATGTGATTATGCAAATGTAGGATAATGTGCAAGAATTGCGATGCAAATGAGAGAAAAAAACGTTGAGCAGGGATTGGTTGGACAGCTTGTCAGTAATTTATGGTCAGTTGTGGTCAAGAGTGACATTTGAAGGATAAAAAAAATGTATATAAAAATTTGCATTTTTAGACTCTTTCTTTAAAAAAACATATATATGTACGAGTATATGTATTTAAGTCATTAGAAATTATTTAAGCGCAATTTTAAATGGATAAAGAATTTTAAAAAAAGTTTTTTTTTAACTTTAAAATCTGGCATGTCTATTTTTTTGTACCCAAAAACATATTTTTTATAACGAATAGATTGAAATCACACAGTAAAGAACAATGCAAATTCTTCATCTTAACTATTCTCTCAACACATTACTAACACACCTATGCGATTGAGCATCTTTATAAATCCTACTAATTAATTTTTGTTCTCTTTACTTGCAGCTGTCACAAAAAAAAACGCAGTTGAACAACAAGGTGTTGGCGGTCCTAAGTAGCGCTTTAGGCGCACTCAACAAGCCGCTCAGCAGCACCGCTACCTAAGATTACGCAACAGTTCGGTGTGTTTGCACAGCTTTTCAACAACTTCGGCATAGTTGTTGGCGTCACCGATAGCGCCACTACCACAGTCCCCGGCGCTGCCGCGTGCTACCAGCTAAGCGGCTGGGCAATGCAAACATGGATCATGCGGTGAAAGCGACACGTGGCCGACCATGGAATACGCTGCGCTTCGAGAACGACGAACTGGAATGCCTCTATCAACGGTACACGCTCAAATTGCAGCGCTTCTCGGTGCTGGGCGTGGTCGCATTGGTGGTGGTGTTGTGCGGTGTCATGGCGGCGCTGTCATTGGCCTACAATAATGCGCCCACCTTTCATGTGAGTCAATAAAATTGCTTTTTTCTACAAATATAGCATGATATATAGCAAAGATTGGCACAGAAGTGCTGATTTATTAGGAGCTGCACTTTTGGCGTTACAGTGGCAGGTAAAAGTAGATGTACAATGTCCTGAAATTCGTTTATTAGTTAAAGTACCTAATCCTCAACTTGGTTGTCTTATGGAATCATAGATCACTGAAGGATGTGCACCAAATGCTGAAATTAGATTTGAAGAAGAAGACCTAAAATATATTTCTCGCATAAAATCTATAGAATATCGGTTCTTCTCCTCTGTTAAATTGTGATGGGGTCTTAGAAACTTTTTACCTTGATTTCCGTATTGCCATTTCAACATTGTGTATTCGAATATATTTAACCGATACTTTAGAACCAAAGATCCTTAGAGATTTTCTTCGGAGTGAAATTATAATACAAAGTAACAAATAATATAAATTATGCAATAAATATTGCAACAACAACAAAAAATAAAAGCCATTGTCCGTACAATGACCTACGCTCGAAAAAGTAATCAAAGAAATTACCAAATTGCGGCGTTTATAAAAACTTAAATTTTAGGCGAAGTTTTAATCGTTTGTGACCTGCCGAAACTCAATTTTTAAACAGATCAAAAAACAGGTAGATTAATATAGCTTATTCGAAAAATTCTGTTTTGAGAAAAACGCGTTTGAATACTCACTGTTAAAGCTGATTGAACTGAGTGGCTACATTTTAGAAGCCTGTAACTCAAAAAATATTGGAAATCTTTTAAAAATTATATTATGGTATTTCTAAAGGTATAAACTATCGAAATAAACAAAAAATAAATTTAAAAAAAAATAGTTTTTCGAAACTGCACACTAGGTGTGACTATTAAGAACATAGACATTGAATTTTATATTTTCCGTCGAACAAAATCTAGCATCATACGAATATTGTTGACTGCCACTGTAAATTGATTTAACGAATATTTTTTTATTTACTTATCTCACACTTACCATCCACAGAACATTTTCAATTCCATTGTGTGCCTGCTTTTTGCAATTATCCTAATTCTACTGCAATGCCGTGTCATTAAGGATCATCACCTGCCAATTCTCTGCTATGGCATACTACTCTTTGCCGCCGCGATTTGCTTCGTTTCGATGCCGACACTGGGCAGTGTTTTTCCTGTGGACACAAAAGAGGTGAGCAAATGTATTAATTAAAATGTAAAAGCAATAGCAATAACATTAATAAATCTGGAAAAAGTCTGGAAAAACCAAAATACAATAATATATAAGACAAGAAATTTACACAAAGAAAATCTAGCATTAAGTTAATGATGTACCCAAATTGCATATTTTCGAAGAATTCTTTTTTATTATGTTTTCATTTTGTATTATATTTCAGAAAGAGTCTGAGGTAATAATTGATGTCCTATTGAATTAGAAGCTTCTGAAACATATGTACATAGTTGCTTTCTATACATGCATATAATATATAATACTCATTGATGCCGTAGAGAGCTTAGTTTGTTATTTACGTTTGCCATCATCGAAAATTCGAGTAAATAATCAAATGCTAAAGTCTGTTTCATATGAATTGTTGCAAGAATTACTCATTTACTATGTAGTGCCGACATTTTGTGCATCGAATTGACGTGCTCGTTGCGATTATAACTCGTCTTACTTTACTATTAATTAAATATTTTAGATTGTAGTGATGTATGTGTGTGCGTGTAAATAAATATACTTAACATACTCATCAATTAAACTCGAATTGGAGACATTTGCTGGCAGTATTTTTTTTTTTTTTGTGGTCAGCTCTGAGTGATAATTTTGATTTTACAATGAAAGTATAAACCTCAATAGGTTATCTTTGAGTCAGCACCTATTTTCATAAAGCTGTTGTCCATTCGATGCAGTGACGTAATTTTAGCTGGATGGATATATGTATACCAAATCTGATATATACAATATAATAAAAGCTACCAAGAATAATATACAATACTCGTCGCGGATTACCTCGCTTATAAGAAAACAGAAGCAAATACAACTTTATTCCTATTAAGAAAAAGCTCATAAATACTAGATCCTAGAAGTTAAAGGACAAAGCAATCTTCGATCTAATTAATGTTAAAACTCATTGTCCACATGGACTCCATTAACGAACGCTTAAACGATTCTTTTACCAATTTAATAACGCAAATTTTTCCAAAAGGTCTTTCTAGCTTCGTAGCTTTTTACATAGATCATCGGTCCGCACAATTTTTCTAACGTCACAAAATTCGTTCTGACAATAAGAATAACCAATAATCCAAATCAATACACAAAGAATATTCCACAGAAAGTAAAACTGAGTATTCCAGTCGCCAGTCGTATTTTGCCACATCCAGTATCTCACAGTTTCACAAGAATCCCACACTTCTTGAGATCGGTTAGAATTGGGTTAGAAAATTGTGGGAAAAATCGGTTAAACTATTTTTCTAACACGTCTAATTTCTTTTAGTGTAACCTACGAAGTGTTACAAACTCGATACAGCGTCCTCCGAGTTAGTGAACCTCACACAGTAAAATTCATCTGTAGTGCGCTACAAGCTCTTGTAAAAGTACTCTTCGTTCAGTCATTCTGTGCATTATTCGGTCATTAGTTATCATTACTAGCTGCCGTTAATGTAAACGTATATATTATATTAGCACACCTACTTATAAAACTTTCCCCAACTTATTTCCAGGTCATGGCCGAGGGTGTGTGGCAAATTGTCTTTGTCGTCTTTTTGGCTTATGCGATGATGCCGTTACAAATATGGGAAGCAGTGTGTTTTGGTATTATTTTGCCATCAGTGCATATTAGTTTAACGGTGTACAAAATTATAACGGATTCATTCCGCTATCTGGAATATAATCAGGTGAGAAGAGAAATATGATTTCAATTATTTCTAACTTTCAAGTGTATAAGCTGGAAATAAATTACGAAAAATAGAAATGCATATATTATATAATTTTATAAATTAAAATCTCAATATTATACATCCCACAACCATCAACCATCTTATTTAATTTAATCTTGTTTTCATTTTGAATATGCCGTAAATTTCACTCATATATTCACAGCTTATTGCCAACATTGTAATGTTTATCGGCGTTAATGTTGCCGGCTTGGTCGTAAATATTATGATGGAACGTGCCCAACGACGTGCATTCCTAGATACACGCAACTGTATTGCCGCCCGCCTGGAAATTCAGGATGAAAATGAGAAATTGGAAAGACTTTTGTTGTCGGTTCTACCTCAGCATGTTGCAATGCAAATGAAAAACGATATACTCTCACCGGTTGCGGGACAATTTCATCGCATATACATACAAAAACATGAGAATGTGAGGTTAGTATACCCCTTTTATACCCTATTGGAAATGAAGCTTATACAATATGAGGCAAGTACAAATATAAGATATCTAAATAGTTATAAATTTACCGTAATTCCTCTATCCATATGAGGGTTGGATATTTAATTCAAACATTTGACGAGCTATGGAAAAATTCGAATATTCAAATATCGGATGTTTTTAAATCCGGTTGTCTGAATAATTGTAAAAAAAAAACAATTATTTAACAGTTATCTATAATGTCCAGATTTTATCCATGTGCCAAATTGTTAAAAATTCAAATTTCGGCGCTTTCATTTCTTTACCTTTTCTTAGTGAATTTGACAGCAAAATAATGCTTCTGTGATGTTATGAACGAAATGAGAAGACGGATTTCTTTACAATTACTATGACAATTACCATGACATCCTTGATACTTCTCCGTCATAATTCCCATTGAAAATTTAAAAAAAAATAACTAAATTGTTTATTTATTTGCGCAGAAAATGAAAAATATAGAGAAAAATAAACCCAAAAATTAAATTAAGATTTCTTTATATTTCCATTAATACCTTTGTGTGATACTAATCAGCATTCTCATGACATTAATGCAATCTAAATTAAATTGAAGGTGAAGGTGAAGGCAAAAGGATCGAAGTCTAGCAAATTACACGGAAATTGATTAGTTCACATACCTAACTTTCGCCAATGAAATTTTGCATTAATTAATTGCATTTTCAATGCTTTTACGTCAGTCAAATTTGTTGGCATATACCCAAACATATATGGTATTGACACATGCAAATATAGAAATCACCAAAAATCGACATTTTGCATTATGAATTTTATATTTTCAAAAAAAAAATTATTTGACAAGCGGCGAATAATTTACTTATCCACAAAACTAATTGGCATTAGGTTTACTCTGACTTATGTCAATGTTATGTTTGTCGTTTGACATGCAACAGCTGATCCATTTGTTCGCATAACAAAAGTTTTGAATTATGTAGACGTTTTTCAACAAGATGCTGATATCTTTAGAACGGGCTATTGAACATTTCAAACGTCATATTTAAAAACTATAGAACATGTGGGGACTTTGTTTTGACCTAAAATTTGTCTACCTGTCTACTTTGCCGTGCAGACATTTTAGTTAGAATGTCTATCAAAACGAACCAGCACGTTAATGAAACACATATTATTCTACAATTTTTTTACGGGAGATTTTGTGTGATTATTGTTTCTCTATTTCGTAGCTAGCTTCTAGATATCTAAATAATGCTCAACTGGTTAACATTCATAAGATATTTTATTAAGTATTTCAAAAATTAGTCCAACGGTCTAATAGGGTCTGTCTATTCACGCTTTAGCTTGTGACGCCGTTCGCACATCATCACTGAAGATAAAATTTAAAAAAAATACTGTCCAGCTTCCAATGAAGTTTATACTTGTACAAATGTGGGCTAAAATCTTTCACCAACAATTTTCACGCAAAAAACACCTTTTTAGAAGCATAAAAACATACATCACATCCTGATAAGGAAGTGTACCTTTACCACCACCTAGACACAGCAAAACTGAAATCTAGCAATTAATATATTGTAACAAATAACCCCTAAAGAATTAATTTAGTTATTAATTGTAAATACTTTTCTGATTTTCAGTATTCTCTTTGCTGACATTGTCGGTTTCACGGTGTTGTCCTCGCAATGCAGCGCGCAAGAGTTGGTGAGACTGTTGAATGAGCTCTTCGGACGATTCGATCAGCTAGCGCATGTAAGTGAAAAAGGAATATATATTTTTCTTCTTCTTTTTCAAAATACGTATAGTGTTTGAGATATATGGTATATACATACCCATTTATACGACCTCACCTTCTTGAAATATATATATATATATATATATACTCTCCCTTTTCCCCAAGGATAACCATTGCTTGCGCATTAAAATTCTCGGCGATTGTTATTATTGTGTGTCTGGTTTGCCTGAACCACGCAAGGATCACGCCAAATGCACCGTAGAAATGGGTCTGGATATGATCGATGCCATTGCGTAAGTTGCTAACTTTAACCTTTTAACATAAACTTTTGCAATTCCAACTTGTATTTATTTTTTCCACATCGCAGCACCGTGGTGGAGGCCACCGATGTGATATTGAATATGCGTGTGGGCATACACACGGGCCGCGTGTTGTGCGGTGTGCTGGGTCTACGCAAATGGCAATTCGATGTGTGGTCCAATGATGTGACAATGGCCAATCATATGGAATCTGGCGGCGAACCCGGTCGTGTGCATGTGACACGCGCCACACTCGACGCTCTGTCGGGTGAATATGAAGTTGAAGCTGGACATGGGGATCAGCGTTCTTCATATTTGCGTGATCACGGCGTGGATACTTACTTCATAGTGCCACCGCCGCACAGACGAAAGGTGAGTATTTTTTTTCTTTTCATTTTCAATATATGCACACATGCACATACTTATGGTATTTATATCTGGAGTCGTGGTTCACTTACTCATACGTTTCGTTGTTTTTGGTTTTTGTTTCACTTTTGTTGCAGCCATTAATGCTAAACACGCTTGGTGTACGCTCGGCCATTGGTAGTCGTCGTAAATTGTCATTTCGTAATGTCTCAAACGTTGTCATGCAGCTATTGCATACGATCAAATTCTCGGAGCCGGTACCGTTCTCCAACATCGCCACCGGATCGTTTCCCTCGTCGGGCGGCAGTGGTACAGGAGCGCGCGGCAGCACGGCCGAAGGCGCAGGCGGTGAAAAGAGCACACGAAAGGTTAGTATGAATTTTGATTGCACTCGAATTTTTGATTTGAAACGTTTATTTCGAATCCCGCTGTAAAATATTTATTTATTGTATATAAGCTTATTTTTTTAAAGGAAAGTTATAAATCCGTTATTATTATTATTATTTGAAATGTAAATTTATAAAGCAGTTAATTATAGAGAACTTTTTTTATAAAAATATATATATTTTGATTGAATATTACGAATGTTAAATTATTTAAACAATTTGAACTAGTATTAATTGAATTAGGTGCCCCCACTCGTTTAGCTAAAAGTGTAAAGTTAATTTTTGCATGAAGTGCTGACTCCTAACCGCTTAGCTTTTTATTATTGATTTACCTGTACTCAAAAAAATTGGCTAACAATTGCAGACAGTGTTGAAAAGCACTCAATCATTAATGTAACTGTGTTAATTTTTCGTTATATTTTTAGCTATATTCATATGTAACTGATCCAAGCTCACACGACCCTAAATCCGTCAGACCACACTTAAAATACGTTCCACAAGTTCAATAGTTTACATGGTGAAGCATATGTGTATAAGGCGAGCGCATTTTTAAATATTTTTTTGAACACAATCGTAAATAAGCGAGTTTTAGGAATTTGATGTCTTGTTGTTCACAATTTGAATATAATACATAAAATTAACCAATTGTTCAATTAGTCTTAAATTGACAATAATTGATGTAAAATTCCGCATGCGACCCAATAAAATACTTCAAATGAATGGAAGAGATTTTAGTGATGAAATGGAATGTCAACAAAGTTCTGAAAATCTTAGAACTACTAAGTAAACTAAATCTTCAAAAATTTGTCTACTGATCGATAATCCGCTGGTTCAATAATGTAGAAAAGGAACGTTTAGACACAAAATTTCAAAGTACATAACATATATTTAGAAGTAATTTTGCAAACATTAACTTTGAGCAAAAATATTGCGTTTATGGTCTTCATTTTAAGCGTTTCAACATTGGTTCAAAATATTTCGCAGATGAAAATATTTTTCGAGACCTCTCGAATTTGCAAGTTAGAGCTTAAAATTATCAGACAAACGTCAAAAACAGCTGACATTTAGTAAAACTTTCACACTTAGAAGGACAATAGACGTAAGTTCTAATCAAAAATTAACACCGATATGAATATTCAGTACAGTTTTCGTGATCTGTTAGCAGAGTTGTTTATAGTTTTTAATTCTTTTTCACAAGAAATCAATCACATGTCTTTGAAAAAAAAAAAATTCTAATAACTCTAAACTTTTTTAGTCAGTAACCAATGCGCTTTCTCAATATGCCACACCCTGTACTAACATAATGAAATTGTGCTAATGTGCGACACTAAAATTTTTGTTATTAAAAACTGCGTATTGCTTTCTGTTTATAGTTTTTTGTGTGTATTTTAGTTTTAATTTTTTTCATTTTTATTTTCAGGATGCGGTAAGTGTGTTGCTCCTAGTCGTAGCTCTCTTAGATTGTAGCTAACTTACAATAGTTTATCTAATGCATTACATGTATTCGACATTGTAATGTAATGCTATATGTATTTTGTAACTGTGTGTGTAGTAGTAAAAAAAAAAAAAAAAAACGTATAATAACAGCGTGTCTAACAAATTCAGTTGAGTGGGTGCCAATATGGTTTATTAATACTAAATTCGAAGTTCAAAAATATTCAAAAATTCGGTGTTGCTTAATATCTCTCACTTCACTTTATTTGCATACAACTCATTGGTCTCTTTAATGACGTTATAGATTACTAAGTTGAATAATATTAATGTGTTAAAAAATATATGTGGAAGTGTGTTATTGTTGTAATAAAATTACTAAAATTAAATTACTTACAATATTATAACGGGAAATATTTAGAGTTTTAAGTTAGACGATATAATATATTTATACATAACTAATTTCTAGAGAAATATATTGTATGTATTGTGATACATGGCCTAATATGTTGCGTAAAAATGTGTTTTCGAGGCAAAACTTATTATAGTCCTTTTGCTTACTGCTTCGACTATGCGTACTCTCTTTTTCTCTCAATACAATTTGGAAATTAAGTACCAGTTTTCTTATCAAACTTTTTTTTCAATGTCCTGCAGCCTGTGTTCCATGTTCACTTTATAAAAAAAACAAACACTTTAAATGAGAATGTGGTGATTTTTATAAACAAATTCGAAATCCGAATTAAGAGTTTGGCCGTAGGGGAGTCGGTTGTAATAAATGATTTCCTATAATATATGCTAATTCTACCAAATGCGTAAAAAATCCTTTCTGACCATCAATCCTGGCTGTACCATTGTTGGCGCCGACTCACCGCGATTCGACCACGATGGCTTTCGGTTGACGTTGTCGTCAGTGACACACTTTTCAATACCAGTAACCATTTGCTACAGAAATGAATCGATTGTTTGCAATACCACAGCAATTCGCAGATTGAAGTTCGGTCCATGATATTTTTTTGCGCTAAGTCGTGTGTTATCTATTTATGGAGGTTCTTTTTCTATTCAACCTTATTTAAATGGTTTTAAACGATTTTTTTATGCAATGTTTAGCTCCTGAGCAATCGTAACAGTGCTTTCAAGATTCGACGATATCCATTATTTTAACGATATTTTCAAAAATTGGTCTCTCAAAGTTTGGTGCATCTTTGACACCAAAATTACCGGAAGAGATTCGACGAATCCGAAAGTGCGCGGTTTCTCTGTTACAGTATTAGGACCTTAAACACTATTAATTTTCTCAACCGCCTGGCTTACATTTTCGTATTTATCGAAGAAAACCTGTTAAATGTTATATTTTTCCTAGTGTCCGTCTTTTATGTGTGCTCAGACACAATAGACCCTAGGTCGTGGTGCAAACATAATTTTACCAACACACTAGAATAACAAAAGATCTGTCTATGGAAGATATAAATTTTAACATTCGTGTTATTAAAAAAGTTCGAACTTTTTTTGGTAAGCCAAATATAAACGGAAACCTTAGCCATCAGCAAGAAATTTTAGTCAATTGACGGCTCTCCAAAACTGTTTCCGAATCAGTGTCAATATACCATATTGCTAAAAAAAAATACAATGTAGAGCCTATATTGGAGTTTTGTACCACTTTGTAGAATGTGTTTCGAGGTAAGAATCTTGAGTTTTATGATTAAGATGAGAGATGCAATAACAGCTGATGACTCTGATTCTACATGATGATGATGATACTGATTCTTGTAGAAGTAAAGTCTTGAACCAAAAACTGTAGTTAATCACAGTATTTGTTTGACCAAATTTTAGAAAATAGTAGTTGAATAGTGTAATGATGATATATTAAAAATTACCCAGTAGTTTTTATAATAACTGTTGTCATAAAATTATTGAAATAATTAGACATAAGTATCATGTAATAGAAACCTTAGCTATAAGTAATTAGTTTAAATACTAGTATTGCCATCCTCCAAATAATTATGTCTGTATAACATGTGTATATTTTGTTATTTTTTTCTCCCTTCTTTTACCTTAAATATTTTCGATCACTTTCCGTTTTATACTCGTATATGTATGTATTATCTTTATGTTCTTTTATATTGCATTTCTTTATTTTCCTCTAGGTTATACGACTACAAAAAATTTTACATGCCCCCACACCACCCGGTGGCGGTGTGACTATCTCAGTAGGAACTACTCCTAACTCCACATCGAATACGATTAGTCGCATTCACAGACTCAATCAAAATAAGAATAAAGTGAGAATGAAATACCTACATTTGTATGCAATATTTGCACACTGACGTTCGCTCATGTGTTACCATTAATTATTACGTTACGTAAAACTACACGTATTTTCCTATAAACACATAATCGTACCATTTTAGAAAGCATAAAAGTAAATTTACATAACGAGCCTTTACTTTTACCATTACGTTACATACCGTTTAAGTTCATTGCGTTACGTTGCGTTTTTTACCCTACGCTATATTTTACATTGCGTTCAGTTGCATACGAATGGGTTTAGCATCGTAATATTTATAACGTTTAACTAAATTCCGTTAAATTTACTTTGTTCACTAATTTCTGTGATTTTATTTTCCATATTTTCTTTAATGTTTTAAATTGTTATATTTAATATATTGTTTAATTATAGCTAATTAGCAGTTATTTAGTTAGCTTTCCACTTACTTTTAGTCACTAGTGTTTATAAATAAATTCGGCCAAAGATTTGTAAAGACCCTGTAAATAAACTAATACTGTTTACTAAAAAGAATTGTTTGAAATTTGGCGTCAAAATTGTTCGCCTCTTAATAAATGTTACCTCTCAGCGACTGCTTTTTACATGCATGAAATTTTCGGCTTACATTTCAAATGTCCAGTCTTACTACTAAATGTGGAATAACCAATTGTCTTCTGCGTTATTTACATAGATACATACATACTTAAGTGTTTTTCAATTTCGTTATTTTCTATTCTAACTGTTCATATTTACTTATACACATAGCATTTCAGGGACCGAAATTAATTAAAGCTTAATTAATAACATACATACACATATTTGTATATCCTAAACAGGTTTGCCACGAAGTTTATAGCACCCACTAGGAACCTGAAGCGTACGAGCGTTATCCTTCTATTCGTCTGTATATATAGATATCGACCTGAAATTTCGCACACCTATATTTTCCCCCAAGTTCTTCTAGGGAAATTTTTTATTGGTGAAGGGTATTAAAGCTTCCGTCCATGTGTTGTATTCTCCACTTGGTTTATCCATCGGAAAGACGACCCATCTGTTGCTCTGCTATCACCGGAGCACGTTTAGGAGCTATATATTCTACATTCATTCGAATGATTCGTCCTAACTTTAATTCTCTTATATATTATCTTATACTATTATATATATATATATTTTATATTATGTATATCGTCATAAACTCTAAAAAGGTGCAGCAATATTCTCTCAGCATTTCAAGACCCATGCGAACGGGAATACATATTTTTATGCTCATCGAGAAAGAAATTTACTTTTCATATTCGTACAAAATAGTACTTCTTATAAGCTCGATTCTACGTTGGACTCCAATTCCGACTATTTTTCGATGCTTCGCTGGTACAGATTACCTACAACAACTCAAAGTAACTGGTAAACCTATAGACCAGGCCGTAAATATGCTGACTATTTATTTGATGACCGCACACCTTGGAACCTGAAAAAGGCAATCCAATCAAAATCAAATGTTGGCTTTACCATATACAATCTATATTCAGAGTGCTCTTTTGTTGATTGTTGTATGATCTGATCTGATGATGCTTCGTCATAAACAGATTAATTCTCTAGATTTCTGTCACGATCTTATAAACTTCAAAGCTTAAATTGTTAGTAAAGACTAACTTTTCATTTTTAAAAATTTCGGTCCCTTCATGTTGGCATGTGATTCTTAAGTTCTTCATTATTGAATTGTATATATCATGCATACATACATACATATGTACATATATACTCGTTAAAGATCGAGACTTATAGAAATGTAATATCATAAAGATTTTTGTATAGACATTATGGCATTGTAAACTGTCTGTTTCCAGAAAAAAATAAATTCTTCTAAAGATCTTACTTTACATACATATACATTCATATACTGTATGTACATATGTACTATTTATGAATTTATATATGCATACATACATTGAATATGGTTTTCATGTTGGGTTTAAGCTTCGTGGGTGCAAGCTCTTTAAAAGTTCATTGACTTATCTAATTTGCTTACAGTATGTATACATAGTATACTGACAACTCTTTCAGCTTTAAGGAACTTCACCCGATATCCAATTAACTTACTCTAAGCCTAACCGTTCATATTTACATATACACGTCTATATTATATACTTACTGTATTAATGTATTTGTACTGCAAAATTGCAACTATTTTACTTGTTTTCTTCATGTGTCTTGCCATGTTTGGTTCTCTTTTGCTCTTTTATCTCTTTTCGCTCTCTCGCACCAAACACACACACAGATCTCTCGTTGGCATACCCATTTTGTACCGTTCCGTTCCGTGCGTGAAAACCAAAATGTTTATTAATCGTACCAACCAACATCAATAAATTATAACGAAAATCTTTCATGTTATCAACACAAATCGAATACCATTGTCGCATCAAAACAATACACAGTAACCTCAAAACAAACAACACCAACCGTCCGATTTATGAAAAACCAAAGCATCAAGTGACGGACAAATTTAAGCGTCCTTCCGCAAACGGCACTCTCCATGCACTATCAACCGACCATCGCGTCAATGCTTCCTCACTAGGCGATAAATGCACGTTCCGTCGATTGCGATAAGTCCGAGCATGTGGATCGCATTACTCTGCGCTTTAGTGAGGTGACAAAGAGCGCGAATACCGTAAAGATTTCGATTTGGTTTACCACCGCCATGGGTTGTTCGCTATTGCTGCTGATTTGGGTGCACACTACAAGTGTGGCTCTACCCGTACGCTCATCCTCTGCATCTTGACCGCTTTTGTATGGATTAGCGCCTACTGATGTTACTGCTGGCGGTGCGTCTCAAGTGGATGTGTCTGGGACTTGGCGCGTAGTTTCACGCTTCGCTTGGCTATTACAATATTCACCATAGTGCTGATCTATTCGGTGGGTCAGGTGAATGTGGTAAGTGTGGGCAAGTAGCTGCATCGTTTCTTTTCATTCATTTCATTTGTTCCATTTATTTATTTCTATGTATTTTTAATTTTTCTTTAATTATTTTAGAATAGTTACTTGCGTCATGGATCATCTTGTGCCAGTAACGTCACACACATGCCCAAGCTTTGAGGAGGACCTGCTCATATTTGCGCACCATAATGAGCACACCGAAAATGCTCGCTGCCACAGTATGTTTCGCTCTCGGCGACTTTGCATTTTGTCAGTCCAGTATTTTTGCGGTGAGTCTAGTGGTCTCAACTAGTTTTCTGATATCTATATATATACAAACAAATTTTTTTAAACTATATGTTACTTTATTTCATTCGCAGTTTGCCAATAATATTCAAATCCTTCTTGATATTACTTATGGGCACAATTTATGGACTTTTTATCGAAATGTCGCATATAAATATTTTTGATTGCTATGACAGCAGAGTAAAGTAAGTATATGCATGATGTTTTTTATTTGTAGACTATAATATTAACCTTTTTAACGGTTTTCTTACTTCTGAAATAGAGTTAATCAATTCAAGCTTCCACCACCCCACCCTAATGAAATCACAAGCCATTTAACGATGTTATTCAAACTTAATTCTTACTTAGAGTCCTTAACATAAAAATTCTATATTGAACCAATTATAGAATCACACTATAGACATGATTCCGCCCACCTTTAGATGAAATTTCAAGTTTCCCAATTACTTAATTTATTTAAATAAAAGCTTTCATTGATTGAAAATTTCAATAAAATCCTTTGGCGCCATTTGAAGATGACCAAACTCGGTTCAAAACCCTGCTTTTAACAATTGTAGACCATTTTAAATCCTTTATACTTAAAAAACTCACGACATATACAAGTAGTACTCATTACATGTGGTAACTTTCTTTCAAAAGCAGTTATAATTGGTCCGTATCTTATTCGAGCCCCTATACATACAATCTCTCTTTTGCTCGGGTTAGTTTTGGGTGTGAGTATTCGAGATATGTTTATATAAAATTATATATGGTATCAAATCATAATTATCATACCTACAGTTAGGAAGACAAGAACTAAAGTCTTATAAAATAGATCATCTAGCGCTAATTGAGCCCGGGCAGGCTGCACTCAAACCTATATATTGGTCCTTTTTGACCCAAGGTAATAATATCCAAATTTTCTAAATGACTTTTTACTAAATGATACTCGAAATGCATCTTCATAAAATCGGCAAAGAACTTTGACTTGGATTTTATCCTCTTATATTATATAACCTATACATTGTACAATAATATGCATAAGAATGGAAATAACAATCTGAAAGCATTCTCAAATGAAAATATTCCGCTCGAGCTCTTTGTTGTTTTTTTTTTAATTTAGTTTTTATTCATTTTATATACATAGTTTATGGATTTCGATAGTTCACAGTTAATATAAATGTCCTTCGCTGTGTTTACAAATTTCATTAATTTTTTTTTCACCTTCACAGCTCATCCATTCCGCTTCATTTGATCTCACTGGCGCGCATAATAATTTTCATGATTGCAATATTGGTGCATGGACGTTTGGTCGAGTGGACAGCACGTTTAGATTTCCTCTGGCAGTTGCAGGCATCACAGGAGAAAAAGGAAATGGACGTTTTACAGGAATCAAATAAACGAATCCTACACAATTTGCTGCCAGCTCATGTGGCTGCACATTTTCTCGATAATCAATTTCGCAGTAATATGGTAAATAGTAATGCATAGGTTGTTTGTTGCTTTATACATGCTCACATACACACATACACATTGTACGTTTATTTATGTAAGTACTCTGTGCATGCCTCACCTGTGTCACCACTTTTCATTTATTTTGGGAAACCGAAACAATTTCTTTTCAGTACCCACTTTTTAAACAAGCAAAATTCCGAGCGTCTTCAATGTCGCCGGTAGCAATGGGCACCTTTGCATACAGACATAAGCACACACACACACACACACTTGCAGACAGCCTAGCTCAGCGAAATTGAGCTTTGATCCTTAAACTTCACATTCTGTAGTCTTTATGGGCCCGGATGTGGGGCGTGCAGTCACACTTGCAACACAAATTTTTGCACTCAAGCGTGCACTTTTCACACGTGACTTATCTACGGCTGATATACATACATATTTCTTGCCTCAAACACATATTTTCTATGCGTTCAATCAAAATCCACTTTTGTTTTACTTACATACATATATACACACATATACTTATGTTGCATATGTATGTATATTTAACGACTTTTTGCAATTCGTTTTTTTTTTTTTTGATTGTGCCTCCAGACACCGTCGCCATTTGTACTCGTAATTTTTGTCGTTTTTTGGCGTTGTCCTTTTTTCATTTTTCCTTTTCGGTTGCCAGTAATGTTTCGCCGATTTTCGGAAGTTTCTGTTGTTGTGTCGTTCTGCCCGCTTGTCGAAATTGTTGCGACAGAGAGGGTAATTGAAACTCTTAAGTGTGTTGCCAGCCCTCTTATCCCCTGATATTTTTAATCATTCATTGTCTTTGCCGATTGTTGTTGGTTTCTTTCGTGGCTAAACACTATAGGTCAATCCCTCACAGGAACTCTATCATCAAAGTTATGCCAAGGTTGGTGTCATATTCGCATCGGTGCCGAACTTTCACGAGTTCTACACAGAGATGGATGGTTCGGATCAGGGTTTGGAATGCTTGCGGTTGTTGAATGAAATAATTGCGGATTTCGATGAGGTAAGTAAAAATACACCAGACTACTCACTAACTGAATTTAATTCCGATATCTACAAAATTTATATGTATTACTTTCATTTGTATTAGTTATAAAGTATAAATTTATTATACCATCTGATCAAATATGACACAGACTGACAAAAAAAAATGTTGACGTATATTAATATAGGTAAATCTTTGTTATCGCCTACAAAATACGCTCCATTTGAGCCAATGTTTAACACTAAACCTACCAGCATTGCATGTATAACTATTCCTACCATGAGCGGTCAAATGACGGATTTTGAAATTACTTATATCTCTTAATATAAAATGAAGAAAATAATTATTTCATAATTAAAAATATAGTTTCTTTTATTTAAAAATAAATCATCTACATTTTATTCCTTATATACAACACTTTTTACAAATTATAGGCTTCTCAATCGCACATTTGCCGCATACGTACTTTTTCATTTAGACAGAATTTGTTTGTCTTATTTTTTGCAATATCTTATCTGACATGTTTTCCGATCACTTGTTTGTGCACTAATGTTTCTGGCTGCTTTGCTGGCTCTTCTTCCTTCCTGGCTGTTGCTCTTTGATATTCGCTTATAAGTTCTTCTCCCAATTGAAATAAAAAGTTTGCCTTGATATTAGACTTCCCGTGTTCTTTATATAATATCCATGCATTTATCCGCTAAGTCTAGGATATTGAAAAATACTTGTAGTGAGCCATCTCCGAGATTTAGATTTTACAGAGTATTTTCTGCCATTTGTCTGTAACATCTACACCGAATTTGGTGTTATTATATAATCTTATTGTCTCGGGTATACAGGGATAATTTTTCAATTTTCACCGAATTATGCATTGAGCTAAGAATCAATACCTTTTATTTTGTTTAGCCTTATAAACTGTCAGAGTACAATTATTTGTCCGATATAATTTTGTTGAGAAACGTGTCATATTGTCTTTTTTCTGTTTTGCCAATTTTGGTAACTCTCTTTTATTTGCTCGAATTGTTCCAAACACCGTAGTTTTTTTTCTAAAAGTTTAGTCGCTATCGAAATGCTTGTAAAAAATTGTCCATGGTTATATTTCTTCCCGACCTGTATACGGTTCTACTAATTTCAGAGCGACAAACTCCCCAAGGGGAACTGAAGGATCTCTGCTTTCATCTTTTCCCAAATAAGGAAAGCCGTTTATTATATATTTTGCTATTTACATCGGACGCTAGCCAGAATTTGATTGCCAAATTTGTCGGTTTATTGGCATGTACTGGGTAAATCTGCATCTTGACTTGAGATTGCACCCTAGAGAATTGGTGCTGCCAAATTGTATAGCATAATCTCTAAAGTTAATGGAACTTATGATGAATCGTAACAGTATCTATTTTTTAATTTCAGATTTGAGTTTTCGAAGATTCTATTACAAAAACATATAAATCGTTCAGTCGGTCAAATGACCGCTCGTGGTAGTTAAAACGCGTCTTACATAGTTATCTCAAAATCAAAGAATCGAAAAAGTAGTAATATTAAAAAACAATTGTATGCATATTTTAGGAAAGTCATGAAGTTTAATGGCGGTATAATAACGTGGTGCTTAAAATTTTAAAGAAAATTTGAAAACGGTCATTGACCGCTCGGTAGGTTTAGTGTTAATCCAATTTTCCATTATGTATGAGGGTGCCTGAGCAAAATTAGATTTTTCGATTTCGGCTCATTTTTGGAGCGCCATTCGCTAAATTTTTGAACAGTTGCGATGTCATATTCATAAACCGACGTTCTGTCACCAGTAATTTGCGTTTGATGAATGTAGAATCCTCAACTACTAGTACTGACACGCTTCATAGCCAAAACATTAACCAAATGGTGTTGAGTCGATCCACTCTGATGTCACGATTTTCAAGCACTGTTTTAACTTTTCTTTTTCTTTTCATGTTACCGTCACTATCGAAGGTGATGAACAACTGGCATGAGGCTAATTTTCGCTGACTTCACGACCTTCACTGAATGGTTTCTGCCATCAAATACTTGTATCGTCATAAAATAGACTCACCCAAAACACTTCCATTTAAAATACAAAAATTCAAGCAAAACTCGTTAACTTTTTCATGATAAAATCGTCAGGCAAACATTTCGCGTCGTATAAAAGAACAAACACACACTAATTGACATATGGAGTTAAAATTCACACGAATAAAAAAGATTCAACCAACCTATGCTAAAAATGTATCGATTTGTTTGTCCATGCTTACGTATATGAACCAGTCAGGTCAAATTTGATCAGATGTAAACTCAATATTTAATTTTAATGCTTTAAAAGTTAAAACCTCTCTATCACGAAGTACTATGATCGTTCCTCACTTTTTCTGCGGAAAATTATAGAAAATGTTACATTGCTTATATTTGGTAAAAATTCGACTGTATTTTAACATACATATATGGTACATACTTAACATATCAATGTGTTTCTTCGAAAAATTATCGAAGCACTTCGTCCTACATTATTCAACTATTTTAGTTGAAGAGCTAAAGAAGTTTATTTTTAAGAAAACCTTTAGCAATTAGGCTTATGTCAGTCAACTCGGTTATTGCTAAAAAAAATTATCAAATTGAATGATTCAATATAGATCTTTGTTTGTAGCTGACTCTATCAATTGTCATATATAAAATAAGTTCGGAATAAGCAAAGGTGTCGACCAGAAACAAAATAATTTTTTTAAGGTTGGTTGTGCCATCACCTTTGTTAGTCTTTTAGCCGAGTTTCTCTTATTCACAGTGGGAGTTTTTATGAATAAATAGAGGCTTCTACATCTTAAGCCGACTACGAATGGCTGTTTATGTATAAAATAAGACGCTTAACATATAATGGAAGATCTACGTTCACGATTTGAACTCTCTCTAAAGTAATAAACTTAGTATTTTTTCGTTGCCTTGGAGAATAGCAACCCAAAATGCCATTAAGCTTTGCAACATCAGAAGCATGGAGTTAGAAATGTACTCAGAGATCTACACCATAGTCCATTTTATACCTATCTGAAAATATGAGAATGGAGGAAATGGAAGAAGACTATAGTAATTCTACTCGAATATTATCTTGTGGAAACATACTGGATCAATATTATTAAATATGAAACCTTTTAATATATTATATTCAACCAACAACAGGATTTTTCCAAGAGTCTTAAAGATCATCGACTAGTTAAAAGTTAAATGCATCAATAAATTTATTAGTAGGTATATCTCGCGTGAGGTTAGATACTTACATATCTTTGACTCTACTTAATAAATATTAAATAAAAAAAATTCTGGCATTTCTATATACATAAATATCTTTTTTAAATATTTCCCTATCCTTTTCCTCTTTATATTCTTGCAGCTTCTGAAAGAGGATCGCTTTCACGGCATCGATAAAATAAAAACGGTCGGTAGTACCTACATGGCTGTAGTGGGACTTATACCAGGTAAGCAGAAAACCATACTAGTTTTAACGTTATATTAATAGACTTAATTTTACTTTTTTCAAAGAATACCGCATCAACGCCAATGATCCGAATTCTGTGCGTCGCCACATGACCGCTTTAGTCGAATATGTGAAGGCTATGAGGCTCTCTTTGCAAGAAATCAACAGTCATTCGTACAACAACTTTATGTTACGAGTTGGTGAGTAGAAACACAAATAATATTATAATACAAATCGATAACAAGTATTTTCGCTTCATTTATCTTTCTTCTTTAAACCGTTAGGCATTAATATTGGTCCCGTTGTTGCTGGTGTGATTGGAGCGCGCAAGCCACAATATGATATTTGGGGTAATACCGTTAACGTCGCCAGTCGCATGGACTCCACGGGCATACCAGGCTACACACAAGTGACACAGGAGGTCGTCGATAGTTTACAGGGTTCACATTTCGAGTTTCGGTAAGTCAATCATTTCTAGTATACTTATATAATTTAACAATCACACCTTCCCCGACAGCTGCCGCGGCACGATCAAAGTAAAGGGTAAAGGCGACATGGTCACCTACTTTCTGAGTGACTCCTCCAACAACGGTCTCAATGGCGAGGTGCGCAATGCAATGATCGCCAATCGCGCCATCACACAAAACGGCAATGGTTACACAACACAACAACAACAACAGCAGCAGCAGACGCAATCAAACGGTTTACATGCGCATCCACCGGAATACTACCAAAAACAGTCACAATTCCAGGATAACAGTTATCAACTGAATATGAATAGTGAGACGTATAACATAAAGAAAGATAATTACGGCTACAACAACATAGACACCAGCCAAGTATTACTGAAGACCTCACCGAATGCGTTGCATGAGGAACAACAACAATTGCTAATGCACCAACAACAGCAAGTTTCACAACAACAACCACAACCGTATCAGCATCACTTGGCGCAACAACAACAACAGCGTTTAAATAGTAAACTACAAAAACAACCGAATTTCATCGCTAACGGTGGACTGCCGAATATACGGGAAAATGGACATAACGGTGAACACAACGGCAGTATTGGTAGCGGTAGCAATGGTGTAGGTGGTTACCCCTACAATGGCTACCAACAAGCACAACAGCAACAACAACAGCAATACAACAATAATTATGCACATCATCAGCGATCGCATTCATCCAGTTCGATGGGTGGCGTCAGTGTTATGGGCGTAATCACAATGGCAGCATCATCTTCCCCCGCCCTACCCACACAACAGCAAGTGCAAATGCCAATACCAGTTCCGGTTCCAGTACCAGCACAAGCCAATCCCTCTATGGTAATGTTGCGCGAACAATTTAATATCATTGAAAACCCCGGTGGTAATCGGCTTGAGTACATTAACCATGACCCCTACGCACAAGTGGAGAACTATAACAATTTATTTGCTAATGGTGTTGGTGTTGGTGGCGGTGGTGGTGGTGTAAGCGTTGGTGGTAGGCGTGAACCGCATGCCGCACGCAACTACCATCATTTGCATCACAATCAACAGCATTCATCGTCGTACAGCACGAATAGTAATTGTAATAGTTATAATAATTGCCGTGAGAGTGAACCATTGTTGCATGCTGCACCAGTTGCCAAGGTGAGTGAATATGAGTATACATGGAATGAGGAGATACTCTTATGATCATCACTGCAATCCCTCTCATCCACCGATGTTTGATATCACTAAATGCATTTGGTGGTTTGGTGGGATTCGCTTTATGATACCAGCATGTGTGTGTTAAACCTAATACAAATTAAAGTCGCAATTTAAATATGTAGCAAGGATATACTCGTCGACTTCTTTTTTGTACGAACTTAAAATATTTATGTTAATTTAGTTGTGGGCTCTAAATTGTTTCCGTTGAAACAATTCTCAGTTGTAGAGTTTATTTTCTGCAAACCTAATTTTTGTTTAAAAAAATATTGGTTTTCAAAATATTTACACTAAAATGAATAATAATAATTGTAGTACCATATCCTGGTTACACGTAAAGCCAACCCCATCTTTCAACAAAATACTTTTAGTGTTTACATAAAAAAATCACTAGAAGGAATATTCTATATTGTTGCTGCCTCAGCGTCTTCTTAAACATAATGCAACAATTCTTCCGAAATCAATAACTTTCCAAATATCTTTTAATAAAATTTTCGATTTTCTTCCACTGTATTTTTCTAAAAGTCGTAATTATCTATCAAATTTACTTGTAATATAAACAACTACATAATACTGAACTCAATACCCGCACAAGAGTGGAGAAAAAATTCAGTGGTCATCCGCATAAGCCAAGTTAAATGAGTCATAATTACGCGAAGTCCCGGAATTAATACTTAATAAGCACTTTGGAACTTTGTTAATAAAAGTCTAATTAAAATTATTACATTTACTAATCGAAAACTGGAATTTCAATTAATACTGAAAAATTTCGTAATCCCGAAATCCCGAAATTTTTTTTTGCTAATCCCGAATTATCGATAATCACAAAGTTAATCACAAATTTAACTCTTACTTCGAAAGAATAATTTACTGAAATTGTTAGCCCTTTTCGGTATACCTATATAAGTATTTTTGAGACTCGAAAACCAAATAATCACAAAGTGAGATATCCTTCCAACTAGGAATAGTAATTTTGGAAGATTTTAAGCAGTTTTCGGAATGCCGTTATGAGTATTTTGGAATACCGAAATTCCGATGGTCAACCTCAGTTTTAATTCTTACTTTCAAGGAGTAATTTAGGGGAATATTAAGGCATTTACGGTTACCTGTTTTTAGTATTTTTAAATCCCGTTATCCTGATAGTCCCACAAGTCTATTTTTGGAGAAATTTAAGCATACTATTTACAGATAATAGAAGTTTTCAAGTCGTTTTCGCCACATTCCTTAAACAATTGCGACTTTTCGTATATGCCCCCACCCTTGCCCTTTTATACACCAAACACATAAATGTACATATATTTTCTATCTGTGTCGGTGATTTTTGGACCAGTAAATGTTGCCATTTAACTAACATTTGAGACTAACAAAAATCATCTGTATTTTTAACTATTTGAAAGTGTCATATATTATATTTGTGTATATCCTGCGAGCTTTTTAATCATTCATTTCTAATGTGAACCATTTAATTGTGTTATCTCTTTGCATGTATTCGTAAACGACATTGTACACGCACACACATTAAAAAAAACATCCATACGCAAAAAATAAAAATAAAAATACCCGCTGTGTTCCAACTCGCTCACCATAAATGTGCCATCCGAACAACCGACCGACCGCCCGTCCGCCTCCTGCTTGTCGTGCATTCATTTCACCAAAAATCCAAAACTTTTTACACACACACACACACGCCACATAACGTATTTAATTATACACACGGTTAATGGGTAACAACATGTTGTTGCTAAAATCAATGGTTGTTTGGCTGATGCGTTGCGTTGACTTGAACTAACACAAAATACAGATAATGCCAATGCAACAGCATCCACAAGCATATCCACCTAAATATGAGCCACCACGGTACATGTGTCCTAATACCATAATGCTACAACAGCAACAACATTTACAGCAACAGCTGCAATTGCAACATCACCATCATCATCAGCAACAATTGCATCAACAATATCCACTATACTCGCAACACCCTCAACCGCCATTACCAATTCCACCACCCAAACCCTCAAATCTAACTGCATCCTCATTAGCCACAGCCTCAGTGTCAGCCTCAGCCTCAGCCTTAGGCTCAGCATCATTGAAACAGAATACACCACTCATACGCACTACCTATATGAAGCCCCTGCCGAAGTTGCCGACCGAGATCGATGAGAGCCGTGAGATGTCTTCCACCGATGATCTCAGTTCCCGCCCACATTCGCCATCGATGAGTTCCTCAGACGAAAGCTACTCGAAGACGACCGAAGGCGAAGCTGACGAAGATTCACCACGCATTACGGCGTTGAGCAAACACAATCATCATCAGCAGCAGCAGCAACAGCAACAACGTAACGGCGCCAATCCGCTACAGTGGTTATATCCATGCGACATACAAGTGGATCCCACGTCACCTGTGGTGGATATGTCGAATTTAAAAGATTTCGAAGTGAGCTCCACAACAGAGAGTCAAGGTCAACAGACAAATACCACACACAACAAAGGCGACTCCTGCAATAGTTTTGAGTATCAAGACCGCGTATTGCTCGCTGCCAATAAGAAACCGATCAGCAATGGCGGCAGCAGTAACGGCGGTGGCGGCAATGGTGGCGTGGGCAACGGCGGTGGTTTAACATCGGCCAGCAATTCGGCGAAATCGCCATTCGAGAGGGAACTGCAAAGACTTTTGAATGAATCATCACGTGCACGCGCACTGGCTGCCGCCACCTCATCGTCGGGCGGCAATATAACATCCGCCTCGAACTCCAACAGCAATCCTGAGGGCAATACGACAAGCAACAGCAGTAGTCGCAACAATATCGAATTGAGTTATTCGGCCAGCAACAGTAAATTGAGCTCGACTAACGGTTTAGCAATCGGTGGTAGCGGCAGTAATGGCAACCTCAGCGGCAGCAATTCAATGAGTGGCAACAACAACCAAAAATCGTTGACCACAACGATCTTGGATGAGTTGACTTCACCAACAACGGGACGTCAGCCGTCGAAAATACCGATTAGCACGAGTTTCATGATTGCCAAGCACCCTGTCGGTCTGGAGGCCATCAAGGAGATCACGCGTAACAAAAATCCATCAGAATCTAGCCAAATGTATGTTCTTCAAAAATAAACAGTACTTTATGTACAAGTATGTACTAATTTTCTTCATACTTTCCAGGCAAACTTCCGATACAGAATCCTGTGAGATTTTGCACGACAACTGCAATCAGCTGAATTTGAATATTTTGGACGCAGTCAACAACCAGTCGTCCACATCAACGGGCACCAATTGTCGTGATTCGATGCAACCGCAACAGCAGTCCAAAGATCACAACCATCGACACCGCCAGCGTCCACGCTCCAAAGACCTCGATCAGAGTCGTGAGAGTCTCGATCAGCTGGCCGACGGTAATGAACCGCAGCAGCAGCAACAACAGCGGCATATGCGCCATCATCATCATCACCACCACCATCATCATCAGCGACCACGTGTTAATCACACGATAGCGTTGAGTAACGATACCGAACGCGACGATACCGAAGATAATTTAGCCGATGAGGAGTTCGAGGATGATGAGGTGGGACATGATGTGCGCAAAAAACGTTTGGCCCCAATCCCAACCGAGCAGCAGCATGTCAATAATATCGGTGGTGTTGTCAATTGTTACGAAGATGATGAGAACGAACATGTACATGACGGTCACGGTGTCTATGGGGACGATATGGATGAGGAGCGACATATGGAAATGAATGTGATAAACGATGAACTGAAATATGGTGCGGGGCATCATAATCACCAGTCGATGGACTCAAATCCTTTGGAAAGTCAATCAGAGTGGTCAGATGACGATTGCCGCGAAGAGGCTACAGGTAGGTCTTATATGCGCATAGAATTGTAAAATAGATTATATAAAACATATAAAATTCAGGATCTTTGTGTAAAGTTAGTAGTAGCTGATACAATATTTTTCCTGCCGAATTTGCAAACTGCGTTCTCCCTCCAGCGTCCATTGGTCGGTACTGTCGGTCACCGTTAACTAAAACAATTTTTGAACGCAGTAAATGACTTTTATATAAATTTCTTCCATATCGGCATTCGCTAAGAAAATTATGGTTGTGCCCTCAATAAATTCCTATTTCTCTATATCCTTCGCTCTCTCTTTCTCCCTCTCTTCTTTGGCGCTAAGTACTTCAGAGAGCTTGACGCAGTCTATAATCGCTTGTCACTTCTTTTAAAGATTTCTTTAAGAGTTTAAATTCTTACTCAAAACCTTTCTTCCTTACATATTTGGGACCTTTGAACTTTGATTGTTCAACATTTCTCATTTCACGTAGTCTATTTATTTCATCTAGTTCCACATATATAACCCTACATTCTCTATCTTAACCCACAGGTGGCGCCGAGTCAACGGGCTACATAACCGATGAACCGGGCCTAGAAAATATATCATTACTTAACGAAGCCGGTCTTACAGACGCCGAAGGCGCACTATCCGATGTCAATTCACTTTACAATGCGCCCGATGTGGACGACACTTCGGTATCGAGTCGTGCCAGCTCACGATTACTCAGCTTAGATTCGTTAAGTGGGCTTTACGATTGCGATTTGGACTCCAAGCATGAAATGGCTATCGTTAATGTTTCGCACAAAATCACAAGTAAATTTGGACCACAACAACAAAGTTAATCGCAAAAACCGCCGAGTTATGAGTGCTTAGCAGTCGTGAAAATGTGCGAACGGAAGCAAACTCCAATAAAAAATACATACATACGTATTTGTACACAAACTGACATACATACATACATGCATACAAACGAGCATATAAGATAAGAGATAAAAGAGAGTTAGAAATGTTGTCTATTATTTTTCGGTGAATATACTGTAGCCCTTTCCCCAACATGTATGTATGTATGTATGTATGCAACTAAATAAGTATTTCATGGTTTTAGGCATAAGATTTCTTAAGAATGAGTATACATGCATACAAGTAAAATGTACAGTTAAGATATTGATAGAATGATTGAAGAATTGGTGCCTCCGACACTGTTATTATAGCGATATAACATACATACATACACACCACAACTAAGCTGATATGTAGCAATGATGATAGCACAACACAAAAAATGTTGAATTTAAACATTGATAGAAGCTGATGCATAAGACAGGATAAAGATACTTACACAAACATTAGAAAGATCGGTATGTGGAAGCTCTGTAGAGTTTCTTTGTTAATCTACAAATAGCATGTAAGCGTAAAATAAGTTACAACTGTATGTATATTTATTTAGAGATATGTACTTATGTACATGTAAAATAAAATCATTGCGTAAACGCACTTAAGAAAGAATGCTTTAAGAAAAAGAAGAAGCAGAAAAATTAGAAGGTGAAGGAGAAGGAACTCCAGTGCTAGATATGCTTGTGCAGTGTAGTCTTTAAATCGTTTAGATTGGATGTATGCCCTCACGCCGAGGACGTTATGAAAGCATGTAGACTAACTGCATTGATGGATGACTTATACAGTTATCTGCAATTAAGATGATTCGAATATATATATTTGTGTACTTGTGTGAAGCATATATATGTATAAGTATGTATAAGTTTCGAAAATCAATTATTTACTTAAATGCCTGCAGACATGTGTAAAGTTCACTCCCTCTCTCTCTCTATCTTAGACACACACAGCTAAGTGTGAATTGCTGAACTACTTAAACTATAATGTGTATACTTAAATAAGCTAAATGTATGTATATGCACACTTAAAAATACATGCATATGTATTTATGTACAATTTATTATATGTATTATCTGTGTGTTTTTAAAAGTGATCATGTTGAGGGTATGCTGTTTTTTAGTTTGTTTTATTTAATTTTCTTTTCTAACATTGTATTTTGTTAGTTTTTTTCTTCATGTATTATTTAATATTTTTATATTTTTTTTTATTTTGGGTTTTTAAATTCTTAATTTTTTTTAATTCTTTAATATTTTTTTTAATTTTTCTATTTAATTTTTAATATCTTTTGTTTTATTAATTTAATTTTTTCTATTTTCAAAATATGTAGAATAGAATTTTTATTTTGTTAAATTATTTTTTTCAAATCTCTTCCAATTTGGTCAAACTCACCACAGAACTTATCGTACTATGCGAATTAGTGACCGCAATAACTTTTAAAGTTGTCTATCAAACATCAGTGTTTTAACAGACTGTACTAGTAAGAAGGTTAACAAGCCGACAACTTACTTCATAATATTAAGCCGGACAAAAGAGGTAGTACGTGACGGTGATGTTAGTCGTTTTTTTAGGTTTAATATATTACGATTGATATCGATTGAACTGAAAATTAATATTGAGAAATTTTATGATGCGGATTCTCTGAATTTGAGTTTATTTTAGTGATTCGGTAAATATTTAATTAGTTTTCAAATAAAAACTATGACAAAAACATTTGGAAATGCATTTTTTTATACAAAAGAATATTAAAATTTTTTACGATTGGCCATAATACCGGCTTTAAAATAGTTTTTCAAAGCAAAATAATAATAAGTATAAGTGCACTTTCTTGCTTTCTTGTGTCATTTTATTTTTTATTTTTATTATATTCTTTAACTCGCTGTTATGTTGTAAATCTTGTACTGAAATTACTGCATAAAATAAAATAATAAATTTTATCGTTCATAAGCATCGAGCATACTTTCCCCTTGGTTATTTTTAAATTGCGTTCGGTTTTATGTATTTCTGTAAATGTCACGTTGTAAAATGCGAAAAGCCAAGCGTTTTAGTTAGTTTTAATAATTGTTTGCAAATTTCTAAGCATAAAAATATATGGTATATATTTAAATATATAAGTAGTAGCGTTGCCAATATAACCCAAATGCGCGATTAATTAAGTCGAGTTAGCGACAGTTTTTTGAATTGAATCATTAACATAAACACAAACATATAAGCATAATTTTGCATAAGTTTTGCTTCGATAAGTTTTTCAACGCATTTTATTTTCCAAAACATTTGTATTAAAATTTATTTTCGAGTATAAAGTTTGGCTATTTTTTATTAATTTATTTCGTAGTATATACAAATGTATGTAGATTAATTTAGTTTTTTTACAATATTTTATACGCTTATTTAAGGTATTTAAATATATTTGCGAAGGCAGCGCGAGTAATAAATATTTCTGTAATTAAATCAGGCGTTGTGCACATGTTATTTACTTAAAGTGTATCCATGTAAGTATGTACATACATACACAATACTTCAAAAATATTAAGCAAAGTAAGCTTCTCATGCACAACTAACTATGTACTTTAATTTTATATTGTATCAATTATTATCTATGTGAACGAAATTAAGTAAACAAATTCACAAATTATACGCTGTATATACAATACATACATAAATAAATGAAATGAATAAAAAACTATTACATTAAAAATAAAATGAACTTTTTCGCAGCCAACTTCACACTTAACCTCTTTACCGTTGTATATTTGAACAGCTGATATAGTAAGTCTTGTTTGTAATAAAAGTTTTTAAATTTTTCGGAATAGTATTTTTGTTTCGTTCCCTATCGAAGATGGAAGATCGAAAACAGCATTTTCGGCATAATATACTGTATCAAAAGGTAAAAATGCAGTTCAAGCAAGCGAAATTTATGTGTTGTGTACGGAGAAGATGTGTTAACCGAACGCCATTGCCAAAATTGGTGCACCACGTTTGGGAAGGAGTCTTGAAGCCGATGTGGACAAAATGAAGTCGTTCGTCGAATAACAACTCGAGAGATTGCTGAAAGATCAAATTTGTCTAACGCTTGAAGTTTGACATATGGGTTCCTCATGTTCTTACCGAACGAAATTTTGCTTCGTCGTGTAGCCGAGTGTGATTTGCTTATAAAACATCAAAGAAGTGATCCATTTTTGAAGCGCATTGTAACTGGCATTTAAAAGTGGGTTGTTTACTAGAATATAAAGCGCAGGAGATCATGATCTAAAAAGGATGAACCAGCTCAAACCACTTCGAAGGTCGATAGCCAAAAAAAAATATAATGTGTCTATTTGCTGCGATTTCAGAGGGATCGGTTATTTTGAGCTTTTGCCCGACCATACCACGCTTAATTCTGAAGTGTATTGCGATCAGCTGGACAAATTGGCTGATGCACTATAGTATATCTCATAGATTGCCCGATATTTTCGATAAAATTTACCCCGGCTCCTATACCTCCTCTTGCATCATCCTAGGTATAAAATTTAATGTCTCTGGCGTTATAATTTATTGACTTATCGCGCGTTTAGTAGTTTTTAACAGAAGGTGCTTAAGGGGTGTGTATTGAGCGAATTTGATTGTTCTACCTTAAGTGGTTTAGGAGATATGTACATTAAACCTCCTAGGGGGTTGGACAGGCCCATTTTTTCAAAATTTTTACGCCCATCTACGAACTCGTCCTCACCTTTTCGCCAAGGAATACGTGTACAAAGTATCATTAGAATATCTCATTTTTTACTCAAGTTACAGCTTGCACAGACAAACGGACAGACAGACAGACATCCGGATTTCAACTCGTCTCGTCATTCTAATAATTTGTACATATATAACTCCTTATCTATCTCGATTAGTTTCAGCTGATACAAACAACCATAAGGTGAACAAAACTATTATACTCTGGAGCAACATGTTGCAAGACGATATTTTAACCGAACTGATCCAGGACGTCGAAAAAATCTGGCAATGGCAATTCATCGCGACTGAGACTTAAATATTAATATGCTTTTTTTTAAGTTATAACCTATCGAAATATAAAAAATTTCACACTAGGTGTGTACCTTACCATAAACAAAAGCAAATTTATCTGAATTGGTAACTTTTTCTGTAAAGCTAGGACTTCCTTAAAAGAATCACAAATTCTGGTGGCAAAACTAAGTGAAACATTTTTTTTATTTATTAAAAACGTCAATTTAAGCAAGTTACTGAACTTAAAAAGGCGCTTAAAAGCAAAGCTTAAGCTAAGGCTATGTAAGATTCATGGAGCAGAATTAAAAATAAAATTTGGTATCGAGACCATGTTGCCTCTATATCAAATTGTTAAGAGAATATTATTTGAACAAAAGAACTTGTTATTAGTTATTATATAACACTGAAATATATGTTTCCCCATATTTAATTGAAAATTAAAAAGAACTTCTATTTTCCTTTATTTCTATAGGTTATAAAACAATTTTTTAACGGAACTTTTAGCAGATTTGCAAAAAAATATGTAAATCGCTGATAAAAATGTTATTAGAAAAAATTTATAATTTTTATGGAAAAATAAAAAGTAACAAAACTGCAATTTTTGGACTTGACCACACACAAATCAAATATTTCGCCATTTTGCTATTATTTTTATTTATTTTTTTATCTAGTTAAATCTGCATATGGTTGCCATTTATGTGTTTATAAAGATGGACACATCTAGTAGTTTAGTTCTTCAAACCATCATATTCGACTTTTAGGTAATGAAAATGTGTGTTCGATATGTTTTGGCTTATACGAAATATGATGAATGGATATTTAGCAAACTCACCCTAGTGTAACGCCACGTTAATTGAGTCTGCTAAACCATGAAAAATTAAGATATGCTTTAATGATGTTTAACGGCATTCATGGCTTTTCTGGATCGTAGTAATGATATAATCTTAATGAAATTGGCGTGAAATACTTAATTTGAAAGTATTGAATTCCACCACAAACTGGATTCAGCTTTTTAAACGATCATTTATACGCTAATCGGCATTACGAGGAATAAGTTTGAAAAACTTCGTTCAATTTTTACAGAACGGAAATATGCAAATTTTTTATGCAAGTGTATTAACAACGCTTTTAAGGTTAAGCACTGCACTGGAGGACTATTGTGATCCGGAATTGTGTTCGAATACGGGAGGAAACACGCATATTGCTTGCAAAAACAACGGCGTATGTGTTGATACAGATTTATTGTATAACTTAGGAGATAAGTAAAAAATATTAATTTAAAATTCTGGTAGAATTTCTTAAAATGACACAGCGGACTCTTTTAACAAATGTTCCAAACCAGAAACGTCACTTTTGAAATAACGATAACAATAACATCTAAAATTTACACACAGAGTTTCCATGAAAGATGTCCTCCTGATGCAAGATTGGTCGATTTGACGTTCTATATACCATTAATTTTAAAGGAGCACAATGAAAGACGAAACAAAGTGGCTGCTGGAAATGTAACGGATTATGCGAGCGCTAAGCGTATGGCTGTAATGCAGTGGGACAAGGAATTGGCTGACGTTGCTACCTACAATGTTAAAAAATGCGAATGCGAATATGATGGATGTCGAAATGTCAGACGCTTCAAGTATACCGGTCAAAATATTGTCAGTCAAGGTTACACCGGCAAAGAGAGTGCATTCAGTAATAAGGAAATCATTCAAGATGCTATCGAAAGTTGGTTTGAAGAATATGTTGCTAGTTCAATGACTTACATGAGAAAGTATCCAAATGATTTTGAAATATAGTAAGCAGTAGTACAGACATTTATATTATATATATACAAATTTTTTTTAAAGGCTTGTGTTAATATATTTGATTCAATTTTTAGTAAAGATTTTTCACACTTCGCACTCATGGTTACCGAAGCGAGTCATCATGTGGGATGTGCTGCGTCACGCTACAAGGATAAGCAATACAATAACGTTTTATTTACATGCAATTATGCCTCAGCTACTTTACAGAATCGTCCCATCTACGCAGAGGGTCCAACTGCATCGGCTTGCATAAGTGGCAAAAATGACACATATCCGGCATTATGCTCCATCGCTGAAATATATGAATAATTTGATATTAATGTGAAGGAAATGTATGTATGTCCTATATATTTTTAAATATATTAAGTGTTATGGCTACAATTAAATTTATTAGCCTTAATTAATACATAATTATACTTTTTACAATAATTAATATCACAATAACAATTAAATGCTTGATGCATTTAGATTTTTATGCGCAACTACAATATCAGAGAACGTAAATGAATAGAGAAGGAGCAAATGTTAAATGAAATCTTTTTGAATACTAATTTGTAATTCCAGATGAGGGAACATCGAAAAATATAACTTCGAAAAAGAAAAATACACCACACAATATGCGAAATGCTATAAATAGACACAACGAATATTCCATATATAATTTTAGGCCCATATGTAATTGAAATGACGTTAAAGCAGAGAACGTATATGATATACGTTCTCTGTTGACAGCTGAAACAGCTGACAATAGCGTTAAGTCTCGCATCCAACTTCATCACAAATGTTGGCGCGCTTTTTGTTTTCATTCGCGCACGATTTGACATTTTAAAGCCGTGTTTTTGAGAATTTTGTAATTAATTTCAGTGTTTTCATAAATTTTAGTATTTTCACCAAATATTAAGGTATGCAAAGTCCGGCAGTCACAACGCCCGCTACGAGCAAACGAGAGGGCGGTACTGCGAGAAAATCAAGCGGAAAGAAGCTTGTGCAGGCACGGCTACCGTTCAAAATAATTCCAACTGGAACTCCCACTGCCACTGCAAGTTCAATTTCAACCAAGGATATAGATGAGAAAGCAAAAGATGGTAGAAAACGCAAGTTATCATTTGAAGACGAGGAAAGTGAAAAAGCTGATTCTGCGGCAACTGATGAATTGCGTGGACGATCTGCTAGCAAAGAGAACTTGACTGTGAGCACAAAAAAGTTGAAAACTGATGAGCAAGATGATGTTATACTATTAGATGATGATGCTATCTTGGAAGATGATGATGATAAGGTTAAGGATGCGGAAAGAACAGAGGATGAAAAAAATGCAAGTAGCAATGAAAAGGTTGGAAAACAAGTCAAGAAAACTCCTGTCGCAACAAAAACTCCGAAATCAACTAAACAAGCTAAAAACAAAGTAAGCAACGATGTTAGTTCACCACACACGCCAAAACCGAGGGCCGCCACAGAGAAAGATGCAAATACACCAAAGAGTGCAAAAGCTAAAAACTCGAACACGCCCGGAAGTGCGAAAAATAAATCGACCAACACTAAAACAGGTGGTAGTGCAACAAAAGTACAAATAAAATTGCCACTCGGAAGTGCCAAGACAAACAAGCGAAGAAAATCTATGATTACAGCAGACTCCAAAAATGCAGAAGTTATTATATCTAGTGATGAAAATGAAGATATTAGGGTAAAGCGGCAAAAAGTGGAGGGTTCGCCAAATGAACCGAAAAAGGTAAACCGTATTTTGTACTCATTTTTGTATTATTGTAATTATATTGAACTTAATCTACAGAGGTATATAAAAAATATACGCTATATAAAAATGTATAATATTTCATGAAAATTAATATTCTAATTTTAAAATCACTTTATCAAAATACATACTTACATACATACAATTATTGCCAGATTACTAAACCTATCAAACTCACCATTTCAATTTACATAGGTAGACGATTCTGATAAGGTATCCAGTACTATGATTGATGATTGCAGTATCACAGAGTCGGAGGAAAACTCAAATGTGCTGGTCGTGGAAATCGGGGGAAATGAAACTGACCTGCCAGATTCAGAGTTGGACAGCAGAAGTAGCTCTGAGACTGTTAAGTCAAAAGATACTACATCGGAACATTCTTCAAAAATCCAGAAGTCCACTACTATAATTAATAAAACTAATGATTCGCCAAAGCTAAAACCAATAACTGCAAAATCCAACGAAACGATTAAAAAACAGATTAAACATTCTTCTCCAACAAAGCTTGATGATGTTGAACTTATTTCGACTGAAAAGGATCCAATTGTGATTACAGAATCACCAACGAAAGGTAATGAAACAATTGTTAAAAGATCTAGTAAACCACAAATTACAGAAGGAAACAAATCACCACAAGCAAAGCCGATTAAAGCAGGTAACAATAAAAAGGCTAAAAAAACACCTGAGCAAAAGCCTAAAACACCAACCAGAGCAACTAGAGCAAATAAGGATAAAAAGTCTGTAGAAACCCCAACCACATCCGAAAAAGGAAAAGTTAGCACAAATAAGAAATCCCCGTTTAAAGTCAATGAGATTGAAGATAATGAAAGTGTTGCAGAAATTTCAGTGGTTATAAATAGTACTTCGGATTCCGAAAGTGCAACTTCTAACAATGATGAAAGCAGGTCTTTTGCTGAGGAAAGCACACCAAGAGTTGCGGCTACACCAAAAATAGCCAATGACGAAGCACATGCAACGAAGAAAAATCTTACACCGAAACAGGTACAGTTAATAGAACAAAGGCGTAAGGCACGTGAAGAGAAGGAGCGTCGTTTGCAGGAGGAAAAATTGCAAAAGCAGCGGGATAAGGAGGCTAAGGAATTGTCAAAGAAGCGCGAGCGGGAGGAACGTGAGGAGCAACGCCGTAAAGAACGTGAGGAGAAAGACGAACAGAAACGCAAAGAACGTGAGGAACGTGACGAGCAGAAGCGTAAAGAACGTGAGGAAAAAGAACGGAAGCGACTGGCCGAACAGGAAGTGAAGAATGAAGAAAAGCGAAAACGCAATGAAGCAAAAGAGGAAGAATTACGTAAAAAAGAAGAGGAGCGAAAGCGTAAAGAAGGTGCGGATTTGAAAGCTAAGAAAGAAGCGGAAGCTTTTCAAAAGTTCTTCAAAGCCAAACGCGCAGCAAATGCCGATGGCGAAGCTGGACAACAACAAGCACAACAGAATGACGATAATGAACCTGAAATTCTAGCTTTCCGCCCATTTGAGGTCAAAGGTGACATGAAATTGGCGCCAATCCGTCGAAAACAGCTTACCGCTCCCTGTAGAGAACAGCTTGAGACTTTTATGGCAGATGTGCCACCAAAAACTACTAATTTATATCTGGAGGAACTTAAGAGTGGCAAAATAATACCAGGCATATGGAGGCGCATATCAGTAGATACGAAAATATCCGAAGACGACGTTCAAATCATAGGTTCTAATTTTCTTTATATATAGGTACTTCACTCTTTACTAACCTTAATATTAAAATTATGCGCTTTAGATGACGAGCTGGATCGCGCAGGGCAAGCAATTGTGGAAGAGACGCACGCACCAATCGAACATTTCCGAGCCAAATTTTATAAATTCCATGAAAATCGTAGACCTCCATTTTATGGCACATGGAGAAAACGAACAAATGTGATAAAGCCAAGGCGACCTTTCGTGCAAGATGCGGTAAGTGTTAATTGCTAGCTAAAATGGAATTTTTGATTTTGACGCTATATACAATAAATTAATTTACACAGAAATTTTTCGACTACGAAGTCGATTCTGATCTCGAGTGGGAAGAAGAGGAGCCTGGCGAATCGCTGGACGGCAGTGATGATGAGAAAGAAAAAGAGTCAGAAGACGATGACTACGAGGTCGACAACGAATGGTTTGTGCCACATGGTCATCTCAGTGACGAAGAGCTGCAAAATGAGGATGAGGTACTCGACGCCAACACACGTGAAGCGCAAAAGGCAAAACTACAAGTGCTGCAGCAGGAGTTTGCACAAGAGATGAAAAAGAAAACTGAGAAAATTAAACCACGTCTCATCGGCTGCATTTGGACAGATGAAAATGGCAATCAACCCGCTTTATGTCCGAAAATCATCTGGGATACTTTAAATATGCGTGCAATGTTATTCGAAGCTCCACCGCTGCTGGAGGACCCCGAAGTGGCGGAAAAGAGTGAACTTGGTTCGCCAACAAACAATGAGAAAACGGTTGAGAAAGTGAAACCAATTAAAATAACCGAGCGTATGCTGAATGATCTGGTGCGCTTGGTACATGGAAATCAGCATTCTAAAAACTTTTTAATAAAAGAATTCATCGCCTACTTGGAAGCCAGCGAGGAATCCATTAAAAATGGCGAAGTACGTGGTCCTATCAAATCAATAGTGCGAGAGAAAATCGATGATTTCGCCGAATGGACAATAACCGAATCGACTAAGGCGGAACAAAATAATAAAAAGAAAAATAAAAAACGCCTCTGCTGGGTGGTATCTGCTGACGTATTAAAGAAAATGGGCCTGGAAGATTTGGGATTACATAATACGTGGAAATATACACTGCAACCGAGATCCAGTAAGGACGAGACGACAAAAGCCGAAGCTAAAGTTGCCACAGAAACCGAAGCAAAGGCAATAACTGAAATTGCTGGCGATGTTGAAAACCCAAATGATGCCGTGTCAAAGACAAGCGACAAGAAACAAACTAAAAAGGAAAAAGCAAAAAGTATTCAAGCAAAAGAAAAAAAGGTTAAAACAAAATCAGAAATAACAAAATTCACAAAAGTGCAGCCGCCGAAGGCAAGTGAACCCAAATCGCCGAAAGCCACCTTGACACCAGCAACGAAAGAAGATGCGAATGCGTCTTCCGTTGAATGTAACGAATCGTCGACAGCCGCAGTAACGTCACCAGCCACCACTAAGCCGACAGCAAATGTTAAAAAGCGTGTACCACTGTTAATGTCCGTCGCGCGTGGTCAAAACATACCGCAGCCCACAAAAAATGCGCTTATTAGCGAGTTTTTAAAGAAGTCCTCGGCTGAGAAAGTAACGCCAGCCAGCGAAACAGCTAATGCTGCCACCACTTCCACTGCCAAAGAAGCCAGCGAAGTAGTGGAACTCGACTAAGCCGTTCTTAGTGTATAATTTAGTTATATATATATATATATAGTTTTATATTGTAGTACTCTCTCATGTATCGTTTACTACCAGCTATCCCTTACCTACCTACCTACCTACGTACATATATATTATATTCAATCACACGAATAGTTAGTGTAAAAATAATAAATAATATTTTTGTTAAGTATTTAAAAGTCCTTATTAACCAGCATACGTGTTAAGTTCATTGGCCAAGAATGTTGGTAACTTAAGGCCGAAACAAGAAATTAATTGTTAAATAACATTTATTAGGATACTAAAAAATATTTTTAGTTTCATGTAGACATATACATATAGACATGGTCAATTTAGATCAAATATTGTATTTTTTCCTAATGCTGTTAAAATAAAATACATGCTTGATCAGTGGGTTTACAAGTTAATTCGAAAAAAAAAAATACAGACATCGTATTATTTATGCGTCTACTAGAGCAAAATTTGTCGATGTCGAGTTTATGTTTAGTAAAGCTGATACAATTTGGCATTCTGCAACTAGGTAGCAGCCTAATGTATGTTTTTTACAAAATTATTATTAATTGAAGTTGCTACCGCATCGTGTCTACATTTGTATGCCTTTACAAGCAAACAGCTGCGTTCTAGTCCGTTGGACGCATTCTGCCATCAAATCGCCGAAACCATTTGAGTTTGAGCAAACGATTGTGGATTTTCATACCGCCGAGATATAGAATCAGTTTCTTTTTCTCCTCACCAACCTTCTCTTTAGTGACTGCAATTTCTGAGATGAGCATATCGCCCGCAAGCACCGCATGCAATAAATACACAACCGAAGTGACAATGGCCAATATGGCCTGCGTCTTTGAGTAACCGAAAAATTGATGTTCCATTTCATCTTCAATAATTTCCAAATCCGATAAATACATTAAATATAAATCCTTTTCGGCATGATACATTGTGGTGATTCCGGTAACTATGTAACCAAAGCTAGCAACACTGCTCCAAATTATTTCGCGCATCAATACCGGATCGTTTTCCATGCAAATATTCAGACAACCAAAGAAGCTCGTGCATGTGAACACTGAAAATACGGTGATGTACAGATATAGATCCTGTGACACTGCAACATTTAGAAATCCCTCGATTTGTATGCCCATGCAGAGGCAGCCCAAACAGCCTTCAAATAATTTAAAGGCGAACCAAATGCTGCGCATTGTCTTCTATGTTATTTTTAAACAAATTAAATTATTTATGTTAAACAGATTTTATGCTATGAAATCATTAAATATTTTGTTTATAGTTTTTTTTTTATTTGATTTGCTGAATTGAATGACTTCGAAGATTTGATTGCTCAATGCAACAGAAAGGAACAGTACTTCTAATTTTTATTTACAAAAAGTGATTTAACGAGCGAGTCATGGTCAAATAATGAACCTAATAGTCTCAAGGTGGGTATACAGATACCACATAAACACATTTGATATTATACATCCTGGCTTTCAATAAAACTGGAGTTCTTCCAGCGTGAACTCGTTTCTTCTAAAGCCCTCTGTGTAGCTTTATATATTGCTGTAAGTGTTAAGTCGTTTAGGTACGCCTGCTAGTCTTTATAATAAACTTTTTCACTTCAGAAATCGACTCGTAGTATTCATCTTGTCTGCAGAGAGCGGTAATCCCGGTTAGAAGCTTAAATCAAATCCAGACCTTATAAAGCGATAGTAAGCATGATGAAGGCATCGGTTGCACAGAAGCTGTAATACCCTTCACAAATAAAAAAAAAATATACAAGAACTTGATTTTGATGGTTCAGTTTGTATGGCAGCTATATAATATAGATATATATATATATCTATATATATGATATAGATCCGATATCCGACTAATGAGCAGCTTCTTGTGCAAAATTTCAAATCAATATCTCAAAAACTGTGAGACTATTGCCATGGCTCAAACGACTCAGCGCGTCATGTAGTAAAGCACAGAAAATCACTCACAGTTTTTGCTGTTTTTTTGTTTAGTCATAAACCATAATTGTGTTCAACGGCTTGAAACGGAACAGTCTTCAAGGAAAATCAAGAGATTACGTACAACATCTAACAAGTCAGTTATCGAACGCACAGACATGAAACAGAGTAGCTAATAATACGTTTTCCTTATGGACCGACTCCGTCGAAATTGCTAGTTTCCTAAGCCTACCGTTAGATGGAAATTAGTAAAGCTTTCCTCCAAACAGAGTTCTAGATAACTGCTATAAACATTATTGAGATATGTATCTCTCTTTATGATTTTTAAACGAAAATGTTAGTGTTTAATGCTAGAGAAAAAGCTTCGTACAGCTCGTATGGAACTTTGAGGAAATTATCATATTTTGCCTTCGTCTCTATGTTTTCTTATTATTCTGGTACTAAAAGAAACAACCTATCTATATTTAGGATTCGTACAGAGTAGCTGTTTATGGCTGGTTTAAAGACGCTTACCCATTATATCGCAAATTTCACCACCCATATTCCGCTCGTAAGCCGAAGCAAAAAAAATGTAAGATCCCAGCTTTGTCGAAGACATTTCCATAAATATTTGGATGAATTTTAGATGAGTGGCAAGCAGTTGATGTCCTGAAGCTGTTATTGTAACTACAACAAGACTCGAGTTAATTGCTTAAATACCGTTAATTCAGCGGGTGCAATGAATTTTTAATGAAGTTCGCGTAATGCCAGAGTGCATACATGTTTATTTGGATGGACAAAATATAGTCGAATATTGATGTTTTCTAAACCGAGAAAATTCAACAATAATAAAAGTTTTTCCGTTTAATTAATAAAAAAGTATGAAAGTACCCAAAGATGTAAGTTAAAGCCAGGTTTCTTTTATGGCAGTATTCTAAAACAAAAATACTAAATTTTAAAGGTTATTTGTGGAGTATGCAAGAAAGTCTTTTGTTGCGCCGAGTGCCGTTACAAGCACGAGATAAAAACACATGCGATCGTTGTACAAAAGCCCATAATTTCCAAACAAACGAATGAAGATCTGAATTCATCCAAGTGCGGAGATCAATCAAAGAAAAGCGAGACAAGCCATATTTATCTCTTCTGCCCTCTCTGTGAACGTAAGCCAATGCCGCTACAACGTGAAATGTACGCCGAAATGCTGGCGCATGTCGAGCAAAATCATCTGCCGCTCCGCTGCCGCAAATGTACCAAGGTAACTGCGTAAAAGTTCGCCTCTGAAATTCATAATTCAATCGCTCATTTCATTTACTCCAAAGGTCTATAGTCGTTTGGATGATTTACAAAATTTCACAAAGTGTACGCAGACCGCCGCTCCGACATGTTGTTGTCCGGACAAGGGTTGTTGCAATCAACTTGATCACACCTGTGACACCGTCACGTTGCAGAAGGAGTTTGCCAGAGTGACGATCTCAACGCAAACATCACCGCAGCGCCGCCAATCCGACGAGTTCCACGAGACGCCAATGTCACTAATAAACCTGCGTTGGAAAGCCAAGAGCAAGCTGACACATGAGGAGTTTGTGTGCGACAGTGTTTCCTCATTGCGAAATATTTCGTCGATTAGCAACAATTCACTGCGCCGCAGCTTGGATGCCATTATCAAACCGAAGGGCCAGCTAGTGCGCACTACATCGACGCCAGTGCACGCAGAATTGCTTTGCACAAAGCACAACGAGCGCACCTTTAATGCCTCCGGTGGCCAAGTGTCCAGTATTTACCATAGTGGCGGTGAAACGGATAATCACAGTCCTGCAATTGCTGCGGGCGCAGGCGCAATCTCTATTCCTGCCGCTCAATCACCATCCAAACAGCAATTAGAAAACATCAACCGCTATCTGAAGGTTCCGCGTGGCAAAATGAGTGCGGTCACTCCGCTGCGGCAGGTGATGTCGAAGAGCATACAGAAGGCCTTCGCCGAGCATGGTGGTTTACCATCGGCGCGTATTAGTGGCGCCGATTTGCCACCATCGCGTAAGAATATGTTTGATTCTCACGGGTCTGAAAGCAGCAGCAGTTCAGCGGGTTCACCACTCGATCTGCGTATGTCGCCCGTAGTTCGGCGCACTCATAACGAAATCATTGAAATGAGTCAATTGCAAGGTAATAATGCTTCTGCGGAGCGAAGATCTACTATTTCACAAAATATGCGCCACGAAGTGTACCGTTCATCACAAAAGCTCACTACTACCGAATCAATTGTGATAACGCGCACAAAGCACTTGGCCGGCTTAGAATCTGCGGCAAGTAGTATGAGTAGTGCTAGTGGTTCTGTAGCTTACATGACCGCGGACAAATTAATGACGTCTGCAAGCTTGGCCAGTGACAACTGCAGTGGCAGTTCGGTGTACAAATCATGCGAGAGTATTGAGATCATCACGGCCACCACCGCGCTGAGTGAGATCCAACAGGGTTATTACGCCGTCACCGACAAGCTTGATAATGCAGGAGAGCCAATTATTCCGACCATGGAAAATGTGGCGCAGGTGGTCAGCTATAATTTGCCGCCAATTACGCCTATTACACGCATTCCAGGCGCACTTATCAACAAAAAGCTTATACGATTCGACTCACCTTGCGAAGAAGAAGATGAATTAGAAATTCCGGACGAAATTAAGAATCCTAAAGACAAGGGAAATTCAGCAACTCTAACAAAACCAACTACGCCGTCACAAAACGCAAATGTTTATACGTCACCAAAGCGCGATAATAACAATACAGCAAATGCAGGTTCAAAAGCTCAAATGAAAGTCACCGAAACCCCACGTAGCTGTGACTCCTCCATAGCTGAAGCATTCTTTACACCAAGCGCCACGCCAGTACGCAGGAGTAAAATGCCGTCAACGCAAGAAAATCCGCACGGATCAAATGATTTTAGGAAACCTCCATCCAGGCGTCCACCTTCTCTTAGCAAACACGGCAGAAGCACTGCATTTGATTGTGCCGAAAGTATTACGGACAATGAACACGAGAATGATGCAAAAGAGCACAGTGTAACTAGTAAACATCAAACTAGCCAAAATACTTCGTCTGCCTTGGGACGCTCATGGTCATTCGGCGCTTTACTGGGTTCCGTAATGCGTTTGAATTCCACGGGCAAAGCAGCTACCCCTGAGAAAATTGAAACGGCGCCACGCACCGATGTTAACTCCAATTCGATAATCAAACGTTGCGCTTCGATAGCAGGTAATATCCGATTAGGCATTAATAAAGACACTTTTGAATTGTTTAAATATAGTACAGTCGCCTATTCTTTGAAGTTATTTTGGGAACCACGGACTTTTCGCCTTCTTCAGCGAAAAAAACTATTGAAGCGGTTTTCGCCGAAAGTACAGCACTTTACTGTGTAAAGTCCGGGTCAATTCCGATATCGTAGAACTGGCTGTCGTGGAATTGCATTAACAAAGAAACTGTCCTTGTCCACTACCAGAAGTTCTAATTCCACATATGCGGAGTTGACCAAGTTTGTTATCGCGCCAAGTATATATATATACATAAATGATCACCGTGTCAAGCTGAGTCGATTTAACCATGTCAGTCTGTCCGTTCATATATATATATATCTTTTGAAGTATCGAGCTGTAAACGGATCGAAACCGTTTATATCGGACCGCTATGGCATAACCTATAACTCTGCCATACAAGCTGACCTATCAAGTTCCTGTATTACAACTTTTTTATTTGTGAAGCGTATTGTAGCTTCGGTGCAACTGAAGTTAACGTTCCTTTTCTTGTTTTCGATTATTTAATTGCACATTTTATGTAAAAACTTGAATATTGCAGGTTCTCTTATGCGCACGCAGTCTCTAATTGATGAAGATGAACAAGGGCGCAACCAAAAACGAAAGCGGTCTTATACGACAGACGCGAAGTCGATTTCAGGCGTAAACTATCAACGACAATTTCGCGACCCTGTGTCACCGAGTCCGGAGAAGGCGTTGCGCACGAAACGCTTTCGCATACATGGCCGTAAGCCAATCGAGCGCATGCGAAGGGAGCTATGAGCCGAACTTACTTGTTAATCGAGCACTTTCGAGGAGGCTGCAAATATTGGGGTTGCTAAAAATTTAGTTAGAGAAACGAAATCAGTTCAATGTTTTAAACGATTATTTTTTTGTCATAGATACACATACATACATATATACTAACTTAAAGCAAAGCTTGTGATTTGATGTGCAAAATACTCGAGAATTGTTGTTTTTATAGTGTTTTTATTATGTAAGAAAATAAATGTTCTACTTTTTTCACATTTTATTTTTCGTACTTATCCATAACAGTAATATTACACGAATTGTTATATAAGTCCAGAGCAGCAAACATTCTCATACACACCTGGAGAAGCATACATTCCCAAACTAAATACCACGTCGTACCGGTTTCGGTGCGAAAAGTATCTTAGCCGGCTTGCACAGCTCCAACTCAGTGCCCGGTCGCACGGAAAGGCACAGTGTTATGTCCACCGACGAAGCCTCCGTCCAGACGCTGTGCGAGAGCAAAATCGTAGTGCGCAAGCGCATGCTCGTCTCGTGCTCACCCTGCTCGGTCATGATCTTCTTGAAGTCCGACAGCTTTGGCACCACCGTGTGCACATGCTGATCGGGATACTTGATCTTGATACGCATTTCTTGTTTCTGCGTTTCCTGTAGGTTATCGAATTCTGCAACAAAAGGCAATGCAGCTATCAAGCCAGCCGTCACTTTAATGACATTGTCCTGCGCCATTTGCGCACAAGGTTCAACAATGCGGGCCACACACATACGTATATTAATGTTTGCAGGCGGCATGCGCACAGGTGAAGCGTTCTCAACTAACGGCAATATTTCACGAAACACTCGACCCGGTTTTGGATCCGGTATATTCCCCAAGAGTGAGAGCAGCGATGTGGTAAATGAATCAGGTTGAAACTCCTCCTTCTCGTCGAGAAAGTTACTAATATCTGCAGCTGTTTGCAAAAGTATCTGACAAGGACCGAGCGCACTTTGTGAGCGATCGCGCACAATTAATACCAGATGCAACGCACTAGCACGCAAGCAAATTTGTTTGACAAGCAACATATCACCGTAGGTGAGTCCGGAGAAGATGTGTTGCAATTTGAGGCAATTGCGTATGAGTTGCGCCAGTGACTCCTTAAGGGGCGCGCGACTGCGTTGCGTAGTTGTGCAGCTTTGCAATTGATCCAATTGTATTTGAGCGGCCAGAAAGGTTTCCAAGAAGTTTGCGGTACCATACATTTCCGGGTCGATTTCACCCAAACGTTGCAGATTACTCTGAGCCGTCTTCAATAGCGGCACCCTTTCGCGAACTATGCTGAAAGTTTCGTGTATATGTTGGAGTATGGTATTCAAGTATTCGCGAGAGCTCTCGGCGCCTTTAAGCAGATTCAGAGGCTTGGTGGTGGATGCGCCTTCAATCGGTAATTGCGGCACGATTTGCGGCATGGCATCACGCAGGTAGGCGTAATGCTTGAGCGTGACGTCAGGGAATAAACTAATCAAAGGTACCAGATGTTCTGCGGCGTTAAAAAGTAAAATGAGTATGCAAAGATATGCGGGATCTTCGACATCACGTTCGGCGCTGTCGAAAAATGGATGATCCTGCAGAAGATGAGAAGTGACGGCCATGCAGAGATTGGGATGTTTTTGACCGATTTTACGCATACAACCGAAAGTCGAGTTTTTGTCTTGTGGATACTTGGAGAGCACATCCAGTAATTTCTGCACAACCATGAGTAGACATGCCTGAAACGGAAAATGATTAAATATTAAAATATATATATGAATGTGAATTTTCGCTTACCTGTGTTGAAACGCGGCATGCACCCAACATCAAGTGTAGTCCCTCACGTACGTCAACGGAGTAATCTTCTAAAGAGCTAAGCATTGTCTCTAGCTGATCCTCGCGTAGAACGATATGTCGGGCAATCGCTGTTAGGCTATAAATTGCCTTCAAGCGTACATCTTCGATTTCATCATTGAACATATCCACTAGAAAATCTAGACATGTCACGGCGAAATCTGGATTGCTCAACGCTAATTTACACATGGAGTCTACAGCCGCTGTACGCACTTCGAGGAATTCATCCTCTAAACCGTGCACCAACGCACCACAAGCGCCACTTGCCACTAACGATATAGACTTAGAATCCAATCGCTCCTGCGGTGCGTCGTCAGCCCAACGTTTGCCAGTCGACCATTCGCCACTTGCAACCAGCTGTGCACCACGCTCGTGCGCTGTTTTTTTGCGTCGCAAGTTACTCATAAGTTTCTTATCAAGTGTTTGATGCAGAAATTCCGAGCTGACTTGTGTCATAAGCCCCAAGTGTTCAGCGGCCTGTAAAAAGAGTAAAAAAAAATATTTGTAATAATTTTTATTTATTATACACGCTTATTGATTGCAAACTTACTTGCGTACGTATCTGTATAGAAAGATCGCATAGCGCGCCACAGACTTTTCCAAAAGCAGCGTCAATCAAACGCATTTCTTCATCATCTTCTCCACCGGTTATAATATGGTCCGGATGGCTTATGCCAAGTTGAAAGACCAATTGAAGAGCTTCCTTTCGTACACACTCATAATCATCCTTCATCGCTTCAACAGCGCGTTGATATAAAGTTGGCGACAAAGTAGCGCCACGTTCTCCGAGACATAATATAGACCTTAGAGCTTGCGCACGTACTCCCGAATCTTGAGAGTCGGCATAATGACCTATTAATTCCATTACACCTTTTCGGGCATCATTTAGGGTCACAAAAGCCGATAACACCATCAAGGCATATTTATGTGTATGATGTGAATCAGAGGTGAGCTGTTGTTGGGCAAAGTGCGCAATTTTTGTCACATGAGTTGATGGTAATAATTTTACATTTTTTGTGCCAATTTTATGTAAACTGTACAAGCCTTGCGCAATAACTTTTTGAGAACGTTCTTGCTTTAAAACGCCGATAATACCATCAACCAGCGAATTAACCACTTCCGGGACACGTACTTCAGAGAAATCGGCAAGCAAGCCTAGAATTTTTACTCGAACTGTGGTGTCTCCATCACGTTCCTGTCGGTATATTTCCATTAGCCGATGTATGACGTCTTGTGTTTCACCAATTTGTGCGTCATCTAATACAAGCTCATCTGCTATTTTAACTAACACCTCCAACAATTCCTTGCTGCCGTGTGTACCATGTCCGGCCGGTATTCCATCCAATGAAACCAGTACCTGCAGTAGCCTGCTACCCGTACTGTTTTTAATTGTGGTTTGAATTCGTATCTTTTTCGATGATTTCTGCGAAACTTCAATAGTTTCTGTAGTAGAATGCGATCGTTTCATCGCGGTAGCCATTTCACAAGTAAAATTAAATCTAAAATTTTACAATTAACTAATCAAAACAAAAATATCCAGTTTATAGATGACTCTTCATCTTTACAAAATGAGCATTCACAATGAACATAAGAATGAAACACTCGATAAACAATTTATGTGACTTATCGATTGTTGGCATATTTAAAATCGGTAAATCACTTCCAAAACCATTCTGAAAATATAGGGTAGAATTTACAATACTTGCCCGAAATCGTGTCAGTGTAATATTTTTATACACAATATTTTTCAAAAAAAAATGTTTTCAAATTCATTTATTATTTACTTTAATTAAAGTTCATAAAATATTAGTTGAATAAGGATACATGAGCTAACAGCTTGAATTAAAAACAAATTCTTTATATAAATTTGTTATCCATTGAGTTTTCTAAAAGTATTTACATGACTAATGCCATAGGTATTGGCAAATTTGTGTCAAGTTACTTCAAAATGTCACAAATTACGTTTTAGTTTTGCTCAAATATCAAATTAACCGGAATTTAATATTTGACATTTAACTTACTTAACTATCAAATATTAGTAATCAAAACGTTTAAATTTTTTAGTCTTTTCTGCGTTTTTTGTCCGAGTTACCACGATCACTCTTGTCTTCAGAACGTTTTGGTGCTTTTTTGGCCATGTTCAAGAACTGATCCAAACCGAACGGATCCTCCTCCTTTTCAAATTGTACTGGTCCAGAACGCTGAGCAGCACCACCAGCTCCACGAGAAGTACCCGAAAATTCCTTATCAGGCACGAAACGCTGTGTATTTACAATGCGATCTAAGTCCGCGCCATACGCATCATTATCGAGTTGCTTACTTGGACGATACAGGTGGGAGGCCAATGAATTTGAATCGCGCCAAGGTTTGTCATATACATTATATGCCTCGTCATCTCCATAACCGGAGTCCATACCCTTTGTTGTATTGAATAGGCGTTGATCAAACATGGTTTCGCCGTTGCCAGCTGATTTTGCGGGCATACCCAGAGCAATTTGCTCGGAAATATCACGTTCACGTTCACGTTGTAGTTTTGAACGCTTTTCTGGTGCAGCACGTGCCAAATTTCTATCTCGTTGACGCTCACGATGACGTTCCGCCCTTAACTCGTTACGTTCGCGAGTTTCTGGATTGATAGTCACTTGGTCTTCGGGCTGACGGAGGCCAGCACGTTCCTCTCGAGCACGCTGTGCCATCATTCGTAGCATGTCCTCCTTCTTTTCCTTTTCTTTTTGCGCCAATTTCTTTTCTAGTGTTGCGCGAGCCTCAACCGCCTCGCGAGCTTTACGGTCAGCTATGTACAAAGCTTCAGCCATTTTGGCGAATTTTTCACTGATATGCACTTGCTGCAAGCCGCGTCCATCAGCTGCCAATCTTTTATCCAATGGAATTGTGTAACCTTTTGCATTTTTCCAATTGGATATACACGGTGGTATTTTCCACTCTTTCTGTTCTTTAACAGTGACCTTACGTGAGGGAGAATGCAGCACCGGTGCTGGTGGCGAAGGTGGACCACGAGGTATTTTCTTATTAATGCGGAACTTTGGTGGCTCCATTGGGTCTTGCTGCGCTTCAACCATACGTATAACTCTTTGCTTCGCTCCAGAATTGAATGCATCGCCTTGTTGTGAAGGCGTATAGCGTATATATTGTGCTGGCGCTGTTTTCTCAGCATGACGTACAGGCATAGCAGCAGCGATTTTGGCATTTGTCAGCTTTTCCAAAGCTCGTCTTGTTTCTTCTGTCGTATCAGCAACGGTTTCGGCATCAGGGCGTTGTAATTCATCAGCGTCCTCGGCAAGCACCTCTGCTGGAAGTAACTGCGATATGGAAGAGTACACGATCTTATCTTTACCATGTCCTTGACGTGCAATGGCATCGTATTTGATTTTTCCTTTTTCATCTAAACGCACAGCCAAGGCGTTTGACTTTTTATTTAAATTAGATGGACTACCCATACCTAAGTAAATACTATAATAAATTTTTGTTGGTTTGATTTTTTCTTTTCGTACTTACCCAAGGGATATTGTGCCACATGAATTTCAGGGAATGCTCCACCATCTCCAAAATCCGCTTCAGTGCGGGGAATCCAATCTTTGCGTTGACCATAAGGTGGCGCAGCAATTTTCGCTGACACCAATGCACCCATAGGTGCACCGATAATTTTAGACTTTTGAGCCACGCGACGTTCATCTTCCCTGTCCCAAACAGGGTTCGAAGGTGAAGGTAAAATACTTGATAAAGACATTACAAAATCTTAAATAGCGAGCTATTATATTTTTTTATTTTTCTTTTATGGTAAATAATTACTGAATGAGTTGTTACACAAAAACAATTATCTTTATATACTTTTATGCACGACTCTATTATTCTTACATTTATGTCACATTTTATCCACAAACAACAGAGTTGCCAGCACTACAAACAAAGTAAAATACATAATCCACAAACAGAGATGCATTGCAAAGTTTTGAGTTGATCAACACTGAAATTCGGTTTTCAGCATAGAACATATATCATATATGTTTTCAGTATTTTATATTTTGGACATGTTGAGATATATCTAAATTAAGGTTAAACACTTATCCAATTGAAAATTATGTTATTTACTTGAATTTAAATTTATTAACAATTTATTTAATTTTTATTACAAAAAATTAAGAAAAAACTAATTTATTTAGTAATTAAATGAAACAAATTGCAAACATTTTTATAGTTTTACCTTGAAACGCAAAATATTTAATAATATGTTAAAGTTTATAAAAATTTCAAAAAACTTTTCAATAAATAATAATTTTTGGTTAACCTTCTTCACTCATATGACAAAAGCTATAAAAGAGCTCAAAATATTTCCACACTCTTTTCCACTTGATACCATACCATTATTATGAAGTGATAATGATTTCTTTACTCAATTGCATAAGGAAAATTCAATATATATAAAGATAAATACAAATGAAAAAAATACTCAATCTCTCGTCTGGAAATGTGTGAAGAAATAAATGAATACGATATTCGTAATATGTGTGCTGTTCAGATGAAAATAGTTGTTTGTGTTTGTGCACGATATTATGTGTGTATTTTGCCAACCGCCACACAACTGCCCCTTTAGCTCAGTGGTAGAGCACTGGTCTCGTAAACCAGGGGTCGTGAGTTCAAACCTCACAGGGGGCAACCATCTACGTAGTTTGAAATTTTTTGTTTTTTGTATTGATACAATTTTTTTTATAAATTTATAAAACACCAAAAATGTTAAATTCTCTTTTTAAGTCGTAGAAAATGTAAATAATAAATTTAAAATAACTGTTAATTAATTAACGGTTAATTATTATATATTAATTTTAACGCAATTTTTTAAATAATCTTTATTGGTCATAAACAAATATAAAAATTAGTTGTTGCCGACGCAATAAACTTAGCTGCAGAGAATATTGTTGTTTTTGCATATATTTTTCTCTTCTCTGCTATATTTACTTCCTATACTTTGAATAGTAAACCAAAAGCGAATGAAAAAAAGTGCAGGGAAGTATATTAAAAGCAACAAAAACCGTGTTGCTAGTTCGTTTGCCAGAATATAATTTTTTATGGTTTGCTTTCTTTTAATTATTCTCAATTCTTATGAAAATCGAATAATACAAATGTTTTGTAAATAAGGTATCAAAATTACATTTACTAAATACAAATCTACATATACATATTAAAGGGTATAAAAATTTATCGAAAAATTAGGCTAGCGTATGGCATTTGGTTAAACTATTATTTAATAATAGAGTTTTAAATAAATATTACTTAAATGACATGTAATGTTATGTTTTTTTTCATGAATTTGTGAAATTTATGTTGGCACGGTCACCTCTTCGGAGCAACCATGTAGCCCTTTCTCCTATTTTACTACAACCAAATTACATTTCATTACTCGTTCGTTGAATTTTGACAACTAAACATCGGGTAGTGGATTGATTTTTTTAAAACTTATTTATCTATGTGTTGAAAATAATACATAAAACTACTTTGAAAACATAGCAGAACATTGATATTTTAATAGAAAAATAGGAAAAACTGAAGTAAACCAGCACACGCCTAACAAAAGCAAAATCAGTTGCAGCACAAAGAGGAAAAGAAACTTACAACCACAACGATTAGACAAGAGCAAAATAAAGAAATTTTTTTGGGTGTTTTGTGTAATATACATATTTGTTGCGTAGTGAATCAGCTAGCATATTTCTCCTCTCCGTTGGTTTTTAGGTAATTTCACAAAAGACGCAAATTTATTAAATAACGTAATGAAAATATTTGAAAGCGATATAAAGCACATAGAACTTTTGAACGTTGCATATTATTTAGTGATATCGGGAAGCAGCTAGGAAGCACCCTGTGTAAGCATAAAATAACAATAAAAACATATGAATATAGCAGAATAAGCAATCGCAGAAAACGGGAAACATGGTTCGGTTTTGCTTGACTGTTGTGTGAAGTAAGCTGATTCAAATAATAGCAGCAGCAAACGAAGAAGACGACTGCAGGCAGTAGAATATATTCATCATCAAGTTATATTTCACGCGCAACGAAACTGACAATAGACGGTAGCAGCAAGCACTAGCAACGAGAGCAGTCAGTGAAAGAGGAACTTTGTGGAAAATTGCAAATGAACAAAATTGTGTAATTTTCAATTTGTGTTTGTTTTAAATTTATTTTAGTTTCTAACTAAAGTCGTCTGTGCTAAAGAACATAATACGTATATTTGTCAACATTTATACCTACTGCCGCTTTATTAAAATTTTGTGTTTAAGATAACAAAAAAAAAAGGGCAGAAATACACGGAGTAAAACCTAAACGTTCCGTGAGTAGATAGAGTCGAAAAAATGCAACAAGATTGCAGTGAAGAAAGTTGGCTGGAAGAGCAATGTCATCGGGAGATCAACGCCCAACACGACGAGCACGAACGCGACTACGTAAGGAATCGTGATAGCGCCTTAAGTAATGTATGGGGTGCATTTCAGGATTCAGCCACAGCAGTGGCACATCTTTACAGAGGTGGGTTAAAGCACTTACTCCTGCATAAAATGCAAACAATTTTTTTTTAATTAGGCGATATTATTATATATTTCAAATAATCAGAAATTTCAACAACTAATCCTTACTAGTTCACATTACTCATAAGAAAACATACTTATATATATGTACGCATGCATGTACCATCTTAAAATTATATGAAGAAAACCTATGTACATAGGTACATATGGGTACAAATATGTACGTGGAGTACAAAGAAGCCGCTAGCAATGCTAAACTTATATGATTAGCTAAGTTTATAAAATTTCTGATTCTCAAATATATATGAGGTTAAGTCTTAAACATTTCCATACTTGTCATTCATACTCACATTATCTCTTATGATGTGCGTTTTTATTAGACAAATTGTGAGTACCATAATTATATTAAGCAGCCAGAACTGTTTAGTATAGGTATTCTTAAAAATCGTTTGAAGTTAAGAGTTAAGATTGGTTAAGAAAGCAACAAAAGCTGATCGATTAATGATCAGTTGATGCATTTGTTAATAATTTCATATGATAGCTCTGTTACCTCAATAGATCATTAACTATCACGACGTTTATATATATATGTATGTAAGTTTATAAAATATCAAACTGCAAGAATCACATGGCTGCATCTGTTTATAAATGTGTTAGTGTTTTCTACATATTTGTGCATATTGAAAACTACGATCTCTTCAAGAACAGCTGTTTGAAGGGTCGTCGAACGCTTCAACACCATTCCACAATGTACTTAATAGGGTTGTTTTCATATGTTTAATGTTCACTTGTAGGTACATATCTGGAAATTTTTGGTTTCAAGAGTCGGTGTGTTTGGGTATGCGTGATTTCCTTCAATTCTGCTTTCATTACCTTCATCATGCGTCTCTCATGTGTAATAAATGTGTGTACATATATACATATATACTTGTATGCATATACGAAGTGTTACTATAATGACGTGACAGGACGACTCTTAAGGTCGATATTTTGGTAGAGGGCATCAAAGTGCAATTTTCTTTACCACCTTACGTACCTACTTTTAATTATGTATATTTAAGCAGTTATGTGAGTTTTCTTAGCATTGTGATTGATGGTGGATATCATCGTTTTTCTTTGTTCACTAAACACATTTAGTTGTATGCGCTTGTATATATGTATGTGGTCAATTATGCAGGTAAAATCCAAAATTGCTTGCAGGTTTTTTAAAGTCAAGAAAGAATGTGCTTTAATATCAGAAGTTATTAATTATATTACTAATGCAACAGGTATGCATAAAAAAAATATTTAAGTTTCATATATGTATATATTATATATACATTTTACAAATATAACCTAGTATAATATTATCAACATTATATACATATGTATGTATCTAATTAAAATATATTGATTTATAACTGTATTGCAAACTTGCAGAACGTTCTTCAAATACGTATCCTGATACTGGCGCGTTATGGCTTCCATTTCAAACAGCAGCTGGCACTGTAACCACACTATACAAAGGTAAAAACTCATCTGTATGTCAGATTATGTTGCAACTCTTTCTAATTTAAGAAATATTCTAATTTTTCATGTGCACCTAAACACAGAGGCATGTGACGGTGTTAAGCGAACCAGTGACTCAGCTGTTCAGTGTGGCTATCAGCGGCGTACACGTGAATTGGCCGATTGGGCCCGGAGTAAAAAACGTCGTATGATACGTCGCGAGGATCTTTTGGCCTATTTGGCTGGCAAGCCGCTGACAAATACTAATCGTCGGTGAGTCGCTACTGAAGTGGCGAAATTAACAAAACTCTAAATTTAGTTAAAACACCAACTCACAGAATAACAACAAGAAAAAACTTTTATATAACATTTACACTACATATAAATTTTTTTTTTATTTCTTTTCTTTAGTTCACCAAAGCCAGAACATTCGCACAATCACTCAAACACCGGTGCTGTGTTCAATACAAACGCTTCACACCATACATCGCCTCATATGTACAGCTCACATCATCATCATGCTCAGCATCAGCATCAGAATCATCATCATCAAGCAACCGGCGGTGGTGCTACTAATGAGCCAACCACTGATTTGCATACATTCAAAGAAGCGCTTGTCTTGCGGCCACGGTAAGTAGTACAAAAACAAAAGAAATATTTATTTTTTATACTCGGAATAGGTTGTATTAGGTTTGTCACGAAGTATGTAATACCCAGAAAGAAACGTCGGAGATCCTATAAAATGTATATATGTTTAGGCATTTCCGTCTGTCTGTATATACGCGAACTAGTCCCTCAGTTTTTGTGATATCGATTTGCAATTTTGCACACGTTCTTTTCTCGCCAAGAAGCTGCTCATTTGTCGGTACCGCGGATATCGGACCACTATAGCACATAGCTGCCATACAAACTGAACAATCGGAATCAAGTACTTGAATGGAAAACTCTTTCATTTGTCAAAGGCAATGCCACAACTTCGAATAATTTTTTTTAGTTCGGACTACTATATCATATAGCTTCTATAAAAGCTGACCGTTCAAAGTCTAGCTAAAGATCTTTTTATATCCTTTCATGTTATAAGTAATACGCATGTGAAGCGTGTTATAGCTTCGGTACAGCCGAAGTTAACTTTTTTTCTTAATTTATAATCATTTCTTTTTCACTTTCAGCGGCCCCGAACTATTTGCATTTGTTGCCAACGAAATCGCCCGTCACTGCAAACGTCCAGCCAGTCCCATCGATGATAAAATGGACATCTGCCATTATAGCAGTAAACGACAGCGTTTTATGTAGAAATTTTTTAATTTAACTTAACAATGGTAGTGTTAAAGCAATTTACGCATAATTAACCATTTAAATGGCAGTCACAGGCAGTAGAAAGGATATATGGTTGCGAAAGTAAAATTCATAAAAAACTGAAAAAATAATTTAGAACATCTCAAGGAAATACGAAAACTATTCAATACACACGATATAATAATCATATTCGGCAATTAGTGGTGAAAAGATTGGGAAAAAACAAAAATATTGAATTTGGTAATAAATAACAAAAACTAAGTGCGCGATATGCCCGTTTATTGCATGAACGCTTAACGTTACTTCTACACAATATATCCTAAAGAAATATATATAACAAAAATACAACTGCTAGTGCGAGAATTTACAAAGAAAATCTTTATTATTTCCTTATACTCCGATAATAACACTTTCGTAGATACCAGTAGAGTAACTTAAAAATATTAATATATACTTTTTCACTGTATAGAAAGCTTAATCTCTATCAAAATTATTGAATCAACTATATTTTATAAGTATTATTTGAAAACGTACAGTAGTTCTTGTGGTTGAAAATTAAAGTGATACGCGCGTCAAAATTAAATTTGAATTGAATTTTGTTCAATAAACCAATTATTTTACTATGATTATTCACAATAAATTATATAATATAATCACAATGGCACGTGATTCGTTTAAGCATAGTCACTGATATTTAAATGACGCTATTTAAATAATTGCATGCAATTTGAGTAAATGTACTTGCAGTTCTATTCATATAATTGTAAGTTTAAATATTGAAGTTCGTAAATGAGTACATTGAAAAAAGTAAAGGTGATTAAAACTATGCATACAAGTATTTAGGATTTAGTTTGTGGTTTGTTAAAATTTGACTACGATTTAGTTATCTACTTGTACTAAGTGCTATTATTTAAGCGTTGGGATATATTATATATATATATATATATATAATATCAAAAAGCTCTCATATTCACATGCTATTTAAGTGCGTTGTAAGCGTATATAATTGTATCATTTATATGATAAACAGAATACGTGAATATAAGTATAAAATAAACATTTTGTGAGGAGAAATAATAATCTAATGGAAACTAAAAATATCGTGTACTCTTTTCATTTACATACTTTGATTTTCCTCAGATATGGTGGCTTCTCCAAAATGGTCAACTACTAGCAATAACTCTTTTCACTTTTAATAAAAAAACAAGAAAAAAGGTTAAGTCGCACTGAAGGTAGTGCACCCTACACAGCGAAATTTTTATTGCATAAAAAGCTATATAAAGCTATTTACCTTGATTTTGAATGGTCAGAGTAAATGTTAGCTATTGTGGTCCGATCTGGAGAATATGCTCGGAGATTGTAGCGTTGCTTTGGACAATAATCTGCCAAATTTCGTGAAGATAATTTGTTGAATATAAAAGTTGTCCCTACAAGGGCTTGTTTTTGATTGGTCAGTTTGTATGGTAGCTTTATGCGGTAGTGGTCCGATTTGAACAATTTCTGTGAAGATTGTAACGTTGCCTTGGACAATTTCGTGAAGATATTTTGTTAAATAATAAAGTTTTCCATACAAGGACTAGATTTTTGTTCGATATCGGCGGTTCCGACAATGAGCAGGTTTTTAGGTAGAAACGGACGTGTCCAAAATTTCGAAACAATATATCCGAAACTGGGGGACTGGTTCGCGTATATACAGATAGATAGATGTATATATTCTTAATAGGGTCTGCGAAGCTTCCTTCTGGTGAATTCAAAACCTTACTATCAATTCACAGACTATAATGACGAAAATCGTGCATGTTAAAGTATTTTAAGACCAATCGGTTTTTATTATTCATAAGCTATACTTATATTAAGGTGATCTGAGGTTGGGTAAAAAAAGTAACGGAAGAATTCTGAGGTCGAAAAATAAGTCTTCACCGAAGCCATTTTCGAAGATACTACTTACAACTCAAATAACTCAAAAGATCTGTACAGACATTTAGGTGTTTTTTAAGACTCACAGATATTGATATTCGCTCCCGATTTATATAACATATTCTCGTCGATTTTTCTCTGAAGGCTACTACAGTTTATTTGAGGGAATCCAATATATTTATATTATAATATTATATATGGTTAAGACTGTTGTAACTGGAGGTGTTGAGAAGGAAAAACTTTTCTAGCAGGTGTCGACTTTAAAGATTTCTAAAAAAAATATAAAACTGTTTTTTGGTAATATTTTAGGTTTTGTTTTGTTTTTCTATTCCGTTTTACTTCTGAATTGGTGTGATGAAGAACTGCGTTTAAAACCCTTCATCGAGTAGGTTTGTGGCTTAGACGAATACCGTTTTATAAAACGTGAACGAAGTAAATATTCGAACTTACCAATTTTGCTTATTACCAAAAATAATGCACCAAAACAATTACACATATATATATTTTAAAAATATATTTTTCTATTTGTAAAATTTTTATTTTGCTTTCTCAAATATTCACATTTTTAAACTTGTATACAATTATTGTTATGTATGTTTAAGTACAGTGGTTAGTTTTCAGTTATACTATATTTTGAACACTAAACATTTCTATGTAAATGAGTAGTTTAAAGTTCAGTTCTTCTTGAGAATAAGCGGCAGAACGCATTGCGGCTCAGTCTTGCTCGGATTGTCTGAGTACAAGGCAACTGTTTTTTCATTTAAATCGAAAACGCCCACAGCAATAGTTTTGACCAGCTCATCCAACGTATTGTCTTCATTGAAGACGCAATACTCGCCGCCACTACAATCGCTTAACATTTTCACAACATCTTCCTTGCAACTCGGTGGCGGATATTCGCCGAAAGTGTTCATGCGCGATTTGCTCGAAGCTAACAACCACGGATTGGCCTCCTCGGTGCACAGACGCTCATATCTGCAATACAGTACAGTTAGTAGGGAGCTTTTTATTTCGCTGACAATTATTTGTGATAAGCCTACCTGTTGGCGTGGCAATTGTGACCAGCGCAGCAAATCTCTTTAATGTCAAGACGCGAACTGGTGCCGTCTTCTAATACTGGTGCCATTTCAATGTTGTAGAACTTGCTTGGCTCTTCGCTGAAAGAGAATTTTTGTTGAAAAATTGCTGCAATTGTATGTGCAATAGAAAATAATTTACTTGATGAATGACATATTGAAGGAGCAGCCGTCGCCAGCCCCGACGCCCTCATCCTTGAGCACAGTGAGCGCTTGTTCGTAGTTTTCGGCGCTTAAGAGCGCGCGTGTAATGAAGTGGCGAGCTGTGGAAATAAATTTAGGTTGATTAATTTAAGTTTGATTAAAATAAAATGTTTAATTATTGCAAACATATGTATGCTTACGTGTTTTGCCACTTCTCAAATGCAACGCCGACAATGTGTTAATGGTGAACACCAGTCCATGATGGTTGTAGTTCATCGTATAGCCGGGCAGGTGGCCGGCATAGCAGAGCGACATGAAACGCTCCTCCTTCACCTTGTGTTTGCCCTGTGGCGTATCGCTGATGATATGTGCCACCACAAAGTAATAATGGTTGAGTGTCGCCGCCAAGGCATCTTCGGTGTGAGCAAGTATACGCTGGACAATTACAAGATTTTAATATTCCTTTTAATGAAATCTGGAATTATGTATTTTTATAACCATATAATCACATACCGAGTTTTCATTGTTCACGATTATGCTAGAGCAGCCAATTGGTGCAACTGCTTCATTTCCGTTCGCACAAATTGCAGTGATCTCATCCATATGAAGCAGGAACAGCTGTAGTTAAGAACAGAAGGTGCGAATTAATCTAATGGTTTATGATGGAAATTTTTTTAAACCTTTAAAAGTAAAAGAAATATGTTACGATATTTATTTAAATTTCTTTCATAGAAAGCAATTTACTTAAATAAGAGAAAAAACTTTTTTTACACAGTTACCCAAGTATTATAAAGAAGGCATTTCGGGTCTTTAAGATTTGTGAATTATTTTTGACATACCTCAATATTAACATGTACATTTAATACTCTATCTTCACAAAATGATTTATGTGAGAAGTTATTTTTCAGAAGGATGCAAGTAACCGCGTTTGAACATTAAAATTGTTAAACTCTTTCTATTAAAAATATTCTCGACGGTTACTTCTCTGACTATTTTGTACGCCTGACTTGAGGTTTACACTTCTACATTTCTTAAAACTATACAAATGCACCTGGTAGCGTATAAGTTAAGAACGTTTCAAATATATATTTTAAATTCATGATTTAGCTTCAATTAGAATAAGGTGGTAGTTATTCATACGGATTATGAACTAAGGTGATCGTCTAATTTTATATGTATAACATATGAAGCTTAGACCTTGAAACGATTTTGCGTTACGCTTCTTTTCATATATGTGCAGTGTTTGTCCTGAAGCTATTCGCTGAAGAGTCATACAAGCTTTAAGGCAACTTATAATGGCTGATTGACTTTATGAGATAGTAGACGATATTCTATAGAAAACTTTTTCACTTTTATTACGGAAGACATGTGAGAATAAGAATAATGTGATCAGAAAGCGACAAGATGATCTTAAATGTTATCTTTAGTCAAAGAGGTAGATCACTCTTTTTAGTTCAAGCATTAGTTGACTGCAATTCGCAAAAATTTAGGTAGTGATGAACCAAAAAAATAAATAAAGTATACTCGTAAATCAAACACACTGCTGTAATCAAATAGAGAGAGAAAATGAAGAGAGGTTTTAGCTCTGTAATGTTGTCTTCACTTTTGTATTAAATTAATCGAGCTTTAATTGTTGTCGCTTTAAAATATAAATTTTAATTTGGCGTGGCGTGGCGAATCGTAGTCGCCAAGTGTTTGTCAAAAATATGTTAACCCTTCCGAATCAGAAAATATTTGTAGATACAATTCGTCGGAGACCCTGTTAAGTATGGTATGTACAATAAATGATCAGCGTGACGACCTGAGTCGATTTAGTATTGTACATCTGTCTTTGGGTCGTATACTAGTTCTTTAGTTCTTAGGTTAAAGAATCGTTGGACGGTTACGTTTTCAGATTTAGCTATTATTATTACATATAGTTGCTATAAAAAATTCACTTGTAAAGGGTATTATAGCTTGGGTGCAGCCGAAGTTAACGTTTTTTCTTCTTTTTTTATTAGTTTCGATATACATTTTTTAAATAATATTTTTACAAAAATATTACGAATATGTATGTGAGCGACTCAACGGCAATCGCATTGATAGGAACAGTATGTTCTAGCACACAATGAGATTCCACCTTCTTTGTAATATAAGGGATCATTCATTGGAGCGTAGTTTCGACTGATCGGGATTAAATAAAATACTTTCGCTTGGTGTGAAGAAAGTGAGGGTTTTATGGAATTAAATGTGTGCACTATTCTGAGTCGACTATATTGTTTATTATCATACGCTTAATAAAAACAATCACCTTGTGAACAATTCATTCTAAACTTATACTACCATACCTATCCATGTAACTATATGCCTATGTATTACAAACTTATGTGCTTCAGATGTTTCTGATTCAATATCTAAATCAAAATTTGATAGTTAAACGATTGTGTAACTCACATACAGATATGGCTAGTGGCAAATTAACTAGCTGCTATATAACGGTAAAGAATTGTAGCATTTGTGTGGCCACTGTTTCATACGCATTCGTAGGTAAGGAATGTCTGCATCTACGCTTTGGAAGCATTTTAATTATCAGCTCTACCAAATGCAATAAATTTTATTCATAATTAGCTACTTAGTTGACAAGGTAACTGAGTTTTGTAGTTTTGCGTGGCATTACTTTTCAAGGTTAAACCAAAAAGTTCGCACTCGAAACAGTATCAAGGCTGCAATATTGACCACTAGGGGGGACAGCTGCATACAGTAATTTATCTACTCGCATGTGCGCGTTGGATATTTGTCGAAAATAGTAATGCGTACTTCTTTTTCATGGTTGAGCTTTTTCTTGGTCAGGCCATACACAACTTGTTTGTTCTTATTGACTTAAAGAATAGTGTAATAAAATTGAATAAAGTATAAGTAATTTTTTATTCATGTACAGTCGCAATTTATTTTGTCTAAAAACTTCGAGTTAACATCAGTGAATTTAGAAAACAGAAGGTGATAGCTCACGAAAGTTTTTTGGTTAAAATGTTTTAAATGCCTATAAGTGCTTTTAGGTTTTCCCAATTTGTCTCAGCATTTTTCGATTGAGGTAGGGAGCATAACTTGAGCAATGTTGAGCTCAATCAGCATTGCTGAGGACGTGTCAAGAAAGAACTTAAAAATTGCAACCGAACTGAGTACAAATGGGTCATAAGTTGCTAATGAATAAAATCGGTCTTCAAAGCCGATGAAATTTATTTCTGAATCCATGCTGGTCTGTTTACCATAAAATATACTAAATATATTATATCTCTTAAGTATTTTTATGCTCTCAATTTTTAAGCAATTTTCAACAAAATTAGTGTACAAATCGATCACTTAGGAATTCTATTATTGAAAACCGATTTAAATGATCTTATTTGTTTATAAAAGATTATAATAAATGTTATGAATGCGAATATTTCTAAAGTCAACTTAGTTGTTACAACAAAAGTCGAGAGGAACTATTTCCTGTGCTCAGACCATACTCCTTGAAACAAATTTGACGACAATGAAGATGTAAACTCGGAGTTTCATATTTTCAAAGCTTAACTATTTAAGAATATGTCTACGAGAGGATTAAATTATTAGAAGATATAGATATATTTAACTGTTAATTAAATTTTTACTATTTTTAAAAAATATGAGAAAATAAATAAATGGTAAAAAAATCGTCGAACAGTCGCCATATTGTCAAACAATTTTTTTTTACTTATCGCTAGTTCATACAATTGACATCATTGCAGATTGATAGTATTTTCTTTTTCATTTCAGGTGACTAGTAGGGTAGAAAACATAGGTATGCTCATGTGCCAATTTTTTGAGAACCCTCACTTCATCAGCTGCTAGTTTTTTAAATTTTCGACTTTTGTTTTAAATTTTTTTCTGTACTTTTGTAAAACTAATAAATAACTGTTAAACAAATCGATAGTAAAAATATTGATTGCTTTTTTTTACAAGATAAAGACTAGAATACCCCCTTAATTACCTCGACCGTTTTTAGAGGGAACTAGTATTCCGTCTCTACTTAAATTAAAAAATTCCAAACATTGATAAATGGAGATATTTACCACAAATTTAATTTAGCAAAAATTTATCTAATTGCAGAGATGAATTTATAATCGATTAATTGATTGGTAACACGAGCCGCTAATAGTGACATTTAAACGGCGGTCGTATAATGATTACGATTACGGTATTTATGTACATACATATGTATTTATTTGTTGAATTACATTGGCGTGCTTCTAAATTGTTGTAACACGCTTTTAATTGATGGCAACAGCAGCACGTGAGTACATTTATGGATGAAATGAGATGCACTTGTATGGAAGCTTACTATACATATTTATGTATATATCTATGTGCAGATAAGTGGATATATGCACTATGCCTTCAATTAACCAATTTTCACTTGGTTAACTCTTAAGCTCGTAAGCGTTGTGGAAATGTCTAAATTTAGTAATTGGTATGAGCATATCGCGAAAAAGATTGCAATTCAATGTTAATGATATTCATTGGTGAATGTTTAATAAGCAGAAAATATGAGACAACAACAATTTTGCATTGACCTTACAGCCAGTTAAGTAGAATATTATTTAGCATAGAAAAGTACTTGTAGATGGAATAGTTTTTCGTGCTCAATGCGAAGAAAAAGCTTATGTTACAAAAATATTACTTAAATTGAAAAATTCTTAATTAATTTCATCTACTGATCGTTTATAAGTCACAAGCTCTAACCTTACATAACCTAGTAAATCTCTCAACTGCAAAGGTAGCTTGCTCAGAGCTGATGGAGCCAGATGTGACGAATAAAAATCTAAAGATAGTATTCTGATTGTGACATCAGCATTTGTCCTAACAGATCAAAGATGTGTTCTGAAGAATAATTTTTACACTTTTTTAAAAACTACTCGCATACTCGCTAAATTACTCGAAAAATATATGACTATTAATCTACTAATTTTTTTGTAAGAGTTATTTCGAAAATTAGAATATCTTGTGGGAAAGAGACTCTGAAACTATGAATACCTTGAAAGGGGTTTTATATTAAATTTGCGAGCTGTGTAGATTTAGCTATGTCTGTTTGGCGGTTTGTAAATACGTGAGCTAGTCTCTCAGTTTTTGAGATATTGCTCTGAAATTTTGCATATGTCCTTTTCTCCCCAAGATGCTATACATTTTTAAGAACTATAGCATATAGCTGCCATAAAAACTGATCGATCGAAAAACGGTAAACTTTTTTATTTGACAAATTATCTTCACGAATGTCCAAGGCAACGCTAAACGCAAATTCGTTTTCAGATTAAATTGTATACTTGCTATAAGGAATGTACATGTGAAGAATATAACGATTTTTCTTGTTTTATTTTGTAATTGCAATACACAGAGTATAAAATTTCCTACAAGGTACGAGTATCTAAAAATTGTGGATTACTGGTGGGTTGCGATGGCATACTGGTATTTATATACGAGATGATATCGATATATATATATATATTATATCTATAAACCTACACAAGTACAAGTGCACTATAATTCATGCATATTCAAATATTACTTTTATTTACAACTAACTGCTCTTCTATGTAGTTAATTACCGAAATGCGTGCTGTAATTGTTTTCAATTAGATTACGCGCAAATTGAAAACTAAGAACCGTTAAATTTGTAGTACTCTATTTTTATTGCCTTTTTTAATTATACACATATTAACACTTCGTTACGATTATTGTGCAATAAAAGTGGAACAGCCATTGTGAGTAAAATAATTAGAATTAAGTACTAAATGTGAAAAAAAAAATTAATATTGAATTGCAATTTTCAAGAGTGCAGCAAGAACCTTGTGTATGTGAGTGTGATTGCAATATATTATGCCATTAGTCACAATATAATTGTTATGACATTATGCTTTAATTACTATATCACAGTGTGTATTTATTTATATTAGAAATGAATTTCTTCATTATTTCTTTGATTTTTAGCTTTGCTATTTATTATATTAGATTCAGAGCGGCTTAAGTACGTTTGCTTACATATAAAGTGTGAATTTGCTTTATATATGTGAATATGTATTTTAAATTTAATTACAAATATACACACTCGCCAATGTATGCGTAATCGGGTAAATCCTTGTCCTTTGCCAACAATCGAGGCTATGCCGGCAGCATTGTTGTTGGTCTTTACTTTTACGTGGCGTGTTGAATGATCGTAACACAAACGGTGTGGAACATTCGCAATTTAGGTTTTTACAGTTACATATGTACCCACCTATAGTACATACAATGGCATATCTATATAAGCTCGTATTTAAACAGTTACATATTAGGCCGTGCTGCGTGTTGCATGCATGTAAATTTGTGCCACTGATTCTTAATTAGATTTGGCTAGCTTTTGGTCGCAGTGCAAACCGTTAGAGCACTAACCAATTCACACTGAACTCATTAGATACGACAAGGCAATGTTACAGTTTTCCCTTGACTTATGTAATTGCATTGCGATTTGTGCATTTTAGCCGATTAAGAACATGTGCATGACGAACGATCGGTTATGTGGCATATGCATGTAAGTATGTAAGTGCATGAATGAATGGGTGTACTTATGTCCGGCGAATGAGTGCCAATATTTCTATATTAATATATGTACATACATTGCCATCCAAATATATATGCATTTATGTATGTATGTATGTATAAGGAATGCGCGTAAAACTGTTTGCGTTTAAATTTAAGTATGTTGCTCTAATTATAACAACAATTTTTAAAAATTCATAATAAAATTTTAATGGTCTATAAAGCGGCATTTTTCGAATTGGCTAAATATGAATAGTTAGAAGCAAATATGTCAATTTACTTGCAGCGGAGCTCTTGAAAGTAAATAAAATTTATCATAACCTCAAAAATCTCCCCTTTCAGCTTAATTGATCTCACCTTCATTTATGTAAAATCAACTTATTCGCGTATATACAGACAGATGGATATGGCTAAATCGAATCGATCGACACTAATTACTTATATAATTTCTTTATAAAGACCCCGTCGTTTCCTTCTAGGCATTTGGGCATAAAAATACAAATAACGCAAAAAATTACTCATACCACCTGTATTCCAAAGCTAAGCTGAGAATATTACTGTAGTAGAGACTTCCTATTTCGAACGTTTTAAATGTTGTCTACCAAGTTCACTTGAGTACTACGAGTGCCACAATTGAGAAAATACTAAAATTTATACATTACAATATATTAAAAAAAAAATAAGTCTTGCTTTGTCATTAAGGAAAGTTTAAGCTCCTTACACGCTAAAAATAGAAGTGGTATCTGTTGGTGATGGTGAGATATGTATGTATAAGACTAGTGTCTGTATATCTATGGTAATCACTTTTTATTACAGACTCGCTTCTAGTTTTGCCGAAGTTATATATACTTATATTGTACAAAGTGTAATATTTTAGGCACAAAACAACTGTATGTTCTTCATGCTTCATAAAACGGGTGGTAGGACCAATTTTCCAATGGATTATTTTTTAAAAAATTGCAAAATGCTCGAAAAAATTAAAAATTGGTTAGCTAAATGCTTTTTCACATTTTATAAAGAAGTTGGTCAAACCTCGAACTATATGGATTTTGTTGCTTTATAGAAAAAATTAAATATTTTGTTATGTGGCAGCCATATGATATAATGATCTGATCAGAATAATTTCTTCGGAGAATACATTGTTGGCCTAGGCAATAACTTATGCCTAATTTCGTGAAGATACCTCGTCAAACGAAAGAGTTTTTCATACAAGTACTTGATCAGATTGTTCAGTTTGTATGGCAGTTATATGCTATAGTGGTCGGATATCGGCCGTTCCGCCAAATGAACAGCTTCTTAGTGAGAAAAGGACTGGTACAAAATTTCAGGTTGACAGCTTAAAAACTGAAGGACTAGTTTGCATATATACAGACAGACGAACAGACAGACGGACATGGCTAAATCAACTCAGCTCATCATGCTGATCATTTATGTATATATTTTATAGGGTATCCGATGTTTTCTTCTGGGTGTTACAAACTTCGTGGCAAACTTAATATACCCTGTTCAGGGTATAAAAATTGCATATGAATTGATTTGTCTTTAATTAAATGAGGCTGAAGATTTAATTTTCAATATCACTTCAATTAAGTAATTGCCTAAACAAATTGCATATTGTTGGATAAAATAAATCATACTATTGCTGATCCCCCTTTGGCATTTCTAAGCTAATACGCAGTCAATTAGGGCAAAATTAATTGCTGCCCTTGGTAGATATATGTATTCTACTTGTATGTAGAGTTTGCGAATAAATTCATAATATATCAGCATTTTTTAATAATTATACTATTTGCCTAAATTTATAAAAATTAATAACTTGTGTACCACCATATTATAATGCGTATGATAAATAACGACTTCATTCAAGACAAAGTAAGCATATAAATTACGCATTTGCTCATGAATAGTTTAAGTTCGTTTGTTTTTTCTTCGAATAATAATTAGCTGTGACAATGTTCGTGTTAAATGTCAATAAAATGTCAGTTGTTAATTTTGTATACTGAGAATATTATTTACGAACGTTTTAATAAATGACTTAATGAAAATATAAATATGCGTATAAGTACGTGAATATTTTTCTCTGTTTATGCTTATCAACATATGTCCACTAGGGTGGAGCGAAAAAAAAATGTATTTTGCTTAGCCTGAGGGTAAAATTTGTAGATTAAAAAAAATAAAATTTTTGGAAAAAATTTTTTTTTGGTTTAAACTCTTCACATTTATATAAAAATTACCGAATTTGACGGGTTTTGACTCAAAATTTATTTGAACGCTTAAGTAAAGCATGTTGTCGCTTAAGACTTTTTTTAAAACTCCAATAATGACCACAAAATTTTTTTTTAACTTGATAACTTTTAATTGGCCAGAAAGAGGAGTCCCTCCACAGCTTCTAGAACACTTATCAAAAATGTTTTACGAAATCAAAATTTTAACTCGTAATTTACTTTAAAAGTGAGTGGGCCGCCGCTAGATGTTAAAAAATAAATTTTTTTCCAACAATTTCATATTTTTATTATATACAAATTTAAGATAGTCCCAAGAAATTTTAAAGTAGTAGTAGTAGTGCAATTATAAAGTAGTTTTCAATTGTTCCCAGAAACCCTGAAAGTTAAGAGAGTTGAGAAAAATTATATTTTTTTTCTCCGCTAACACTTACTATTACTTATTTTCTCTATTATCCTCATTTCATATCTGAACAAAAAAATAAACCTTTGTTGTTCCTTACACATTCATTTTTGTGTAAATCTAAGAGATTTTGTTTTGCTATTAGTTCTTAGATCCTAAATTTCCCTCAACGCCCATCTTCACTTACCTTGTGAAACTCCACTTGCGCGCCATCAGCTATGCCCTCCAGTTCTCTGACGTATTGTGGAAAGGACTTCTTAACGCTCTCCAATGTTTCGTTGTAAACTTTTCCTGAAACATTGAATTTTTACGAACATAAACTTAAGTACCATATGTAAAATTGATTTATTTCTACAATTTTGACTGCTTAAGCATTGAATTATTTTAAGAGTAATTTAAAAAGTTAATAAATGCATCCATACTTACTGCCTTCATCCTTATTGTAAAGTGGTAAATATGACTCATTTAATGGATTGCAGAGTTGTAAAAAGCTCTTAATAATCGAGGCAAAGGTTCTACCCTGTAAAAATAAAAAGCAAACAAAATTTTTATTGAATATTGTTTATAAACATAAGAGCTGACTGTTTATTTATGCTTGTAATAATATGGAGAATAGAATAGTTTGACGATCCCACGTCTCAATGAAGACTTTTAAGAAGTTTGGTGAAAAAGTGTAATAAAATTTATTTCTCTATATAGGTAAAGTTTGAGTATGAGATATTATGATAAATGAAGTTAAGTATGTAATTTTACCGTTTAAACGACTTTTATTCCCCTGACGCCTTTGCAAAAACCACAAATCAATCACTAAATAACGCACATTTAAATTTATAAAATTATTTGAAATTAATAGCAATTAGACTGCTTTAATTTTGTTTACAAAACTAAAGCTGTATTAATAGGATTAAAAAGTTGTAAGACGTTTTAGATTTGTGTGCTAGCCACTCATATGCAGGCATTACTCATACGCCCCGGTGCACCTCAGTGCGATGGCGCAGACATAATAAAAGACTTGCGAAAAAATTATGTATTAAAACATAGGAAGTTTTTTTGCATTATAATAATATATAGAGAATATCTTTTGTATATATTTTTTATATATTTAAAATATAAAAGCTAAATAAGTATAGTTATTATAATGAGAAAAAGAATTAGTATTAAAATTAATATATTTTAACTCAATTTTGTAAATATTAATACTTAAGAAAGAGGAAGATTTAAACGAGAGAGTCAAAATTGCCACTAAATTATTTATTTCATTTTTGTAATTAATAATATCTCGAAATTAAAAAGGTCCGCTTTAATTACTCAGACCTATGCACACATATACAAGTAAGTAGATGAATATAAATACAAGGCGTCGCCTCCCTCTTATGATTGCGCGGTATAAATATTCTTACTCGTTTTTTCTTCAAAATTTTGCTGTGCTGATATGTTATATGTACGAACAGACATTTCACTGATTTATTTGAGTGACTAAGATCAAATAACACTTCCAGTTGGTTCACGACTAAGTCGCACGTTCGCAACCACATATATACATACGTACGTTGGCATTTTTTGGGTTTGGTCCAACTGCAACCGGTAGACTATCGGTGGTATTCAATTAAAATATTTACATATTGTATTTAATTGCTTTGCCATTGCATTGACTTATTTTTATAGTTTATTAAAATATTTATTTAGTTTGTCGTGACAAATTCATTGTTAAATGTTTAAACGCTTAACATTTAGCCGTTTGCCAATGCTTGTTGTTGCAATTAATCCTTAATAAATTGACTAAATTAGTGCAAAATATTACTGAATGTTTGTAAAGCGGTGTGCTCATGTTTGCGGACATGAAATGCTATAACTCACGTTTTCCGACAAGCACAACAAATTATTTCTACTTTTTTGACCCCGCGGGCATTCGATTTTATTTTATTAAAATCATGGTTGTCTTAATAGCGTTCGTGCTTTATAGAAAAGCGACTGCTACCGAACTATCAGCACTAACAGTGAATAGACAGCTGTAACAAAAAATTTTGACTTTCTTAGAAGTTGCTTGAATATACCTAAATCAAGAAAAGTGAAAAAAGTCATATGCACGCGATTGGATGCATAAAGTAAGTATATTAGGGTGGTTATAAAGTGCACCCTTGCAATGGGTAGGAAAAATTTGAATTACAGTATGAGTTATATAATAATTTATAAGTTATAGTATAATCATAAGGTCACTTAACTCCTCAATTTACTTGTATAAAGACAAATAAACATTAGATATAATATAATTTTGACTCCACCGATGCTACAATACCGTCTACATTTGCTTTTTTATAGAATGAAAAGTTTTAAAAAAGCTTTATGTTGATTTGGATCGATCAAGTTGTATGACAGCTATATGCTATAATTTTTCGATCTGAACAATTTTTTCGGAGATTATAGGGCTGCGTTTGATAATAATGTATGCCAAATTTTAAAAAACTTTAAACTCGAGTTTGCCGTTCAACACGATTATAAAACTTTTGAATAAAAATCATTTAACAACGCAACTATCCACCCTAATGCTCTTTATTATTAATTTGTTTTAATAAGGGATTGTTAATAGTTAAAGTGACATAAGTTAACGGCCAGCAGCTATGTAAATAATAGCTACGAGATAATACATACAAACATTTAAGTGAACAGGTGTTTATTTTCCGCTTTAATAGAAAGACTTTTGTCTAAGAAAATATCAATCAATATTACAGCGAAAACAAATTCAACCCCGGAGTAGGTGTGACACCTGTTAATTTTATGCACATCATTTATATATATGTATATATATAAATATATATGAAAATAAATATATATATATATATTAAATATGATATATTTTTTTAACTTTATTTTTTATTTTTAAATACGTATATCTATATATTATAAATCACGTTTTGTTCGGTTTTATCGGTTGTTTAGCTTTTATTGCATAACCAGAGTATAAATTGTTAAACTTATTGTAATATGCTGATAAGTAAAAGTAATTATATATGTATATGTATATAAATCGGGTTGCATAGATTATTAATTTTTATTTATTATAGTAATATTAATTTGCACAGAGACATTTTTAAACTGAAAGCGATTAGAGCAATTTGCCATGGGTGCAGTGGTTAAAAACTGGTCATGGGTAAAATTGCTTTTACAAATTTTTTCCGCCATTGGGATTGGATATGTTTTAAAACCAAGACTATGCAAATCACATTGTCATGAGGTGGCCATAGTTCATGTCAATGTTAATTAAAAAAAGGAATTATATTAAACAATGTGCGCGCTAACATTTCTGACACTTTTTAACACAAAATCAGTTTAGTTACAGCTTGTTAGAAGATGGTGTATGATATAACAGTTTTAAGCATGTTTTGAATTCATTCCTAAATTGGCGCAATAAACGTCAACGAACTGTCAAAAATCATTGGAGCGTTCGCGCAAAGCAAATCAATTTTCATTTTGATAGCGCGTTTTGAATTGAAATTGTGTGCTAATATAAAAATGGAAAATAGAGGCGATAAATGTGGATAAATAGCAAGCGGTGACATTCCTTAACAATATGAAAGGAAAGTCATTTTCATATTGTGTTTTTTTAGTTTTAATTGACTCTTGACTTGAAGTTTTGAAATTTTCATAGGCTTAGGTATAAGTGATTTTTAAAATTACATTTGATTTCTACTCTTGAAAAAAATGTCAATACCTTCTCGCACTGAATTTCAGCGAATAACTTTTATACACATTTATAGCTTATGCGCATTTCCTTCTCGTGTTTTTGTAGAGTTTGAACTTGCTAAATTGCCAACTAATAATTTCTAACTCGTCTTCTACAATATAGGTATAGGTATAGGTAGTTAGTTTAAAATAAATGTAAATTTTCACTAAATTATTCATACAATTTTGATTGTTTTTCTCATAAGTACACTTACAGTTGAGTTGCATGATATTTATTTATAATTTTTTCTAGCTAAAATTATTTTTACTTTGCATTAATTAAGTGCTTTATCGCGCACTTAGCCCTTAACGAATGAGAAAAAGGGGTTCGCTATCACGTTTGAAATATTTGCGTTTTTAATAATCTATACAGGTAATAAATATTATTATTATTGCGATGAAATTATAATAAAGGCAGAGTTTGTAGCATAACTAAAACCGGTTGAAAGTTTGTTGATTCACTAACTGTACTATTTGTATAACTGCTATGGAGATATCATGTGATGGTTTTCTTCGCATATTTGTCATAGTTTTTAAAAACAGAAACGTAAATACATACTTGTATACTTTATTGTCTGGTATGTTTTTTTGGCATTCTTGCATGAATTAGAAGGTTTAGTATCGCTTTAAGCAACTAAATTTAACTCAAATATAGAATGGATTATTAAATTACTTTTAATACTTCATTATGTTGAATTTTTTGTCTATAAAACTCATTCAGGGTTTTACTTGAATACTCTTCAATAAAGTAACACATTTGTGTTTTATTATGGGAAAAATTTGCTGTACATATTTTTAATGTTATAAAAATAGAAACAATTTTCATTAGGAATTTATGCAATACTTTTTGAACTTTTTAAAAGTATGTACATATATCATATACATAATATAATCATATAGAGCATATTATTTCTTGTGAAGGGTTAAATAAACTTAATTTAAATCTAGAAAGTTTAAAAAGCATAAGGGGTGTTTATCCACTTAAAACCACTTAAAAAATACATATAATATTGCATAAAATCAATCAATATAATTACCGCTAAATACTACCTATAACCTTTGCTATTTGCTGTTAAATATTAATTAGTATTTTATGAATTTTATTTTACCTGCACGTGTTATAATGAATTGAAGATTAAAAACGTAAAATTTTTAAATTCTTTCGTTTCGCTCTATTTTTTTAAATTTTTCTTTTACTTATCATTAAATGATCTAAATAACTTTACATATACCTAATTGAGCGGTTATTTAATTTTTTGTCAAAATTTTAATTAGTGGTGCCATCTGTTGACAATATTAAAATTGGGTTGCAAAAAAGATTTTATCTCGATTAATATATTTTTACTTTAACTCGAACTAAGCGCTCAGATTAGCTAGATTAATATTCATGCGAAATAACAGCACTTTTACAACAAATATATTTTATTTTATTAAATTTGATATTTTGTTTTAATCTTTTTGAATTCAATCTTAGTATAATTTATCGGCTTAATTGTTTCATTCTAATTAAAATACATCAAAATATTTTATTATAATAAACCAAAAATGTTCAATGCTAGTGTACATTAGCCAAAAAGAAGAAAAAGCTAACGCATTACACTTTAATCTTTATTAATATTCGCTCTTTATGTTGCAATAAGAAAAAACAAATTACTTGCTTTTTATGAAATTAATTTAAAACTTTTTTTCAAAATAATAATTTTCAAAAAATATTATTTTTTCATTTAAATATTTTTTATTTAAATCCTAAAATAAAAATTTTCAAAAATCACAGTTTTTTTTAACATTTTCGAAAAATAGTAACCTTCAGAAATTTTGGTTTTTAAAAGAAAAAAAATTGATGACCACTTTTAACTATTTTCATAAAATATTCTCGAAATTATTTCTTTTAAAAATTATCACTTTGAAAAATTTAATTTTTTGAGCTACCAAAATTTTATAATCACTTTTAAAGATTTTTGTAAAATTTCTTGATATTATATCTTTCAAAAATTAAATTTTTTTACATTTTCATAAAATATAACTTTAAAATTTTTTTTTGTTCATCGCATTTTCGAAAAATTGTAACTTTTAAAAGTTTTGTCTTTTAAAGTTCAAACAAATTTTAACCGCTTTTAAGGATTTTAATACAATTATCCTGAAATTACAGCTTTCAATTTCAATTTTTATTTGTTTACACTTTTGAAAAACAATAACTTCTAAAACTTTTGGGGTTTAAAGTGCTAAATTAAACTTTTTAAATTTCAAAAAATTTGTGTTCACCTTTAAAAATTTTTATAATATAATTTTTTATTGGAAATAATAACTTTAAAATTATTATTTTTTAATTTTCATAAAAATTTGCCATTAGAAATTTCATTTTAAATTTAGTAAAATTTAGTAATCACTTTTATAAGTATTTTTATAATATTTTCATTACCTAAAAACCTTTAAAACATTTAATTTTCAATTTATCAGAATTATATGAATATTTTTATAAAGAAAGGTGGAAGCACTTCGGAGAATTTCTCCACAATTTAAAGGGCAAAACATTATATTGTTTTATTGTCTGTTTAAGTGCCTTATCTATTTATTTCGATAATTTCGCTGTGGTAATATTAATTTTTCAAACTCACCATATCGAAACCGACATCGTAGTGTGTGCCTCTGGTGTAAAGCACGGGAATTGCTTGGCGCCTTGGTATATTTTTAGCTGCCATCTTTATCAACACCGTTAATCAACAACAATTATTTAGTTAGCACTCGTTGCCTTTTAAATGCGCGCTTATCAGAGAGATTTAGTGAGCGATTGCTAAGACTATCACTAACAGACAGATCAGAAATATGAAAATGTAAAATATCCAATTGAGAAGACAACTAAAAATATGATAGAGGCCAATACGTAGGCGTACACGCTAACTTTAACCGCCGGAAATATTAGCATGCGTTGCGTATACGTTTACGTGCGCGTTTTTATAATAAATTAATTTTTTGGTTAGAAAAAAGCGTTTAATTTTGAGTGGTTAATCCAAGTTAATCGCTGATAGTTTGCACTAGCGCGACGTCGCCAAACAATTGACAGGAGTATTGAATTATATAAAAACGTATTTATATTTAAAAAAAAGGCGATTTAGTTTTTGTACTGGGTTCCTGTCTCCAGTTGGGTTCCGGACAGCTGCAGACCGTTTGGCGGTAATTCACAAACTGAATGAATTGCAAATGCTTAGCAGCGAAGAGACTTCGCATTTTGCCGGCTGTTTTCTATTTGTTATTGTTTTTGTTTTTGTTTTCAACCGATTGGTTCGTTGGCTTTTTGGTGTACGTCTGGTGTCGTGCGGCGTCAAGCTGCTATATTCTACTGCTTGAAAGTGTTCTACAAAATAAAAAGATAACGAAAACCGTTTCAGCGATAGCACACACATACACACATGCATACAAATGTGAATGATTGTGAGTATGTGTGTGATTGTGTATTTACTTTAATGAAATAGTCGCCCATTTGGGGCTGTTGAAGTGCTTACGAAGATAGCTGTGTTTGCTTTGCTCGTGTGGCTACAGGTGTGTTTGTTTGCGTGTGTGTGTGTGTGTCTGCTGTGTTTGGGGCTGGCTCGAGCTGTTACCGCTACTAACTCTGGGAGAAGCCAACAATGTTTAATTGCGCTTGTGGTTGTGCTCAATATTTAGTTGCGTTACCGTTAAGCGGTTTTTAACTATTGAAATTTACGCAAAGCTGACGAAACACACACACATATAATAACATATATGTAGATATATATGCATGACTGTTTGTCTCATGCATTTACATAGGCACGCGACCATAACATATAACAGTTCAAATGTCGACATGACAACCCGCTGTGGGGGTGCATGCCCACGGATATGCATGCAAAGACACACACACATACATACCACAAGCACAAAAGTTACATATAATATAACTAACATTGAGTCATATTTAATATATTTATTGATGTGTTGTTGTAAGCTCAGAACTTACATCGCAACTAATGCGCTCTAAGCTGCTGAATTATTGCTACAAACGCCGACAAAGCTACCCAAATGATCATATTTCAAAGGCGTTTGATTTAATTTTGAACTTTTAATAGACCGGCGAGTGAAGGAAATAATGCATTCATGCATTTCATTTAATTAGCTTGTGTAGCAGGGTGCATTTCGAGCTGGTGCAATACCTTTGGGTATATTTCGGCGGTTGCCAAATTTTTGACTTTGAACTGTAAATAATACCTATATTCCTCGAAAGACGCCAGCCTTAAACTATGTCTTCCTCGTGTACGAGTAAAAGAACTGGAAAGAGTAGTAGTAGGACTGCCAAAGCGTGACATAAAGCCAAGTTCCCCTGAACAGGGTATATTAAGTTTGCTACGATATATGTAACGTCCAAAAGGAAACGTCAGAAACCCTATGAAGTATATATAAATGATTAGCGCGACGAGCTGAGTCGATTTAGCCTTGTTTCCCTGTTTGTCCGTATATCTGTCTGTATGTATACGAACTAGGCCCTCAGTTTTTGAGATATCGATCTGAAATTTTGCATTTGCCCTTTTCACACCAAGAAGCCGCTCAATTGTCGGAACGGCCGATATCGAACCACTATAGCATATAGCAGTCATACGAACTGAAGGAACGGTATCAAATGCTTGTATTGAAAACTTATTAATTTCAGGCGATATTTTAACCAAATTTGACATGGCTTATTTCCTAAGGCAACGCTATAATCCCCGAACATATTTTTCAAATCAGACCACTATATCTTATTATATATAATTGTATGTATTATATCTTCTGTTCAACTGAGGCTAACGTGTTTTCTTGTTTAATATAGCATATAGGGAGACTTATAGATGTTTATAGGAGGGCCGCGGTGTCTGATAGTATAAACTTTAAAGACGAGCGAAAAAATCCACAAATATGCACTAAAGTCTATAAAAATCTTATTTCATTTAATATATTTACTATCAGAATGATCTGACTAAAATTGGAAAAAAAAGAATATAAGTATTCTAATTGAAAAAGGTATCGCTAGCAGCCAACCAACCAACGTTTTCTAATCCAAATTTTTCAGTCAAAACTCAAAACAGTTTTGGAATAGAACTACAGTCTACCATATTTAGTAAACTCAATTCAACTCGGAAAAGTCGTTGGGGCTCCAAATTGTATATTAATTATTGCATTTGTTGAGTTCGAATAGATTTTTCTTACAACAAATATTCAAACTCAAAATTTCTTCGATTCTTACATGAGAAGATTGATTTTGATAACATTCAGAAACTACAGTTCCTTAAGATAAGATAAAATCACGAAATTATACTACAATTTTGTAATAATTTAGGGTTAAAAATATATGCAAATTGTTTTCCGAAAAAAAATCTATGTAAAAGTTGACCGAAATTTATTTTCAGTTTCGAAATTAATAATAAGTAGATGGATTCTGGCTTTAAAATCGATTTACTTTGAGACAATGGAAGCTATCAAAACCACTGCTAGATCTGGAACTGTAAAGTCGGCAGCATTCCACAAAATTATTTGGAGAATATTTTCCGGCACTTCAACAACATCGACAAGAACGACTAATGGATTTTATGATAACATTTTTAATTACATAAATAGTTTGCTTAGTGGCGGCAGACTCACATTAATGTAATTTATGGACTCAATTTAGATTACAAAGGTAATGCATTGTTTGATTTCAACAACAAAACACTAAACAATGTAAAATTTGAACTGAACTACAAGGCTTGTTATTTTGCTGCAATCTATTGCAATAAAAATCATTTTAAAAAATTTTAATAATCTTTACTATTCTATGTATGTACATATGTATGTATTTATTTATGCATGTACATATATAAGACTATATTATCATCATAAAGATCATCATCATGAAATACTCTTACCCTTTGATAAGTCTAGCGTTGAGAACAAATGTAAATAAAAGACACTAATTCTAATTTACTGATTACACATTACAGTTATACATATGTATAGCAAGTACTCGTTAACTATATATAGGTTGGTTGAATAGTTTTTGCGCTCAAAATTAAAAAATACTGTTTTTGGTACGAAATATATTTTTTTATTCAATATAATCTCTCTTAACTTCAATACACTCATTCCAATGATCCTCCAATAATTTTATGCAATCCCTATAATGACTTTCCGGAAGCTCTGCAAAATACCCGTCTACGCCTCTAATAGCTTCTTCATTCAACGAAAAACGCTTTGCACGAAGGAATAATGCCAAGAAATTTGTTTTCGATCCAGTTTTTGTTGAATTGTTAACATGTACGGCACTAACTTTACAAACAGTTTTTTTCATATGTAATTCTCCATGTAAAATATAAAGTACTCCTTCGCCTGAGATGCCTATGGCATTAGCAATTTCACGCTAAGTCAAACTTGGATATTCACTAACAATATTATGAACTTGCTCAATGGTTTGTGGTGTGGTTGCGGTTTTTGGTCGTCATTCGCATGGATCATCTTCAAGCCTAGTACGACCACGTTTAAATTCACCAGCCCAAAATTCAACGGTGCGTTTTGAAGGTGAGGACTCCTTATACACTTCTAATAATTGTTCATAAATTTCCTTTGCTTTTAAACCCTTCAAAACAAAGAATCGAATCACTACTTGGTATTCAATTTTTTCCATATTAAAAAAATACTCCGACACGTCAACTTCAAATGGCTTGTAAACAAAGAATTAATTGACAGAATAATTTGTAACTTTGCATGTGTTCTCACGACAGATGTATCAACTTGAGAAAAAAAATTGGAGCTAGTAGTGCTATTTCTTGATGAGAGCAAACACTTCATCTTCCAACCTGTACATACATACGAGTTTATGATCATATAATGATAAGCGACTGAAAGCGCTTTAAAACATAAGTAATTGCCGATTGATTATTAGGTGACAAAAATATGAGTGCTTTTAACATCTGTTTAACTTCAGATGTATATATATGCATATCAGTATGTACATAAAAATCATACATGCATATATAAGTGAGTGAATTTTCATTTTAAAAAATGTCTACTTCATGTAATTAATATAATATTTTAATAAATGTCACAGCAAGCAAATTTATAAAGACAGTATTGCTTTCTACGTGTAAATATGACTTAGAGCGTTTCATTTGTTTTTTTTTTTTTTGAAAATTGAGTCTTTTGTTTAATAACACTAGGCGCCCTCCGCTGCACTCCGGGACGCTCGCATCGCTCGCTCGCCTACGTCCGCCCCCCGCCGAGCGCGAGCTAGCTCGCTCTTATGTTAGTTGATTCTCGACAGCAGCAAAAAACTTTTATATATAATAGAGAGATATTAAATTTCCTACTTATGAGATGGTGTAGTATTGTAAAGGGTGCATTTTAGAATTATAGAAATTTTACTTTAAGTAAAGCACAGATATTTTTATATTATTGCTAATATTTTGCGTATTTAAGTTAAATAATTTGAAGACATTTAGTGGTTGATGAGTTTTGGGCGGCTTACCATGACTACATATTTAAAGGATCATCCTGTCGGTCTAATTTATAACCACTTTTTACAATGACACCGGCCTCTTTTACCAAATATCCCGTCGAAAGATGATTGATCAGCATATAGCATTAACTCCACCAACACCAACAAAACTAGGTCTAACGAAGAGAAACTATCGCATAGGTGTCAAATTCACATAAATATTTCTTGAAATGGTACGGTCTCTAAAAGCTGCTTTTAAGAAAGTGATGATTGAATGGGCTTTCCCATGTCAGAAACGAACTTATTCTGGATACAAGAGGGCCCTGAAAATCTCTAAATGTGTGAAATACAAATTACATATATGTCCGCTGGTTTCACAGCTATCCCTCCACGAATTTCAATACTTCAAAATATACAGCCTTTATACCTTGCTTTATAGCATATTATCTGTTCGATTAAATAATGAAAATATTTTGGGTGAATGACACAGAATAAAGAATATTCCATTTTGTATTGCATTTATAGGTATCTATGTATTTACATATCAGGCTTCTGCCTCTTATATATGTACTAATAAATGTCTGTGTTATCACTTAAATTGTTTTTAATTATTTCCACAAGTGTAACAATATAAGTTTTTTTGTTTTGAACGAAATCGCTAAAACGTGACAAAAGATAATTTTGAAAAAAATAACACCCTTTGATCCCTTTAAAAATCATTCTTGAATATACGGCATGTGTTCTAATAACTAGCTCATAAAGTGACTAAAAACATATAAAATGGAAGCGTGATTCTAGTTTAACAGGTGTTTAAGTTTCGAAAGACGCCGCTTTTGGAGGAAAGGTAAATTCAGGGGATACCTGTTCTTCTAGAGCGTGTTAAACTGCTAAGGAGCATTCTAAGATGTTACAAACAATCGTTAACTGAACAACAGTTATTAACAGTTATACTCTGTGCAACATATTACTATATGTATAGTATTATGATTTTTACGCGGTTATGTAGCACATAGTATACCATAACTGAAGTTGTGACAATATATCACTGAAGTTGCATATACTTCCACAATGGCGCTTAGTGCTACCAGATCTGCCGCGCTGTGAATCCGAGCATTGAGGAAAAAGTTAGGACGTTCAAAAATCTGTAGAAATCGGACATCACATATTTTCTATATAAAACGATGTCAGGTACAATATATGTATATATAATATATGATATAAAATTGCATAAAAGTATAGTAAATTTGTTTTTAAAAAAATATATATATTAAAAGTATGGTGTATAACATATACTCGAAAGTGTGATGTATTTTTATTTTCATGTGTTAATTCTCTCTCTCTCTCTCTCTTCTATTCTAAGCCCAAAGCGAAATGTAAACCGCTATACCGTAGAATCAGAACCATCAAGTGAGTGTAAGAAAGATAGGAGACAAAGGAGTAAACAAAAAGAAGAAAGGTCATAGTCCGACTGCATTCAGTGCTCTTGATCGACCAAGTATAGAATGTTATTTATTCTAAGTATCTTTGCTTGCGTTCCGAATTCATACTATATATACATAAATAAAGAAAATAGATCTTATGAAATGATACGTCCGAAATCCGGCTGAATCATAAAATTCTTACGATCTGTAGCAGGCTTAGAAAATTCTGCCGATCTGGCAGCGCTGCTGACGATACAAATTCATAATACAACTTAATAATTACTATGTCTCAAATACGTAATCATTATTAAGTAATTGAAGCTGACGATGCATTAATTCATAAACAACCAGTAAGTACCCTTACGTATCTGCTTACTCGGGCAAATCACGTGCAAATATCGCTCTAAACGGTAAAATGTCAATTCATTCATTAAAGTTTTATATATACATAAATATATATAACATATATGGATTTAGCTGTTTATATGTCGATACTAGCAAGCGGTATTCGTTGTACATATATTAGCATATTTATACAGTTCTTGTCTTGCTAAGTTTATTAAGTCGGTTAGCACTCAATCATCACAAACTACGCAAACGCAGACAATGATTTAATGATCGTCACATTACTTGTCAGAGTATTCTTTAAAATCGTCGTCGATACCACGTTGGAAAAACTATAGTAGTCATCTTAAAATGTCTAGCCACGTTTTAAGTACCATCAACTACAAATAATATATGTGATTAATCTACTCGCCACTTAGTATGGCTATATAGCTACATAGCTATCGTGTACAAATTAAATAATTTGTTGCATTTAAGACAAATGTTTATATAAACGCTTCATTGAAGAAACATTTTGATTCTTAGAAGAATAAATTTTGATACTATTTCTTAGCACCAGATCAAGTCTTCTATAAAAAGTTTTGTATAAAATGTAAAAAATATAATTTTTGTTTGACTCCCTAATCTATACAAGATGATATTAATCCGCAATTGACCGCTCACAAACTAGTCTGAAAATGATCTGTTTTTTGCTGTATGGTGGTGAGCTAAATATATCTACTATTACATTTGTTTGTAAATGACAAATGTTTTACCATGGCAAAGATCAGCGTTAAATTCGCACTTTCATTTACTTTCATCTGACATAACTAATACCGCATAAATTATTAAAAGTGTCAAAACAATTAATTATTATATAGGTATACAAATACTTTGTACATACATTGTAATTAAAGCCTAAGCAATTCCAACTCATTTCAACAGTCATTGAAAAAAATTAGTAACGGGTGGTAAAAAATAAATTTACTTTATTTTTAATTTTTTGGTTTGCGAAAACGAGAAAATTACAAGCTGTAGTATGCAACTATAGATAGGAAATGACCGAACATAATTTCCCCGAACTTAAAATGCATGAATATCATTCCATTTGAAGTACGGTTGTTTTCTAGCTATATTCGTGTTAGGTTCGCCACTTTTTTGTTACACATTCTTCCAGTTATCTAGAATTATTGAAGTTAATGGACGCCACGTCAAAAGATAAAACACCATTTAACTTTCTCTTTCCTTTATTATTACAATTTATTTATATACCAGTTGTTTGTTCGACTCGCCAAATTTCAAAGCTAAGATACATATATATCCATCCATTATAATAATTTCTGTTAATTGTTGATTTTTTTATTCATTTCAAGGCGATCAACAATGCTTAACTTATTACTATTTCTGAAAGAAGCCTATACGCTGATTTCTACTAGTCTAAAATGCCAATAAACCACTTAAAAGAGATGCTTGCGATCCACCCTTTACTATACATTTGTACGTATCATCTTATATGAGATAATTTCCGTTGAAGTGCAAATTTAGCATGATTACTTTTAAAATGTTTGAAGATGGGCCAACAGGTCACTGGCAGCGGTGCAGTTGCCATTTATTATTGGCATGTGTAAATGTAGCCACACATATACATATGTATGTATATGTACATATTTGCACCGTTATGAGTGTAGTGAGTGTCGAAACACTAATTGGAAATTAGTTTTGTATATCTAGCGTCTGCTTGAAGCTATTAACTCAAATGGGCATATAAACTTTGTTAAAAATGTGCGAGCGGCTTAAATGATCGGTGGCGCTAAAGGTGTCAAAGTGTTGGAAGTGTTGAATCTCGAAAAATTTAACGAAAATTAAATTTATTGTAAAGGATATATAAAACGCGATGAATTACCTCTCAAGTGTACTAGTGAGTAACGGTAGTGTTGTTGAGTGCACACATATGTACACTTATTATATAGACGGGTGAATTATGAGTGTATATGCGGATGTATACATCAAACATCCCAAATTACCAAAATATGAAAAAAAGTTTTTTAATCGGTTTTGAAGCTCACTATGGACTGTTTTATCGCTAAGTTTGATATAATTTATTAAGTGGGGCTTTAAAGTGGGATGACTAAGAGAACTTACTATAGAATATCTTTCGCTGTGCAAACTATTGGAAGATTTATAGTACTACCAAAATTTTAAAACAATTAATTATATTTCTGTTCAGTTTTTGTGGGAAATTTATTTTGTGATCTCTCCCAAAATACTCATTATTTTTCTCTTTCTTCATTCTCGATAAAAATAAAAATAAAACTTAAAAGTTTTATATAAAATCATGCTTTACTTAGTCATACCTTCATAATTCATAGATAAAAGTTCACCCGGACTGAAATAACTATAGGGGCATTCACACCAGCTTTATTAATTCAGTAGTTTTTACGTGCATTTTGTTTTTGTTAAATTAACAGATTTTCGTTCTATCGTGTAACGAAGTACCAGTGTGACAAGTTTGCTAATTTTTTCGTTACTTGGTAACATCAAATCAGCTGTTTGTTTTGCGTCGTTGCCTAAAAAGTTCATTTGATTCATTGCAAAAAAATACCTTTGCTGCTCGCTACAAAATAATTTTAGTTAAATTTTTCAAAAAAAAAGTATTTAATAAACTTCAATCAACTGTTTTGGAACAAAGTTTACCACACTTTTGAGTTAGATCAAAAAGTATGTTAACAGTAAAATGTTTTAACGAAGTATGAACTAACGAATTACAAGATTAACATGTTCGGTCTTAATACCCCTTATATTTTCACATATTTTAAAACAAATATTTATTATTATCGTCTTTAAAGTAGGCTCCCTTCGAGCCAATGCAAGTATGCCATAGCTTATAAAAGATTTTGAGATACACTGCTATTTCTCTGATGCCAACTCGACATTTTCAAACATAGTTTTTTTTATTTTCTCTCGCATGAGGCAAGTTTTCGATGACTTCAAGACCTTTATTGAATACTTTCTGGCACTGAAATACTTATGTTTGTAATAAAGTGTACTTCCCAAAACACTTCTGCAACATTTTCAACGACTCCGTAGCTGTTATTCCATTGCAAACGTAAAATTTCAAGCACATCCGTTACTCAATATTTTATCACTTGTATCGCTCCACTGCTCCTTGTAGTTTCGAACTGCGCTCTGATTGTTCGATTATCTTCAACAAAAGCAAAAAAGATTACAAGTAGTTATCATGTGCAACCATTTAGCATTACTTAAAAAAATTAGAATTTAAGTGACTCAGTATAAAAAATTGAGTAAAAATATAAAAATATATACAAGTAATTGTAATTCTACATCCTTATCACAACACGCCGAATGACATAATCTCTTATTCTATAAACCTTGGAAATAGTAACCGAAGATTAAATTGTACTACTTATAGACAATTACTTTCTCTTATCTCTTATCTTAGAGTCTGCTTTCATTTCTCCAACTGTTCGGCTTCAATATTGGTGGACCATTATTTGGCAACGAAAATGTACACATTAAAGTGCATGTACCTGAAGAAGTATCACATAGTACTCATGTAATTCTACATCCTTATCACAACACGGCGAATGACATAATCTCTTATTCTATAAACCTTAGAAATAGTAACCCAAGATTAAATTATTACTTATAGACAATTACTTTCTCTTATCTCTTATCTTAGAGTCTGCTTTCATTTCTCCAACTGTTCGGCTTCAATATTGGTGGACCGTTATTTGGCAACGAAAATGTACACATTAAAGTGCATGTACCTGAAGAAGTATCACATAGTACTCATGAAACAATAATTTATGAACCCGCTAACAAAATTATTCATCATCATCAACATCGCAAATATCCACAGAAATCAGTAGGTTATCAATTACGACATAACCAACATAATTATGTACTGGAAGATAACTTTTAGCAGACTTAAAAATCCAACTGTTGATTCAAATGTGGCATATATAAACCCGATGAATATGGAAAAGAGCATTTAACCAACAAACTGAAATTATATAATATGATTATGATAAGGCTGCAATATAAAGACCCGTAAAGTATATAAATACCTATAAAGTGATCAAATGTCAGGAACCAATAAAAGCAAAACTTTATACCACCACATCCACACAAACACCAACATAAGTCGAAAACAATAACGAACTATATAAATTTATTGAGTCAAAATATCTGCCAACAACGGGGGATGGACATGAGCTCCACAAATCAGCTGATAGCAGAGATCATTACCATTATCCAGTCAGAACGGAAACAAAGTCTATAAAACCGCACACCCATACGAAAGTGGTTACATATCAAGGAACAGCGAACAATTACCATAGCTATAAGCATACGCATTATATAGAACCGCCTTATTATGACGCTGATCCCAGCCCACTTGTTGATTTTAAGTTGAGCACGAGTGTTTATTTGCCACCATACGATATACCGGCATTATCTGTGGAGCATACAGACACGGCGGCATATGATTTTTTAACTCCCAAAGAAACTCTCACTTTACCCACTAGTGAGGCAGCAAATTTCCATGGTCAATTCCCCTATAACGCTTTTAATGATGGAACTTTCAAACCCTTCATTGGTGGCATGTACCTACCTGTTGGGGAAGAAAGTCCCATTAGAAAAGAAGCAGCTGAGACTTACATGGGCATCGATAGCTATTCTGCAAGTCATGTCCAAGGCCTAGATTATCTTAGCTACTCACCCTATCGACGCTGGAGTACGTTTATTTAATTAATTTTAATTATACCTGTGTAAATGTAAATATAGGCCAGTCTTAAGTGTGTGTATGTATTAAATATAATTTATTTAAAGAAGTACATATGTGCCTTTCATATATATATGGTATGTATACATGTACAAAGTGCCTTAAGTCGATTAGTTAAATAAGCGCATAAAATCGATGCGTATAGTAAAAATAGTAAAGAATAGTATTATGACAACAATAAAAAACCGTTTAACCGACGCCGGAGGCGAAATAAAACAGACATTACATTTATTTGGCCTCCGGCGTCGCTTGCCAAAACTTAAAGGGTTTCTTTATACTGTGGATTTCTTTTACCACATTTATAGTTATCATAGAAAGCAGAAAGATCAAAAAGATTCACGAACAAAAAATTTGTTTTGTTAAAAAGTTTTCTTTCAAGATTTAAAAGAGTTTTGAAGACAGAATGCTCTCGAATTTTTCAAAGTGTACTTTCTTTTTTTTTGGTCGGAAGTGTTCTTGGAAAGTTTCGTCGTCATAAGACGTCTAATCACTAATAATTATGCGTTTTATAAATGCAAGAACCTCAATGTTAAGGCGTGCCATAAGAAATGTTGAGATCTTCTGCTATCTCTCAAATGGCAACGATTTTCAAGTCAAGTGGATGGGTGGCTTTCACTTTCAACGATTCCAAGTCGTGATTCCATTAGAGACACAAAATGTCGAGAAAATTCATGGTTCAATTTTTTTTCATGATCAAAATCGCCACAAAAACAGTAAGCAAACAGCTGTCAAACACACAACAATTGACATATGGAGATCAAATTTACCACGAACATCAAAAAGGTTGTACCAAGCTAGGAAGATTTTCTGTATCGCATCGATTTGCGTGCGCAGTTTAAATGGACCAGTTTGGATCAAATTGGATACGAAAAATACGAGGGTGATTGGTTAAATTTTTGAACTAATAATGATCTAATTTTTAAAAAATGTTCGAACATGATAAGTATATATGGAATGTGATAAGCATTATAAAATGTCTAGGCTAGCGAAAACTTTCGGTGATGTCAGTTGATACCCAAAGCAATTAATATAAGTATCACCACTCGTAAAAAAATACAAAGTTTGTAATTGAAAAGTAATTCGTGAAAGATTTCTGTTTAGTTTTTTTTTTTTATTTTAATACACTCGTAAAAGAAATGTTGGGAATATGTAGTTTTTTCTTATGTGCACAATTAAATAATTCGCTCTTTACAAACTTATTAATATTTAGTAATAAGAATCGAAGTAGATCCAAGTTATACACACTCTTGTAAATATGTAGTCAACATTCAGCGGCTTAAAAACTTTTGAATTTGGGCATGAATTGTATAAAGAAGATCATGTAAGTGGCTATTGAGCCGAGAATCTGAAAAAAATATACATTTTGTTTGCTTTCTAATTTGCTTGTTACACAAAAGAATTCAAGTATCGCGACTTACATCTCTTGCCATATCACAATTCAGCACGAAGAAGCCAAAGCCGTCGAGGATGATCCGCTGGTGTAGCATTTGCAAAGCAAAGCTTTGTAGCTTAAAATTCAAATAGTGAACTCTCATTAATAATTATGCTGGGATTGTACATAAAATAGCCCGCGGCATTATAGATATACACGAATGTGCTTAAGTATATATATACAAGTATATACCATATGTATAAAGCTGTAAGCGAAACTTACCCGTGTTGAAATTTGGTAATCTTCAATATCATGTCGTATTTTATGTATATTGTGTGCGAGAAAATTTGTCTGTGCAAAAAATAAAAGAATTAAAGTAAAAGCACATCATTGAAGTACTTAATTTAGTAAACTTTCATTATTAATGTATTTTCATACATAATCGAACTATTGCTAAATTAACCACCTACCGATCGCATACAATTTCGTGACGTTAATAACAACAAAGCGATTGACACGGAAGTTGGAATAATTAAAAGGTACTCTGAAATGAAAGAAATAGAAGAAAATAATTTACTCTTCATTCAAATAAAAATAAATCCAGTTCTCTGATAGTGATGGTGTTCAGTTATTTTAATATAGAACAAATCTTTGACAACAGCAGAGCTTTTTCCAATACTACCGAGAAACACTTTCGCACTTGATTTCGCCCCATATACCGATATGAGGATTTAAGGCAGAGCTTGAAATATCTTGATGTACATTTTTTTCAGGAGCATAATGTGAATTGGTGCCATAAATGGCTGTAGTCGGTCAAAACGTTTCCCTAGTAATATACTTAATAAAATGAACACAATACTAAACATTTACAAAACAATTCCAACCAACCATAATAAATTCCATTATTTCCAAGAATTCAAAAAGTCTTACCAGTAATATTTTCTCCGTTGTAAACCATCCAATAGGACCAGTAACATTCGGATAAAATCAAAACATAATCCTTAATATAGTTACATGTCATGGATCTACCCACAGCTTTTTTCAATAGTATAGACATTTCGTAGATATTCTGATAGCATTCCATGAGTACCTGCAGCTCAGCGCATATATTTTGTACGAATTGGTCCCGCTTTTGAAACTTTACGCGGCAGTTGCGTTCACTAAATAAGACCAAACGTTCAACATTCCTATTCAAGTGCTCCACCTCGATGCGCAACATTTCCATAAAGAACGTGATTTGCACGGTTCGAAGGTTACAAATGAGTCCACTCGGTACGAAGGGTATGAAAAATGTTAACCATTTACGATTCCTACTAATTTCTTGTATGTAAGCCACATCCACTATAATCACAGCAACAATGAAAAGGCTACTTCGAAAAACGAAAATGCGATAAAGGCCAAATTCGGCACGGCCCCCAGCGCAATCATGCCATTTATAATGGAGCTGTGTGTAGGCCAAGAGGAAATCTTGCATGTGACGGCGACATAATATTGTTTCGGTGATTATTACGAAATGCGATATAATTGCGGCAATCAATTTGAGAAAATCAATAAATTTTCCGAAACTATCACTGTTGTAGAGTATCGAATCGTGATTGACGCTTGTCCACAAGTGCACCAAGAAAAAACATATGAAATGTAAACAATGCCACAGCAACAGGAACCGCTGCTGGCACACGCTGACCGGCTGTGGGCGTTGGTTGACCGTGGCGAGGTCACACTGCCCTCGCAATGGCACAGCGCACTGGCCGAACAGCTGGCCCAGGCGCAGTAACAGCAAGGTGAAGGTGTCCAATCGCACCGGCTGCTGCACGCTTATGCTGGTGGTCTTGCGCTGCTTCATATTTGCATATGTTTGTAGGTACGCAACAGTGGCTTTTACCACTCCAAATCAAGTTGTTTTCTTATTTTATTGGTGACCAAATGATTTACAATAGGCGCGGCTTCGTACTGACAATCGTATGTGCCGTTGCAAGCGTGACTTTGTGAATAGTTCGACGCGAGGATTGAATTCATTTCGCAATTCCATTAATTTGATTGTTCGTTCCACTTGTCGCGAAGTGTGTCCGCGATGCTAATCACCCTTTTCTGACACTAACTGAGTAATTGCTATCGCCGTTGATTGTCGAAAAGTTAGCGACACTGCGCTGGCGACAGAAGTGCTCAGGAGCAGCGGCAGTGGGTTTGCTTTGCCAATAACAGGTGTTCAAATTTATCAATTTACAATGTACATACATTTATTTACATGACACTTTTACCATAGGATATATGTGCTCAAAAAGAATAAATGAAAATTGTGAAGGAAAATTGTGTTCAGAGGAAATTCACACCTTCCGTCTTAAGCCGAACTGGCGGTTGTAGGTTTCAAATACAAAGAAAATCCATTTAATAATACGAAAAGTTGCTCACATTTGATCTGATATCTAGAGATATTATATCGAGGATATCATATACCATAAATTTGGTGCCGTGCAGACCAGCGTATGTTCAAATCTTCAATCTCTATAGGTAATTCATAATTCAGCATTCGCTGGCTGTACGCTCAAGATTAGTGAAGGAATGCCTAGAGTCTTTATCGCTGGCATCAAGTTACTACATGATTAGACTGGTTTGGGTGCCTAGCCACAGCGGTATTGCAGAAAACTGAAATGCTGATGAGCTTGCTAAGTCGGGTACTTTAGTTGCACTAATTGCAGAATGGGAACTGGTAGGAGCTCCGTTGGTTTCTTGCGGTTCACTACTGGATGATTAGGCCTCAAACTAGCTCATAAAGCGCTGGACGGCAACTAGCAACTGTGCAGTCACAAGATCTTTCTGGTTCAGGGTAAATCATCAAAGTGGCTGATGAGCTCTTTGCTCTCAGCAAAGTCCACCTTTCAATGGTTGTAGGAGTTTTAACTAGACATTGTTCGATCGGTATTCATGCGTTGAAATCAAATATTTTAACGGATGCCAGTTGCATCAGCTGCTTGGAAGAAGATGAGATAGAATCATCAAGGCTAAAACCCCTTGGAGCTCATACTTTTAGTCATCCTGTTGAAATGATGAAAAGAGAAATAAAGCATCTATGTAAGTAGATTTGTGATAGGTTCAAATCGTTTGTCGATAGCTGATATCCAAATACAGAAGTTTTTATCTGACTTCATGAAGGACTGAACATACATCTAACCTAATCTAACCAAACGATAGTTCCCAATCAGATTTGAATTTCTGACTTTTCGCTTACATACACCCGTCTCTAATACATTTCAATATAGCTTGGTTGAGTATATTAGTAAAATCTGGCCGAATCGAAATATTTTGGATATTCAATACATTTTGCAAAAAATTGACTAACAAAAATGAAATCACACGAAGAATTCCACCACTGTGCGACTAACTAATGTAATGAGATGTAGTGCAAACAAAATTTATTTGATATTCACATATTAAACATCAGTATTATTCATATATCCTTCCTTGTAATGGTGAATTTTTAATTACATTCCTTGATTAATGAGCAGTCAATTACGATAACCGCAGCAACTTCATTCAGTTGCTATAAGAACTTTGCCATGTGCAAGCAGGTTCCCTTCGTGGTGCGTTTTCACACGAGATTGTTTCAAATCATCGGTTGCTGTGATGTTTCGTGGCATACACAGCCGAGAGAGAAAAGACTTGCCGAACAACGCTTAGTGGCCTGGACTGTTTTAGTTTTGCTAATATATTCTTTCGTATTTATAAATACCTTCGTACATCCGTCGGCATTTCTCTTCACCAGTGAAAGTTTTGGCTACTTTGTAGATGCGCTAAAGGTTTGTATGGCTTATGTTACAGTGGCCATCATCTATATGGAGACGGTGTTGCGTCGGCATGCTCTACAGCTTTTCTGGCAGAGATATGCGATGCTGAACCCAACTTCAAATCAAAAAGTTGAAGCAACAAATATTTCTTGGCGCTCACAGTTGAGGGCATATCATCGATTTCTTTACGTCTTCTATGGCATAACGGTGCTTGACTTTATTTTGGAGATTATATATTATGTTCTGCGCGAGAAGGACGATCATATGTTACAGTTTTTGGTTATGTTCACACCCTACACTTATATGATACATTTGCGGAATATGCAAATCATTTTCCATATTGTGATTATAAATCATGAACTGGTGAAATTGCGCCACGACATTAGCCTACTGGCGGAGTATACAAGATTTACACGCAACAGAATACCTTTCGTAGGTTTCGAAGATTTTGTGCGGCAAAAACTAGCCGAGAAGCAGCTGATATACCAACGTATCTATGAAATGTGCGACTACTTTCAACAGGCCCTTGGAATTTCAGCGATTGCAGTCCTTCTCATGACATACGTCCGTTTGGTCGTCGACGCATACTTCACGCTATACTCGTTTCATATTACCAACCAGCCGCAGTATATAGGTAATGTAATGAAAAGTTCTAGTTTATCGTATACGAGTATGTTTGGTAAGTGGGAGGTCTTAACAGATTTGCAGATTCGCCTAATATAAAGTTAGAACTTTTTAAGATTTGAATCCACAATTGTCTCTATAGACCGTAAATTTGTATGTACATAAATAGAGTTTCAGATCCTACCTATTCCTATATAGTGGACTTTGTATTTTCGAATAAAATTAGAACACTGTGGCCTGACAGGGTATATATATATTTCGTATTAAGTTTATTACGAAGTATGTAACACCCAGAAAGAAACGTAGGAAACCCTCTGAAATATAAATATAAATTAGCAGCGTGAAGAGCTGCATCGATTTTGCATTTCTGATATGTCTGTCCGCCTGTCCGACTGTATATACGCGAATTACTCCCTCCTGTTTTAAGATATCGATGTGAAATTTGACACACGTTCTGCTCTTCCCAAGAAGCCGATATCAGACCACTATAGCATATAGCTGCCATACAAACTGATCGATCACAAAGTTCTTTTATGGATAACTTTTGTATGGTATTTGTGGAGATATCTTCACGAAATTTGGATTATTGTCAGATATGACGGTACAATCTGCAAACAAATTGTTCAGACGTTTCAAATTCGCGGTGGTTATTAATAAAAAAGTCCCTATACACCCTTATGAAAATATTTCTGATAGGATATTTAGAATCGAGATTATAGAAAAAGTAGTTTTTTCGGAAAAGAACGGTCACAACATATATACGTGAATGTGTATGTATGTATATTTAGGTATATACAAATTTTCTTTTTACAAATAGACTATTCTCAAAAAAATTAAAAAACCGATTAGTCAAAAAATTATATATGTATGTATATATCTATTCTAACCTTTACTCCAAACTATCAAAAAAATATCTTACTCATAATAAATAGATTTATTTATCCATTGCATATCAAATTTATTAATTGTATCAATCAGTTGTGAGAAATGTTCTTTCACTCAATTATGATGTCTTATCACTCATACACATCCTTCGGTAGTTTCACGACACTTTACAATTCTCCAAACAGCTCACAGTTCAGTTGTGAACTTCGCAATGACTATACAAGTGCCATCCGTTGTGCGTCTCCATATACGCTTCTTTCAATTAATCGGTTGTTTCGACGTCTCACTGCATGACCACTCAAAAGTACAAAGGCTCACTGAGCAGCGTCTGGTGACTTGGACAGTACTTCTATTGCTCACATTTTCCGTAACAACGATGAACACCTTTCTTAGATCCGCCGAATTTCTCTTCACTGCCAATCGTTTCGGTTATTTCAACGATGTCCTGAAGGTGTGCATTGCCCAGCTGACAGTTTTCGTAATTTATATGGAGACGGTATTGCGGCGTCGTGCGCTTCGGAGCTTTTGGCAGAGATACGCGTTGCTAAATAAAGTAGCCGCAGATAAATTCAAAGAGAAAAACGACAATTGGCGTTCACAGTTGCACACATATCGACGTTTTCTGTGTTTTTTCTACGGTATTACATTATTTGACATATCAATCGAGGCGGTGTTCCATACTATGCGTCCAGCAGATCGAAATTTGCTACTATTTTGGGCAATGTTTACACCGTTCATCTATATGGCGCATTTTCGGAATATGCAGATAATTTTACATATCGAAATGATACGGCTTGAGCTGCAGAAATTGCGCCACGATATCGGTCTGCTGGCGGCGTATACGAGTTTTGCCCGACGCATAGTGCCTTTTGCGGGCTTCGAGCGGTTCGTGCGTCACAAGTTGGCCGAGAAGCAGTTGGTTTATCAACGCATCTACGAGATGCTTTATTACTTTCAACGTGCCTTCAGCATGTCCACAATGGCGGTGCTGCTGATGATCTATGTGCGAGTGGTCGTCGATGCGTACTTCATGTTTTTGAACGAAAGTTCCGCCTCGCAAATTTTGGGTATTCACGTAAATTATATTTATCTAAACTTTGGTGGTTTTATGTTCCGTTATGGTTTCATGGTACAGGGATGACCTCTAAGTGGAGTTCAAGAGTCTACGTGCTCTTCCGGTGTTTCTGAATATCTGCTTTCAGTGAAGCGAGACTCATTTTTATATTTGTGAGCGCCTCTTCACGGCAGTTATTACAGCCAAATATTGGTTTCAATAATATTATATAATGAACTAACAGTGGCGGTGTCGCATACTGAAAATCGTTGAAAACAATAATTTTTACTATTTCGATATAGACCACGACCTTGGTACTTAGCTCTTTTTAAAGAGCGTTTCTTTTAATTTATGGAACTAGATGATAAGATAAAATTGCCGGCTTTTCAATATGACTAAGAATTTGTATCTGATTTATTTACAATTTTTAATTTTTTTTTTTAACATTATACAGAAAATTTGTTGCTGCTGCCAGCATACTTAGAAATACCAGCACTTTTATTGACCTCACAAAAGTGCATGAACGAGGTATGTATACGCCTTTGTATTCTCTTATGGTTTGTGAAATTAAATAAATGAAATTTTCTTTAGGTGAAGTTCATAGCATTTGAACTGCACAACATTCGGAGCTCCGTGGATAACTCACTTATATCGATACAGGTATTTATTTGAAACAACTATCTAAATACTTGTCAAAGGTATCAAGCAGAAAAATTATTACCTCCATTGTGGCTATTTTCATAATCAAAAACACTTTACAATAACTGTGGAGGAATCAAATTGTCAACTCTTTTACAAGATTGTAAACCATAAATTCTCTGAAATATGTGGGGTAAGAACCAATCTTCCAATGAAGTGTACCAATATAAACTTTCTAGAGACTTAGGGACTGAGCTTAAGGCTGACAGCGTTTCTAGCAAGGTAGATGCTTATACATATATATACTACAGTGATTCTTGTGGTAACCCTACTAACAGGAGACGGTACGAAGAGTCGTAAATGACAGCAATCGAGCCTTTGGTTTATTTGCTTCGCTAGTAAGTATGATGATCCGTCGATGGGATTTTTCTAGTTCAGGATTGTTATAACATTATCATTTTACCATACAACATGTTTACAAGCTTTATAAGGTACTTGACTCGCGGTACGCTTAGATGCTTCAGCATTAGCCGATATTATACTGACCAAGTGTGTAGATGGATTTAACTAAAAACTAAAACTAATTCTACCCTCTTGATCACTGTTAGATTCTCTAACCTGATGAACCGCGTTTTCCGCACAAATCAGATTTGCTTCTTTTGGTTTTGTCCTTCAGAGGGTTTTCAGTCGGTAAAATGCTGACGCACAATTTTAGGTCACTTAGTTGCTTGTTGATGCAAGCGTTGAGGTTCTTTGTGTCTAGATATCTTTGTATTTTGTAGCATTTCGCGGTCACGATCAGTAGGGAAGAAATGTGAACTAGTGGAATGCGAGCTCGACTTTGCGAACGTCATGCAGTCGCGCGCTAACTAATTTTGCCTTTGTACTCGTACATCACCCTGTGACGTGCGTATATAAAATTCATTCTCACATCAGTTAAAATTTTGAGATTTCGTGCTTAAGTGGAATTCTTTATTTTCAGATACAAAATTTCTCGCTACAAATATTACATCAGAAAATTCGTATTGATGGCTTGGGTATATCCGCTTTGGATGGAAAAATGCTAGTCAGTGTAAGTTCACAAAAAAATAATAATTAGTTAATGAAATAGAAATGAAAATCAAGTAGATTAATATTTACATAAAACTACAAAAAGAAAACCAAAAAAATATCGATAAATTTTTTCAACTCTGAGTCCGAAGTTTCGATTTTAACGAATAATTAGCAAACATTGAGGTCTTCACACCAAATTTGTGTTGTTCTTTAGAGAGTATTTGAATTAGTTATAAGTTAGTTGTATGTCTCTGAGAAAGTTAAGTTGGTGAATATTTTCATTGGATAAATCTCATTTTTTACTGTAGTGCCGTTTAATTTTTGACAACGTAACAACGATCTCACAATAGCATAGTCAAATTTGATTCGGTGAAGTCGGAACAGATACATATTTTTGCCACTTCGGTTCTCCACTTCCAACCTTTTTGAAAAATTCTTTGTGCTGCGAAGAATGAAAACCAAAAAAAAAAAATGTTCGGGCGTTACTTCACTCTCTTTTCTACTCTTTGGTTTACGAAGCAAAAATTTGTATAAAATTTAAAATTATGAGCGCATTTGTTATATTTTATAGTATACTAAATATGTATTCAGCTTCGGACTCAAGAACTCAAAAACTATTAGATTTATGGTATATATGTATATCTTAAATAGCTCCAAAATATTTTAAGTAGTCCTCTATATATAAACAACATTTTTTTAGAAATATTTTTTTAAATTTTCAGATTGTCGGCTCTATAACAACGTACATGGTATTTTTCATACAATTTATGCCGAAATTCAAAAATTTATAAATACGACACAGTAAAAGCATTAAATACTGTGAATGTATGTATGTACAACAAAGTTGCTTTAATTTGTATGCACAAAGGTATTTACCTAAACAGCAATTTTACGAGTGTTACGATGTTTTTAAAGCTTATACGCATTACTTAAACTAAAAACTATACATATGCATGTATGTATGTACTATATATGTACTTAGCCACTAATATATTATGAACGCATAGAAATTTTATGTGTTTTGTGTGTATATAGAATAAAATATTTGCAACATCTCAGCGTTATCTGAACTACGTTGCATTGGAATTACTATTAAATTGGTTTAAAATAATTAAGAAAACATTTAAAACCGAAATAAAATATAAAAAAATTTAAATAAAAAAAAACTATATACATATAAATAAATAAGAAAAACAAATATAAATAAGAAAAAATAAAAATAAAAAAAATTAGAAAAAAAATATAAATAAAATAAAAAAATATTTAAAGAAAAACCAAATAAAAAAAATATATAACATATAAAAATAATAATTTAAAAAAATTAAAAAAAATAAATTAAATAAATATAAAAAAAAAATTAAATAAATATAAAAAAATCAAATTTCATTTTTATTTATTTTAAATTAATAATTAAAAAAAAAAAAAAATGTTAAAAAAAATTACATTAAAAAAGGTAAAAAAAAAAAATAAATAAATAGAATAAAAAATACAAAAAAAGTTATATAAGTATTGTACAAAAGAAAAAGGAAATACAAACAAAAACTAAAAATAAAATAAATACAAAAAAACAAAATAACAAAACACATAAAATACAATAATAATAAATAAAAACGAAATACATACAAAATAAAAGACTAAAAAGAAAAAAAAAAATACATAAATTTTAAAAAATATAGCGCGATTAAGTTCGCCTAATGCGTGAAGGTAGGCTGCGAGTGAAAGGTGTCAAAATATACTCCACATAATATTAATTGGCAGCACAACTGCTCAATTTCCAAATTTGTTTCACGGTCTTGTTTGGAAAAATATTAAAATATTTAACTGCTTTCATTTCAATTGGCACTGCAAGAGCTTGATGGAAACAAATTATGCAAAACTGATTCTGAAATATATATCTAGTTTATTGCTTAATTGCATGCTTCATAAATCAGTTATAAAAATTATCTAAAATAATGTTTAGTATCATAATTATAAGGCAGTGTGCTTAAACAAACTGCCAATATTATATAAAATGCCTATGCATATTTCAAAACAAAAAAATTCAGAAACAAAAAAAAAAGGAAATTTGAATGTAAACTCAGAATGCAAGACATTCCATACTGGTAACATACATATATGTACATCCGACGCATAAACTTCGTTCCAAAAAAAATGCACAGCTACTTTCTTACTTCCACACACTTCGACTTGTCTTCACCTTGCTTACGCGCTTTAATCGTACTCATGACTCGATTCACGTTTCGTTATCAAATTCTCACGTTCTTCAGCTGAGCTTTTAAGTAGAGTAGAGCCAGCTGGTGGCAATACGGTGCGGTTAAGCGCCTTCGTGCGATGTAAGCCCTCTGTGAGACCAGATTCTGTAAGTACTTCCACTTCGTCATCGTCCATATTGCGCACCGAAAAGTATGGATGTGATGAAGTCGGGCGAAATTTATAAGCAGTCAAAACGAAAAACACATATGTTGCCATTTCATGGAACATCTCATCCAACCAAGCATACTGGAATGCCACGGTCATCTTCAGCAGATACACAATGATGCGTGTGAAGTAAATATAACAAACTATCATTATATAAAATTGACGGAAAAGTTTGAGTTTGCGCAAATTGATGGCTGCTTTGCCATCGGTTGCTGATGCCTCATGCAAATGGCGTATGGACCAGACAATCGGGAAAAGTATGGCGCCGCAACAGAGCAGATCAACGAAAATGAAAATATTGCGCCAAGTGCGAAACTCAATGTCACTCTCTTCGGACTCGTCAATTATGATGTCAGCGACGTTGGCAAGTACCTAGCGTTATAAATAATATGCGTACTTAAGAATATTATATTAGTTTTATTATTATGAATTATTTTACCTGCAGCGGTATGACAATCATAAAGATTTTCTTATCTTTATCAGAAAGTATGGGTTTAATGAATGTCCAGCCGGTGCCCATAAGCACAATTGTGATGAATAAGACGGAGCCTTTCAGCCTATGATGGAAGAAATATAAATTTTTAAATAATTTATGCACAAAAAAAAATGATTTTGTCAATAACTTTATTAAAAAAAAAATTATTGATTTAAAATTTGAAAATATTCTATACTTTTTTTATACTTACAGATGCGTAATGTAATACAAAATCGCCCAAGCCTCAACGTGTTCACCGCGTATTTCGATAAAATGATAGTTAATGGCGTGGAACATGAGCGACAGCGATTTAAGGAACACCAATAAAGCCATTATGTAGTGCAGTTTGTGAACGTTGTGCCTAAAAGTGAGAACGATTTATAGAAATTAATATAAACTGCCCAAAAAATAAACAATTTTTTAAACTCAAATGTTTACGCACTTGCTCTTCTTCAAAATGAAGATCCAGAAGAAGCCTGACAAGCAAAATAGCACGCTCATCATTGAATATAGAGCGGGAAGCGGCATTTCACCAGCGGAAAGGAAATTATTATCATTTTTCTCCTCAATGTCTACCTAAAAAATAACGCATTTTATACATTACCACCACTACATAAATTTTTTAGAACAACTTACATCGAATGAAATCTCCTTTAATGTCCTGTAGTTGGGGCAGGCGTGGAAATGCAGGTTGTAGAGACCCTCATCATGCAAGGTAGCCACCAGCATGGAAAACTGTAACGTTAACATATATGTAATGCAATAATTTATTAATAAGCAACACCGTTAACTTACCGACATATTATAATACACTTTACCATCAATAACTCGCTTTGTCAATGGCATTGTGTAGTTTCTGCAAATCTCAAACTGCGCATTATCATCGAAATTAATTTGCGTTGACATAAATGCAGGTGCGACCTTTTCCTCGTGTGGAAAAGGGTTTTCGGCTGGCGCAACAGATTCTACAGCTTCTTTATTAGCAGCTGCTGCTAGTGGCGTTTTGGCAGCAACTGCGGCACCCGCTGACTCTGCAACTTTTGTCGGTATTGGTGCGTTAACAGCTGGCAATGGTGATGATGGCTTCAAAATTATTTGTGGCACTTCAACCGAATCATCGTCACCCAGCATTTCACGTTCCTCCAATGGTATATCGTTTTCTTCACCCGGTGCCACAGCCGCGTCATCACTACGCCTGCGGCGTTGTAAGAAGATTGTTGAATCGCTAAGTTTAGAGTAACGCTTTCCACGGTACATAGGCAGCTCATCGTGGTTGCGTACAATGTGTTGATTTTTCCACTCCGGCGAACATTTTACTCTTATACTGAAAAAGGTAATGAGAGTATGTCATTTCTTTATTGGCGATTCATATTTTTTTTTTATCATAATGAGACCTACAGCAGGTTTTTTAAGTCCAATAAAAATATTAAAATTGGTCCGCTGCGTTGCATTTCCGAGGGTTCCTCTAGTATACATTTGTTTTGATGCGAGTCCAAGTATGGATTTAATTGATCTATTGTAGTTTTATCTAACGTTAGGCCAAACTAAACAAAATGATATAAATTTAATAGAAGTTAAGTAAATTTAGGTTTATCTTAATATTACAAACAAATAATTAGATTCTCACCAAATCTTGTTCATTCTCATCTTCTATATGCAATTTACTCAACTGCACATCCAAATGTCCACCAATATAGAAACCGAATGTGCTCAAAGCTATATATGACCGTACATCATGCTACAAGAAACAAGACCGTTAACTCAGTCACCATATAACGTTTTACTGCATTGTTTACTTACGCGAACTTCTAGGTGATGTTTTCTGGCCGCCACCAATGCTATCAGCAGTGTTTGAAGAATTAGAAATTTGCATTTTGTCTGATAACCCATGTTTACTTTCGTTATTTATGGCTACAACAGACGTCTGCGGCAGCTAACGGTGTCAGTTCTGTGTCTAAATTATCTATATTTTTTTTCCAGGTGACACATGAACATTCAAATAAATTTTACAAGTGAGCTTCGATTGAATTGCACAACTATATACCTGCTATTTTAGTTAATTAACTGCTTTTATAAATTATTTATCAATATACAATTTTCACAATATCAGCAGCAAAATATCAGAAAATATGTACGTATAAAATTTACAATTCGTCAAGAGGAGGAACATCTGATTGTCAATACTAAAATAAAATTAACGCTAGGTAGCGCAAGGAATTTTACCGATTGAGTTTGATGATTTAATTTTTGTTAATAATAATAAATTGTCAGAGAATCTTAATAAAAATGTAAATATATAAATATATTAACATTCTCTGGTATTGTTATGTTATATTTATTTTTTATAAAATTATTACCAGCGAATTTTATTTTTTGCTTTATATCTTTACAATTCTGCTGCTTACTTAAGTATACAATTATATAATAAAATGAAACACAAAAAATTTTCCCCAAATTAGATCATGTATTTAAAGTAGTTGTAATTGCATATTTTTTTAATATATTACGTAATTATGAATCCAAAATATGTTTCTTTTTTATAAATATTCTTCAAACATTCGTAGTTTATCTTAGTACGCCCTGTACTTGAAAGCGCATCCGGCAACTCCCAACGGTTTTGACAGCTGTCAAAAAGCAATACTGACAACTTGAGCAATATGGACTTCCTCTTTTTCGATACGTTCGCGTTCGGGTGAATTTGTTAAAAAATTCAATAAAATAAATCTTAGGTAATCTCAGTGAATATTCACATAAAAGCTTTTGAAAACTTTATCAAGTTATGTGGAAAAGTGTATTATTATGTAAAATAAGTTTATTTCGCGACAATTCTGACACATACAAATTATTTTCGTACTCATCTACGAAGTGAATTGAATTTGTTCTCAACTTGGCCGAAAAGCTATGCCATTGATGTTTTGTTGCCAAAGCTATGCAATAAGGTTTTTGCAACATTACCTGAATCAATAGTTCAATGAAACGGCTTGGCGAATTTTTAGAGCTTATAACTTTTCACTAAGTGTTTCTCGTGGATTTTAACTACAACAAATGTTCGTTGCGGCGTTTCAGTAGTAAACTGCCAAATTTTCATATGAATGTAGGCATGCTCCTTTGCTGCGTGGCTTTCAATGAAAGTCAAAATTTTAAACTAAATTTATTGTTTCGATAATGATCAATTTTAAATAATCTACAGCACTTAAAAATTTATCTAAAGTATTGATATTCTAAAATTGTATTGGTTCTAATATATTTGTTTATTTTTTTTTCAGCCATGGTGCGAATGAACGTATTGGCTGATGCCTTAAAATGCATTAACAACGCTGAGAAGCGCGGCAAACGTCAGGTTCTCCTGCGTCCCTGCTCCAAAGTTATTGTCAAATTTCTTACTGTCATGATGAAACATGGCTACATTGGTGAATTCGAAATTGTCGATGATCATCGTTCCGGCAAAATTGTTGTTAATTTGACTGGTCGCTTGAACAAATGCGGCGTCATCTCGCCCCGCTTCGATGTGCCCATTAATGATATTGAAAAGTGGACCAACAACTTGTTGCCCTCTCGTCAATTCGGCTATGTTGTGTTGACTACATCCGGCGGTATCATGGATCATGAGGAGGCCAGACGGAAACATTTGGGAGGTAAAATTCTTGGATTCTTCTTCTAAGCGGGACAGGTCGTTACACTATCAATAGTGTATTTAAGCTATTGCAGCTGGCAAAAGCAAAGTGTTTATATTATTTTTTACAAAAATAGAATGATAATAGCCACTAAAAAACTGCAGTAATCGTGCGTGGAAGGAATAAAGAATTGAAAAAATTTTATTTACTTGGGTTTCAATGATATCACTGCAGATGTAGTGCGGTGGGATGGTAGCGCGATTGCATGTTATATATTTTAGCGGCTAATGCATTTTAGTATTGTCCTAAGCATCTTTATAAAAATAACAATTGATTATTGGGCGTATAGTGAGTCAATATATTTGTGTATATATAATTCAAAAATTAATAATGCTTGATGCATAAGTTTTCAAGTAAGTTTATCAATAATTTCGACTTGTATTAACATTTATAATTTGTTATATTAACAATTCAGTTGGCGGTTTAAAAAAAAAGATCTGCGAAAAAAAGGTGCGTTCTTTACTTAAAAGTCGGGTCATGTGCGTTTATATGCCCATCGTCAAATTTATTTCGTTATTGGATTACCGTTAAAATATCCATGATTGAAGTTCTGGCACCGAAGTTATATTGCCCTTAACAAATACAAAAAATTCCATACAAGAAATTGATTTAGATGGGTCATTTTGTGTGATAAAGCTGCTGTTTTTGCTATTATTGTCCGATATTGGATCTGTGACAAATTTCGTGGATATCTTGTCAAGTAATCAAGAGTTTACTAATCAAGAACATGATTTTCAGTTTGCTTGGCAGCTATATGCTATAGTGGTCTGAGGAGGGCGTGTGCATAATTTCAGATCGATATCTCAAAAATTGAGCTCGTCTCCGACGTTTTGTTCTGTGTTATAAATAGTTCCTACATTGTTTTCACTCAATACATTTTGGCGTAGTAAACTCTTTAGTCTATAGTAACTCATTAAATCGCCTAAAAGTATGCAACATTTTAAGAGGAAGAATGTATCTTGAATGACCGTTCGGTTTAAAAAACAATATCTGCTTGCTTAGAGGAAATGCTATTGAAAAAGGGAGCAAAATTAATTTTTTCCCCAAGGTATCAAAAAAGGCATTAATATATGTATGCATCTGTGAAAAGAGGTATTAACAGCACGGTATCTACTATTCATATCTTATCAACCTTTTCATGAACGTTCTTGCATATAGTATATATGGATGTTTGTGTACAATCACATCAAAACTTTATATTCCGCAACAATTTTTTTTTAACTCAGTACTGCTAGGAAACACATTTAATTTGCTATATACACATGTGCGCAAATATATATGTATGTATGTGTTCTTATCAGCAAAACAAATGGTAAATCTTACAATGTGCACTCGATACTAGAAATAATTTGACACTAGCATATACTTGTATATAGATTGATGTCTCTTTAAAGTACATAATGATATTTTCAGACACTTTTGATCGTTTGTGACCAAGAACGCTCTGCAATAAATTGCACGTGTGTGTTTATGTATGTGTTAAACGTAGTTATTAATTGTTGAATTTTGTACTTGTGCATAATTAAGGCGGTAAAATTTCCATTTCCATTATCAGCCATTTTCCAACTACATATTTTGACAACAGTAAGCATTTTATATCAATTTTATATAAACCCTGCCGACCTTATATTAAAATGGTGTGTTGTGCAAAACAACAAAAATAAATTAATGCTTTATAATTCTAATCTCAATATACTTTTACGTCATTCAAACATTATTGCAGTTCGAATGGCCCCAAAGTGATTTAGTTTTTTGTGTACTTGATGCCCCACATATGTACTTTAATTTGACCATTATAATTATCGGATTTCATTTAGTTATGTTTCTGCTTGACCAATTTTTCCTATATTGAATAGTTTCTCTTTTATCGCCATTAACTATTAGCTGATCGTTATTGATAAGAAGGTACGTGAGCTATTAAGTATATCTGTTAAAAGTGGGTTTGGAATTTTTTCAACATATACTTTAATAACTACGTTTAGGTACATTTGTATGTGCATACATACTTTTGTGTATAACGAAAGCCATACTTTTCTATGTTTGCTTGCTATTATTTCTTACAGCAAATACTTTTAAAGCTGGGGTGATAATAAGAATGACTTTGCAATTGCTATTTGTTTTTATATGATTTATAATAATAAAATGCGTGCCAAGTTTATTTCATCAGTAAATAGTAAATTTTCAATAAATCACTTATCTACCATAAATTAGCTGAATCATGGCATTGCATGTGTGTTCGGTTTTATTGCATCAGAGCTCATCGATTGAGCCAGAGTTTCGAGTAGACACCCTATTTGCACGTCTCTGTGCATATATAGGAACGTATGAATATACATAATAGGAAATCAAAACAATTATCGTAATACCTACATACATGCATATGTACTCAGAGATCCGGCTATGCTAAAAATGTGATTCAGGAACTGGTGGGATAATCATATTGTTGATGCATCGACAAAAACATTCTTTAAGTAATTTGGAGGAATGCTGCCAAATTGACAGTGCTTGGCCAGATAAAAATCCGTGTCCATACTAGTCGCATAGACCGACTGTCGTGGGATAATCTTCATAAGATACAATCGCGCTGACAAAATGCTCGATATTCTGTTCAGACATTACATACCGTATTTTTAAACTAATGAAATTAAAAAATTGTTAATTATTAATTCTATGGTTTTATTCTAATTAAAATTTAAACACTAATACATCTTCTACTTTTTAAACAACTAAACTCTTTTTGGAGGGAACCAAAATGTTTCCTGCTAACGTATTAACATATATAATCAACAAAAAAAATTGAGTTCAATCTATTAAAATTTATTTAATTTTGGTTCTTGTTGGGTAGGCGCGTTGTTAAAATACAAGAAAGAGCATAACATTGAAAGAAAGAATACCATAGAGGAAAATAGCGAATATCTTGCAAAAAATGCAAATGCATACATACATATATTAAAAATGCTTTGGCACTTCCCTATGTACTTACTTATAACTTACAGTTGCACTTGCCTCTTCATGCATACATACATAACTAGTTGCGTGCATTGCATTTTAATACATTTGTCCAACTCTGGCGAACGCGTGCTCGTCAACATATGTACATAGATGTATATGGTCACTCAAATAGCAAGCTGACCAGCGGCGTTAGTGCTACATGATTTTTGCACTTCACATTGAAAACGAAATTATGTTCAACAAAACAGGAAATTCTTTTATGGAGTCTATGCAAGGCATTCAACACGAAAAATGCACAATGGAGTCAAAAAGAAAATATGGCCGCAATGATTAGTCTCATGTGCACAATATGTACATATGCATGTAAGTATAAACAAGCACGCTTTGCGCTTACTGCGTTAAGTGGTCTGATATGTGATACCGGCTGATGGATGGAAAAAAACCGTCCAACTCGTTAAAATAGAGGCCAGTAAACCAGCAAGTTGACAGATATTATGAAATGGTTATCAACACCCGTTATTCCTGAAGTGTACCACTCTTAACACGCTGTTGACCGGTTTATGGTAGAAGCATTTTCTAGTTATATACATATGTACTTAAATCCGCTTATAAATGTGGCCACACACCTCACAGTTCGCTCCAATAGAATTCAATCTAAATTTCGAGAGCGCTAATCTTATCGTGGCGCTCACTTAGATAATAAATAATCATAATATTGTTGCGCAGTCAACGCCACTTCTACATGACAAGTGTTTATTCCGCGTGTATGTATACGACCTGTTTTTTTTTTATCAAAGATCAAGTGTAATCCACCATATTTGCTTTACTATGTTTATACATACATATGTATATTTCAACTTTGTCTCACTTTTGCCAAAAAAATTTAAACGAGGAAATCTAATCTTTGAGCAAGCATCAGAAACACACTACATCGTTAATGGTTGCTAGACATGCTACATTACAGGTACAAAGGTTTGCTGGAATAAGCTTAATAAACTGTGTAACCTTTCACTAACCTTACCCATTACTAAATGACCGGCAAAAAATGTGCATTAGTGAAAATATTTTTTAAATTGTTTATTGTTGCGGAATTGTATTTATGGTGAAATAGTAGAGAGCTGATAGCGTTTAATTCTTTTTTTCAATTTTTATTTCTGTAATAAACGTTCTCCATCTACATACATTGATTGAATTTTAAATGAACATTAATTCATCATTAGTTCTCTGAATACAAAACGAAAACAACTTGTTAGTTATACGTATACATATAAATATATATAGAACTACGAGCTAATAGAAAAATGGGCCTCATTATAGCGCACTTTGAGTGCAATTATTATTTTGATGTGTAGATGTTTGTGATCTTTTGTAATTTGCAATATTATTTTGAATCAAATTAGTTATTTTTTTTAATGCTCTTGCAACGTACAACTTCCAGCGTCGTTACGGATACAACATCTGATTATATTTTACGATATGCTTAAGAAGCAAGGGCGAAGTATTCCTTTGACTTCTTTGGATCAGCAATCATGGTCTTCTCACCGGGCTTCCAGTTGGCTGGGCATACCTCACCGTGCTCGTCGGTGAATTGGAACGCTTGAACTAAACGTAAAGTCTCGTCGACACTGCGTCCAACTGGCAAATCATTGATGGTTACTTGACGCAAATTCTGACTTCTGTCGATGACAAAAAGACCACGGAAAGGAATGCCGGTTTCTTCATCCAACACACCGTAGTCACGTGCAATCTTCATGGATTTATCGGCCAACAATGGGATAGACAAATCACCCAGACCGCCCTGTTTGCGAGGTGTGTTAATCCAAGCTAAATGCGTAAAGTGACTGTCTGTTGAGCAAGCAACAACTTCACAGCCAATGTTGCGGAATTCAGAAACGCGATCCGAGAACGCAATGATTTCGGTTGGGCACACAAAAGTGAAGTCCAATGGGTAGAAGAACAACACCAGGTACTTGCCTTTGTAGTCAAGCAGATCGATATCCTTGAAGGTGCCATTAACGACGGCAGTTCCCTTGAAATGGGGAGTGGGCTTCTGAATTTTCGGCATCTACAAAAAAACAAACAACAATAATATATACAGTTAAAATCACCGTAGCAATCAATTACTTTCAAGTGCAGTAAATAAATTTTATAAACTTATTTTTGGACAAGCTCAGTTCAATTTCACCTTTTCAACTCGGTTAGCACACTGAATCTCTGAATACAAACTGGTTTTTATATACAATTTACGTTTACCACAATAAGCAGTGAATCAGCGATTTAGGTACGAGTAGGTACCTACAGGCGGAAAAGTACGCGAACTGCAAAAATCTAGCAACAAAATTAATTAGAAACAGCCGACTTTGCGAAGCGATAGTTGCCGTTTCAAGACCAATAGCCGGGTAAGCAGTGCGGAGGTCTTAAACGAACCCGGCTGCTTACGAGTGTTGTTAGAACGTTAAACAATGTGTGTATACATTATCATTTCACTAATTATTCTAGAATCTTTTAAATTCATGTACAAGAAAAATATGAAATATTTAATTGCTACCATATTATTTATATAATTGGTCTTTTTATTTACCAGTCAGTACAGATATTCCCAAATATTTTATTAACTCGTCGAAGGTGAAATTAAATTCCCCCACCCCCCAGTTTGTTCAACATTTTTACTTACATCGCAAAAGGTTTTTCCGTAAAATTCGCAAGATCAAGTAATTTCACACAATTTATTTTACCGGCAGCAAAGAGAATTTACTCGAAAAAGCAAAAACGCACTTGTGTGAGACAGTAGGCGAGCAAAAAATTGTACACCAAACCGAGTAACACGAATTGACGTTCAATCTATTCGAATATTCGCAAAAGAATGATTATTTTAAATAGCTCCACTTTCAGTCAACAGCTGCCTGATACGCAAATTTGACAGCAGCTAGCAGAAGCGCGCGCAATGAAAAGCTTTAATAAAAGCGGTGGGCACACGTTACGATATTTCGTACTGTCGAATAGTTAATGCAAAAGTTCCGCCATTATTTTTTTTACAAATAACTTTGACACGCGTTTAAAATATTTACATAAGTAACAAAATTGTTTAATTTTTAGTTTAAAGAAAAATTGCTCATTTCATAAATCTTCGACAGTGTTTATGAGAATTGTGAGGATTACTCAAAACTCTAATATTAGTATAAAAAATTACTTGAAGAAAATAGTCGATTTCTGTAGTCTTTTAAATATTAAATAACTGTTCTAAAATGATTTGCGTAATTTTTTTTTAAATGAAACCAGAGAACGCAAAATACATATACGTTTTCTGATGAAACACTATCGGTTGGCATATTTATTCGCACTTTATTATGATTTCAGAATTTCACGGTTGCATTTTACATTATTCATATTTATTATTATTTTTATAGTATGGCCACATTGCGCGTAAACAATCAATTAGAATGTATTAAAAACTGAGTTCCTAAAACTATGCTACGTTTTATAAAGAGTTAACCGCAGAAATTGTAACAGGAAAATTAAGTATATGCGGATGAAAATAAGCGGAAATAAATTAAATTTAATAAAATCTAGTAATATATTTATAAATTAAATGAAAGCTATACAATTTCTACACCTTCAAAGCAACTCTATTCATGCAATGTTGCTTCGATTGGCTCATAGACAACAAATATTCTAGCCGTCAAGAAAATGTTCATTCAATCGTAGTTTGTCGACCACAACGGGTTTCACTAACAACGGTATATTTTCTTGCCTTCGGTCTGGCACTTTTTCATACACATACAAGCCAACATACATATATTAGCAACAATAGTGACAGCATTAACCGAAAAAATAAAGCTGTGATAAATCGAAACATTGTAGACATGCAAAAAAACATTCCAAACACATAAAAAATGTGAAAAGGTATTGGATTCTGTTGAAATATGGTTTAAAATTGCTTTATGTTTGATTTTACGACGAATGCAAGCAGACGAAATGCGAAGCGGAAGTTGAAAAAATACATATTAACAACGGAGAAAACTAGGAATCGTTGAATGCGAAAGCTGCCGAATAGCTAACATACACATATACATACATACATATGTTGAAACGAATAAAACGAATTAAAAGCGCATATGAAACGAATTGATAACAATCTACATTTATGGTCTATCGGTGGTTAAAAGGAAAACGAACAACGAACAACGAACATATTTTCTTTACAACTTTTGATATATATACACTGAGATTACAGCGCAAATTAATTAATTAGCAGCCAAATATACCAGTTGGGTGTGCGTAGAATGAGTGCGTGTTAAAAAGAAAACGACCAAAGCAATAATACACAAACGCTTAGCAAAAGCAGCTTGTGGAGCAGGTATTAACTATAGAAGTTTTTGGGAAATCTGTAAAAATTTTTGTCCACATGAATATGCTACACACCTTTAGTGGTAGTGGCGGTGGCGGGGGAGGCGGTCCGTTTGGCGATTCTGGTGGTAAGTACAAATTTGCGTATGAATGTATTTTACCAAAAACAAAAACAAAAAAGAAAAAGTGAAATTTGAAGAAACAATGAGGAAATGTTGCGAAAAATTAAGCTTAGGAATGTACATAAAAACTTACATACAAACATATGTAGTTATGTGCGTAAACACTTACATATCTACATGTAAATATACTGTAGTATTTATTGTCGTGTTATCCTTCGGCCATATTCGGTTCGCTTCACTTCAGCTATGCAGACGCCAAACCGAATACATACATTTTAATTAAGAGTTACAAAACATCAGCTGCAGGACGCTTTTTTGTTCACGTGAATAAAGTACTATTCCATAACAATGTGCCGAGGCAAGAAATAACGAGCTTTTTCATTAAATAATCTGTATTTTCAATAAATGTTTGCTATTTGTTTGGCATTTCTTGTATGTATTGTATAAGGTGTAGCCAAACAAAAACATATGTATGTATGTTCATGTTTATGCAAATTTACTTTTTATATATTGTATACAACAACAAAAATAAGAGCATTCGTAAATATGTTGTTGGTGAGCATTATTTCCAAAGCAATTTTGTTATTAACAGCAGAATATACTAGAATCAGAGAGGGCGACAAAATAAATATTAACAAGTAAGGAAGGGCTAAGTTCGGATGTAACCGAACATTTTATACTCTCGCAAAGTCAAATAGTATACTCGTTTGAGATTTCTTTGTGGATTGGCTGATATTTTCGGTAGAAGGTCAACTATAGGCACTGGGGTCCACATATTTAGTACTTAGGGGCTTAAACAGTTTTGGTTCGATTTAGACAATTTTTGGCCACAAGGTGGCATACTTTAATCGCATTATTCACGCAAAGTTTTATCCCGATACAGTCATTGTTGCCTGATTTGCATAGTGGAAAGTGAAATAATCAGATGGAATTTAAAATGGTGTTATATGGAAAGTAGGCGTGGTTGTAGTCCGATTTCGCCCATTTTTGCACTGTGACATAAAAACATGAAAAGAACGTTATGCACCGAATTTGGTTGAAATCGGTTAAGCAGATCTCAAGATATGGGTTTTCACCTAAAAGTGGGCTGTGCCACGCCCACTGTCTAATTTTGAACGCGGTTCCTATAAAGTCATCATACCATCCCAGAGATAAAATTTAATGACTCTGGCGTGTTTAGTGCTTGATTTATCGCGCTTTTAGTAGTTTTTAACAGTACCGTTATATGGGGAGTGGGCGGAGTTGCCACCCGATTTCAACTATTTTCACACCGTCAATAGAAGTGCTAAAAATATTTGCTTCCAGTGAATTTTGTTATTATAGCATTAGCGGTTTAGGAGATATGCACATTAAACCTATTAGAGGCGGGACCACGCCCACTTTTTTAAAAAAAATTTTAACTGCAGATGCTTCTCCCTAATGTGATCCTGTGTACCAAATAACAGTCTTGTATCTTATTGCGGAGCTTAGTTATGGCAAGTTATTTGTTTTTGATTAATGGCGTTTTGTGGGCGTGGCAGTGGTCCGATTACGCCCATCTGCAATACCAACCGTCTCACGGTACCATGAAACATGTCTACCAAGTTTCATAAAGATATCTCAATTTTTACTCAAGTTAGAGCTTGCACGGACGGACGGACAGACGGACGGACAGACGGACGGACGGACAGACAGTCACCCGGATTTCAACTCGTCTCTTCATCCTGATCATTTATATATATATAACCCTATATCTAACTCGATTAGTTTTAGGTGATACAAACAACCGTTAGGTGAACAAAACTATTATACTCTGTAGCAACAGGTTGCGAGAGTATAAAAAGGGATAAAAACAAACAGACTAATTGAGTCATTATTACGGATTATTGCTTCTAAGGATTAACAGATTTTTTTTGTTAATTTCACAAATCTTCATATTTGCACTTGAGCTGTGAAGAAGTTTATCAGAAGCTTTTGTGAGCAGCTGTGTGTAACAGCTGTAATTAAATATGTTCTAGAAAGTCGGATCAATATTATCGGACCATTGTAACTTATTCGCATTTCACAAAACTATTTGGGAAATTTTTTTGAAATTGAAATTTTCTCTACAAAATCTTTATTTTGATCGTTCAGTTTGTATGGATAGCTAGCTATAGCTTCTTAGGGAGAAAAGGACGTGCGCAAAAATTCAGATCGATGTCTCAACAAATGAATTCCTTATTGAGGTTCTAGTAGAATTTAAACAAATAACTCGCATTGTACGATATATGTATTCAAGTTATTATTGAGCGATCTTACTTTTGCAAGACTGTAATAAGATGGAGGTTAATGGACCGCTTTCATAACAACTAATTTTTATACTTTTTTCTTCGAATTTATTCATTTGTCCCATATAGGATATCCATGACAACAAAGGTACCGGTTTATTGCTTGAAATTTGAAATTTAACTTTTAAATTTGGTTCTTCATTCGTACTCGTATATGTTCTTTCGAAAGATCATTGAATTTTTTGGAAATATACATTTATTGCGTAGAATAAAATATTAATAGAATAAATTATAAAGTAAGCTAATTATCTGAACTACAAAATAGCAAAATGTAAGCGACAGTTTATGATAAAAGAAATGCCAAAGCCATCTGCTAACATAATCAGCTGTTTCCTCGATATCCTTCCTTCAAGGGCGCAATATGTGAAAGTGCCAGCGCCAGTTTCAAGGCAATGTAAAGTCTAACTTTTTAATGGGTATGAGGAGAATAATGAACTTTAGTCAATTATTAATTGGCCACTAACTACTCGCTGTGTCTACAACAACCACAACAACAGCAGTCGTAGATCCTTGCTGATGACTTTTACGGAATCACAGTTTATCAGATTGTTTTGCTTTAGTTGTTGCTGTTGTTGTTTATGTATACGTTATCCACACTCATTCGGCTCGTGAGTACGCATTATTAGTTAGGTTGTAGATGGGTGGGTTGTCGTGAGGTAACCGGTTGAATTGTGTTTTTACACAACCGCCAACACAATGTATATATGTACATACTCGTATATGTATATGTATATACATATATACATAAGTATATATATGTAACTAACTTCAACTACATGGTGCGCATGTACAACATAAGCCCTTATACTATATTTTCATATTATTACATACAAAGCATTTACTATACATGTATGCATGTGTATGTGTGTGTGTTTGGGTTTATATGATTGCTGATTGCTGCCGTGCGACCTTATTTGCGTTTCCACTTGGGTTAGGTTAAAATTCAAGGGAGTTTAATAGCACCTCATGCTGAAAGTCAAGGTTACAATCTTGTTATGTACACAAATACACTATGGCCATTTTCATATACACATATATTTTATGTACATATGCTGGGAGCTATGTCAATATTGCTTTATGCTAGTAATATGCAAGGGTGTTATATGACAATATAAACATAAACTATTTGCGTACATAAATATATATACCGTTGTATTATAACTGTTTTATTATAAGAAGCATGTTGCTTTAATTCTCGTGCAAAAATGTAAATAGTTTTCTATCATCGAACGAATGGAAAATTATAAAAATCAGCAGTTTCAGTCTTACATGATTATAAGATTCTTGAAAGCCTTCGAATTTCAGCATATTTTGAATAAAGCAAACACTATTGTTTTTGCTTTTATTAAGCGAGAGTCAAAAGAACGCTAAACTTGGATAAAAACAAGACAAAACGTCTACTTCGGCTGTACCGAGGCAATAATATTCTTCACAGTTGCATTTATTATCGCATAAAGGAATTTAAAAAGATCTTTATCTTAATTTTAATCCGTCAGTTTGTATGATATCTATAGGCCATAGTGATCCGATCTAACCAATTTGTTCGGAGATTA